GAGAAGCAGATTCATAAAGAGGAAGTAGAGATCAGTTAAGAGGAAGCAGAGATCAGTAAAGAGGAAGTATAGATCAGTTAAGAGGAAGCAGAGATCAGTAAAGAGGAAGCAGAGATCAGTTAAGAGGAAGCAGAGATCAGTAAAGAGGAAGCAGAGATCAGTTAAGAGGAAGTAGAGATCAGTTAAGAGGAAGTAGAGATCAGTAAAGAGGAAGTAGAGATCAGTTAAGAGGAAGTAGAGATCAGTAAAGAGGAAGTAGAGATCAGTAAAGAGGAAGTAGAGATCAGTAAAGAGGGAGAGGATAGAGAATACATATTACGAACTAGAGGAGATCGGATCATAAAGAGGAAGCAGATATCATAGAGGAAGTCATGATCAGTTAAGAGGAAGCAGAGATCAGTAAAGAGGAAGCAGAGATCAGTTAAGAGGAAGCAGAGATCAGTAAAGAGGAAGTAGAGATCAGTAAAGAGGAAGTAGAGATCAGTAAAGAGGAAGTAGATATCAGTAAAGAGGAAGCAGAGATCAGTAAAGAGGAAGCAGAGATCAGTAAAGAGGAAGTAGAGATCAGTTAAGAGGAAGTAGATATCAGTAAAGAGGAAGGAGAGATCACTAAAAAGGAAGTAGACATCAGTAAAGAGGAAGCAGAGATCAGTAAAGAGGAAGCAGAGATCAGTAAAGAGGAAGCAGAGATCAGTTAAGAGGAAGCAGAGATCAGTAAAGAGGAAGGAGAGATCAGTAAGAGGAAGTAGAGATCAGTTAAGAGGAAGCAGAGATCAGTAAAGAGGAAGCAGAGATCACTAAAGAGGAAGTAGAGATCAGTAAAGAGGAAGTAGAGATCAGTAAAGAGGAAGGAGAGATCACTAAAGAGGAAGGAGAGATCAGTAAAGAGGAAGGAGAGATCACTAAAGAAGAAGTAGAGATCAGTAAAGAGGAAGTAGAGATCAGTAAAGAGGAAGGAGAGATCACTAAAGAGGAAGTAGATATCAGTAAAGAGGAAGTAGAGATCAGTAAAGAGGAAGCAGAGATCAGTAAAGAGGAAGTAGAGATCAGTTAAGAGGAAGCAGAGATCAGTAAAGAGGAAGTAGATATCAGTAAAGAGGAAGGAGAGATCAGTAAAGAGGAAGTAGAGCTAACTAAAGAGGAAGTAGAGATCAGTAAAGAGGAAGTAGAGATCAGTAAAGAGGAAGTAGATATCAGTTAAGAGGAAGCATAGATCAGTTAAGAGGAAGTAGAGATCAGTTAAGAGGAAGCAGAGATCAGTTAAGAGGAAGCAGAGATCAGTTAAGAGGAAGCAGAGATCAGTTAAGAGGAAGCAGAGATCAGTAAAGAGGAAGCAGAGATCAGTTAAGAGGAAGCAGAGATCAGTAAGAGGAAGCAGAGATCAGTAAAGAGGAAGCAGAGATCACTAAAGAGGAAGCAGAGATCAGTTAAGAGGAAGCAGAGATCAGTTAAGAGGAAGCAGAGATCAGTTAAGAGGAAGCAGAGATCAGTAAAGAGGAAGTAGAGATCAGTAAAGAGGAAGTAGAGATCAGTAAAGAGGAAGTAGAGATCAGTTAAGAGGAAGTAGAGATCAGTAAAGAGGAAGTAGAGATCAGTAAAGAGGAAGCAGAGATCAGTAAAGAGGAAGCAGAGATCAGTAAAGAGGAAGTAGAGATCAGTAAAGAGGAAGGAGAGATCAGTAAAGAGGAAGTAGAGATCAGTTAAGAGGAAGTAGAGATCAGTAAAGAGGAAGCAGAGATCAGTTAAGAGGAAGTAGAGATCAGTAAAGAGGAAGCAGAGATCAGTAAAGAGGAAGTAGAGATCAGTTAAGAGGAAGCAGAGATCAGTAAAGAGGAAGCAGAGATCAGTTAAGAGGAAGCAGAGATCAGTAAAGAGGAAGTAGAGATCAGTTAAGAGGAAGCAGAGATCAGTAAAGAGGAAGCAGAGATCAGTAAGAGGAAGTCAGAGATCAGTTAAGAGGAAGTAGAGATCAGTTAAGAGGAAGTAGAGATCAGTAAAGAGGAAGTAGAGATCAGTTAAGAGGAAGTAGAGATCAGTAAAGAGGAAGTAGAGATCAGTAAAGAGGAAGTAGATATCAGTAAAGAGGAAGTAGAGATCAGTTAAGAGGAAGTAGAGATCAGTAAAGAGGAAGCAGAGATCAGTAAAGAGGAAGCAGAGATCAGTTAAGAGGAAGCAGAGATCAGTAAAGAGGAAGTAGAGATCAGTAAAGAGGAAGTAGATATCAGTAAAGAGGAAGCAGAGATCAGTAAAGAGGAAGCAGAGATCAGTAAAGAGGAAGTAGAGATCAGTTAAGAGGAAGTAGATATCAGTAAAGAGGAAGGAGAGATCACTAAAAAGGAAGTAGACATCAGTAAAGAGGAAGCAGAGATCAGTAAAGAGGAAGCATAGATCAGTAAAGAGGAAGCAGAGATCAGTTAAGAGGAAGCAGAGATCAGTAAAGAGGAAGGAGAGATCAGTAAAGAGGAAGTAGAGATCAGTTAAGAGGAAGCAGAGATCAGTAAAGAGGAAGCAGAGATCACTAAAGAGGAAGTAGAGATCAGTAAAGAGGAAGTAGAGATCAGTAAAGAGGAAGGAGAGATCACTAAAGAGGAAGGAGAGATCAGTAAAGAGGAAGGAGAGATCACTAAAGAGGAAGTAGAGATCAGTAAAGAGGAAGGAGAGATCACTAAAGAGGAAGTAGATATCAGTAAAGAGGAAGTAGATATCAGTAAAGAGGAAGTATAGATCAGTAAAGAGGAAGCAGAGATCAGTAAAGAGGAAGGAGAGATCCGTAAAGAGGAAGCAGAGATCAGTAAAGAGGAAGGAGAGATCAGTAAAGAGGAAGTAGAGATCAGTTAAGAGGAAGTAGATATCAGTAAAGAGGAAGGATAGCTAACTAAAGAGGAAGTAGAGATCAGTAAAGAGGAAGCAGAGATCAGTTAAGAGGAAGCAGAGATCAGTAAAGAGGAAGTAGAGTTCAATGAAGAGGGAACTGGGATCAGTTAAGGGAAAGTCAGATCAGTTAAGGGAAAGTCAGATCAGTAAAGGGAACGTCAGATCAATTAAGGGAAAGTCAGATCAGTAAAGGGAACGTCAGATCAGTTAAGGGAAAGTCAGATCAGTAAAGGGAAAGTCAGATCAGTTAAGGGAAAGTCAGATCAGTAAAGGGAAAGTCGGATCAGAACTCACCGACAGGGTTCTGGGCGACGGCCCCCTTGGAGGCCTCGCTGGCCTTGCTGAGGCCGCCGCTGTTCATGGCATAGACTCTGAACTGGTACTCCAGGCCCTCCACCAGACCCTCCATCTTGCTGTAGCATTCGAAGCATGGGATCTTGTTCTCTCTCACCCACAGGATGTTGTTCCTTTCCTTCTTCTCGATCCAGTAGCCCGTCACCTTGCTGCCACCATCGTGGTAAGGCTCCTCCCACTTAATGGTCATCGTGTTGGCGGTAACGTTGCACACTGAGGGCTGTGTTGGGGAGCCAGAGGGGGCTGCGATTCAAAAAGAGAGATGTTTACTTTCTGAACTGGAAAGTAGATTCAAGATATTGTCATATGCACAGTAGCTAGAGTGTAGTTAGTCCCAATAGTGCAAGAAGAAAACAGTGTTCAAGTAATGCAGGAGAAGTAAACTATATACGTCAATAGGTAAATAAATATATGTATGTAAAAAAAAGAATCCAAATGAAGCAGAGAATGTTGTAGGTGACCTAGTAAATGCAGGAGTCTATATGCATGTAAACAAGAACAGAATCAAGCACTGTTTATTGTAATAATAAATACATTTTGAGATGCAAACAGATGAATGCTTAAGGCATATTCATTCATAGTTGTATTACTATTATTATTATTATTATTAACTGATTTGATATACAATTTTGCAAAGTTTGAGAGTGAGTTACTCACTGAATGGATGCTCGGCGACGATGGTCTCAGACTCGATGTGCTTACTGACTCCAAACTGGTTCTCTGCGGACACCCTGAAGCTGTACTGCATGTACTTGGTGAGGTGGCCGACATCCAGAGTGGTGCGCTTGACGCTGGAGTTGATGAGCTGCCAGGCGGTGGAGCCGGACTCACGCTTCTCCACGATGTAGTTGGTGATCGGCGTACCTCCGTCATCTTCTGGCGCCTCCCAGTTGACGACGCAGGACTCAGAGGTGATGGATGTGATCTCCACGGTTCCGGTGGGAGGATTAGGTCTGCCCATGACATTAACTTCAATGGAGAAGGTCCTGGTTCCGGTTACGTTCTCAAGGGTGAGGAAGTATTTACCACTGTCTCCCCTCATGGCCTCCTTCGTGGAAATGGTTGTCCGGTCCTTTGTAGTTTGGATGGAGATTCTGTCGGAGTTCCTCAGCCTCATCTCCTCCAGCTTCCAGGTGACCTTAGGAACGGGTCTGCCACTGATGGGGACGTCGATGGTGAAAGTCTTTCCTGAGTTGCATGTGATGAGTTGGTTGGGGATCTCGCTGAGGTCGGCAGCAGGTTCAATGTGCGGCTCTTTCACCAGAGCAGCCACCAGAGTTTCCCTCGGCGTGCTGCAGCCGGACTCGTTCTTGGCCTTCACACGGAAGTTATACTCGTCTCCCTTGTTGAGCTTCTCCACCGTGTAGGTGAGATTGGTGGTATTGCCCACCACCATCCATTTGTCTCCATCCTTTGCCTTGGCCTCAATGATGTAGCCCTGGATGCGGCTGCCGCCGTCATGCTCTGGTTTCAGCCAGCCCAGCACCACGGTGCTGTCAGTAGTGTCAAGGATGTCCATCCTCTTTGGAGACGCCGGCTCTGCCGTGGCGATGATGGGATTGGTTATCTCAAAGGCCTCGCCCATGCCATGCTGGTTCTCTGCTGAGACCCTGAAGAAATACGGCACTCCCTCCAGGAGGTCCTGGATCCTCAGGATGTGCTGCTTGCAGTTGCCTCCAGACTGTGTCCATGTGCGGCGGCTAGCCTCGCGCCTCTCCACAACATAGTGATGGATTCTCGCTCCGCCATCATTAAGAGGAGGCTCCCAGACTAGGGTGACGGTGCCTCTAGAGATCTCTTTGAAGGCCACGGCCTGCGGAGGTCCGGGCGTGTCCATCACCTTCAAAGTAAAGGTGACAGCCTTGCTGCCACTGGCATTCTCCAGGGTCACGGTGTACTTTCCGGTATCGCTCCTGGAGCAGTTCTCAATGCTCAAAGAACTGAAGCCGTCTGAACTTGTGACCTCTGACTTGACTCCCAGCTCTCCTTCTTCCTTTACCCAGGTAGCCGTTGGGACTGGCTTTCCTCTGAAGTTGACGCCAAGGTTAACTGAAGCTCCAGGTTTGACGATGTGTGTCTGCCTGAAGCTGGCGTCGATGTCCACCATTGGTGGCGTTTGTCTGTCAACGGCATGTGCTGGCTCGGGGATCTCCCGCTCCTCGCCACGGCCAATGTGATTTACGGCAGCCACTCTGAACCTGTACTCGCCGCCGGTCTGTAGAGAAGTCGCTGTGTAGTTTGTCTCTGCCACGAGCTCTTCGTTTACTCTCGTCCATTCCTCTTCTTCTCCCTTCGCCATCTCAATAATGTAACCCATGATCTCTATGCCACCATCATCGGCAGGTCGGGACCACTCCAGGCTGATGGAGGTGTTGGTGGAGTCGGACACACACACCACAGACGGAGCACAGGGAATGTCCTTTGGCTCGGCGGCTTTGATCGGTAAGGAAACGTTACTGGGAGCTCCCACGCCGGCGTCGTTGACGGCCATGACGCGGAACTCGTACTCCATATCCTCCGTCAGGTTGGGCACCTTGTGGGCACACTCTACAATGGGCTTCTTGGTGATCACCTTGTAGAACTTGACAGTCTTCTTCTCTCGTTTCTCCACGATGTAGGACTGAATGGGGTTACCTCCATCAGAGGTAGGAGCCATCCAGGACAGCGTGATGCTCTCACCGGTCACCTCCGTAGCATCAGGAGTGCCAGGAGCTTCAGGAGCAGCTAAGGGGAACACCGGGCATTAGAACAGGGTTTTCAAAGAAGAGAGAATACTAATCTTGCAGTTTACCGTGAAAATAATAAGAATAATAACTTGTGTTTAATTAGATCAGAATACATCATTAAATCTTTGTGTGCTACAAGGCTGTCCAACTTACTGTATTGCATCTGTGCAATGACGGGAGTGGACTCCAGAGGTCTGCCCATACCGAACTTGTTCACAGCAGAGACCCTGAACTGGTACTCGTTGGTCTTGATGAGCTTGCTAGCATCGAAGGTGCACCCTGTACACTCGTCAGAGACCAATGCCCAGGAGATCTTGGCAGTCTCACGCTTCTCAATGAGGTAGTGTGTGATCTCTGAGCAGCCGTCGTTCTCCGGCTCGCTCCAGGACAGCGTACACTTTCCTTCCGAGATGTTGCTGAAGGTCATGGGTCCCATCGGCTCCCCGGGGGTGTCTGCAGCACAGAGGGGCATGGGTTAAAGCAGAAATACTTATAAAACAGGCCTGTACACACCAAGGGGGCGCAAAACAACCCACAAACAAATACAAGACAACATTCCAAACTGTGTACCTTGGACTTGAACAAGGATGTCCTGCTTTCTGTTTCCAGATCCATTGGTAGCCTCCACGGTGTAGAGACCGCGGTGTGTACGATCAGCGTCCCGGACAAACAGCGTGCTGGATCCAGCCACGTTGATGATGTCCATCATCTGTTTGGTAACCAACACACCGTCTCTGAACCAGACCACTTTAGGGGTAGGGCGTCCGGTGATGGTGGCTTTCAGCCGGATCTTGTCTCCTGCCTTCACTGTCAAACCCTCAAAGTACTCCGGACCAAACTCAATCAACGGAGAAGCTGGTTGATAGGAGATGGGAACGCATTAGTACAGAAAGTAACTTCAATCATGAGTTATAATTAAGTCTCCAGTTTATTTCATTACTCACCATTCTCGTTTCTGACCACGATCAAGCCTGAGGAGTTGGAGGGAGGGCTGACCACGCCGATGGCGTTCCTGGCCGTCACTCTGAACTCATAGCGCTCGTTCAGTGCCAGGCCGGTGACAGTATACTCGCATTCGTGCACGTCAGTCAGGTTGGCCTTGAACCAGCGGCCCTTGCCTTGGCGTTTCTCCAGGCTGTAGCTGGTGATCTTGCTGCCACCGTCACGTTTGGGTGCATCCCATTTCAGAGTCACCGAGTCACTGGTCACATCGGTGTAGTCGGGCTGGCCCGGAGGATCTGGAAGGCAGGAAATGCACCTTTAAACTTATTTTGGTCAAAGATTTTCATTCTAAAATTGTGGCCGATACCCGGTACCCAATAATTTCAAACGTTTTTTTTTAGAAGAAGCTGATAACCTTGAGTTTATGCTCACCTGAGGGTGAGGTATTCATAAACTAAACAACACAAGGTTTTTTACGATTTATTCTAGTAAAGTATCTTTGGCCCGTGCCTCTTCTACTATTCTGAACAACAGTATTCTGATGTGAACCTGGACTCACCGACAGGGCTGACCGCCATGTTCAACTTGCTATGGTCACTCATTCGGCTGCAGCCGGCGTCGTTCTGAGCGTAGACCCGGAAGGAGTACTCAAGGCCTTCGATGAGCTCCAGGATCCTGTAGTCCGTCTCTTTGACCAGCACGGTGTTCAACTTCTGCCACATGATGCTGTTCTTCTCCCGCTTCTCCACATTGAAGCCATGGACGGGGCAACCCCCGTCGTAGATGGGCTGCTCCCACTGGATGGTCATGCCGTCGTTGGTAACATTGTACACCACGGGTTTACCGGGCGGGCCTGGAGGCCTGAACTGGTGCTTGGCAATGACGCTCTGTGAGACGAGAGGCTCACTGCTGCCGTATCTGTTCTCTGCACGCACTCTGAACTGGTACTGAATGCCCTTGATCAGGTTAGCGATCTGGTACTGGGTGTCCTCTACACTGGAGCAGGCCATCTTCCAGTCAGACTGGGAGGTGTCCTTCTTCTCAACGGTGTAGCAAGCAATGTCTCCGCCGCCATCGTCATTTGGTTCATCCCAGGAGATCGTGATGCTCTCAGCTCTCACTTCATCCAGGCGGATCGGACCAATTGGCTTAGATGGCGGTCCGAGCGTGATGACGTTGATGTGGAAGGATCTCCTGTTGACCCTGTTGTCCAGGGTCAGGGTGTATTTACCTTCATTCTCCTTCGTCACATTCTTAATTTTCAGCGTGGCTTTGGTCTCCGTCTTCTTGAAGCGGATCTGGTCGCTCTCCTTTAGAGGCAGGCTGTCCTTCAGCCAGAGGATGGCAGGTTTGGGTTTACCTTTGTAGGGCAGTTCGATGTGGACGTTGTGACCCAGACGGACACAGATGCGGCTTCCAGGGTACTCAGCAAGGCAGGCCTCAGGCGTGATAATGTAGTCGATGACCTGGATAGGACCCATCTCAACAAAGTCTCCCTGTCCCTTATCATTCCTGGCCGCCACTCTGAAGAACACTGTGGAGTGCTCCTTCAGTTTCTTCACCTCAAGCTCGCACTGTCGGCTGGTTCCTCCCAGAGACCATTCTTCGTCCTTCAGCTTCTGCTCAATGACGTATTCGGAGATGATGCTGCCACCATCGTAATCTGGCTTCAGCCACTGCAGGGTGACCGAGGTCTTGGAAGAATCCTTCATAGAAACCTCCTTGACCGGGCCAGGAGTCTCTGTGGCCTTCACAGGGTCCAGGGTGTCACAGGGATCGCCAATGCCATTCTCATTCTCCGCCATCACACGGAAGAAGTAGGAGGCCTTCTCAGAGAGGTCTTCCAGGGAGTATGTTGTTTCTGTGCATTTGCTGGTCACTGCAGAGTAGATCCTCTTGGAGGAGTCCTTCTTCTCTAAGATGTAGTTTGTGATCTCAGCACCACCGTCGAGGAGTGGAGGCTCCCAGCAGAGAGTGAGCTTTCCACGAGTCACGTCCTTCAGGACCAGGTTCCTGCACTGAGCCGGGGTGTCCTGGACCTTCACGGACAGGGTCAGCGTTTTTGGCTCTCCCACACCGTTCTCTATCTTCACTGTGTATTTTCCAGTGTCAAGCCTAGTCACCTCACGCATAACCAGCACGGTGGTGTTGTCGGAGTGGTGAAACTCGTATTTGGGGTTACTGTCGATGCATTCCTCTCCTTTGCTCCAGGAAGCGGTGGGAGCTGGTCGGCCCTTCAGAGGAACAGACAGCTCCACATCCTTACCGGCCTTCACGATGTAGTGAGTTCTCATGGCCACGTCGGGGTCGACTTGGGCCTCCTCTGTGAAAAGCATGGAGAAAATACAAAATCACACAGGGCCAGAGATATGTGTGCAGCAAAACATGCAGCAGGGTTCCTGAAGACAAGGTAAGCATGAAAGAAACTGCCTGTTCAGCCACATTTCCAGAGTGATAGTACAGTTTTTGATGGATTACAATAGGTTTCAAATCAAAGCCTACACATTTCTGTCAGGAAAACTTCTGCACATAATTTAATAAATCTTGGTTGAAGGGTGTAACATGAACCAAAGAAAACACATTTTAAGCAATTTAGCTGTCCCTGAACGTAAATATGTAGGAGACAGGGTTCTAACACACTTCACAACACAAGTGATTTATTACCCAGGATGTCTTTAGCTTGCACAGCCTCGGTCATCTCTAGAGATTCTCCACGGCCGGCACAGTTCACAGCTGAGACCCTGAAGAAGTAGTTGACGTCTGGTTTCAAGTCATGGACGATGTACTCAGTGGTCTTGACTTCTCCCTTGGCGGTGACCATGGCCCACTCTTCTTCTCCCTCAACAAGCTTCTCCAGCATGTAGCTGATCACCTTGCTGCCGCCGTCCCATTCGGGCTTGGACCAGCCCAAGGTGATGGAGGTCTTGGTGGAGTCAACAAGCTTCAGCTTGCAAGGCTCATCCGGAGTTTCTGTAAGGCAGGGCACATGTGTTTAGAAAGCTCATAACAAAGGGCTTTACGGATAAAAACCCCCCAATAAAAGCACATTTGTGAACACTCACCAACAGGGTCCGCAGCCTTGTAGTAGTCGGAAACTTCAGAGAACGGTCCCTCTCCGGCCCTGTTGATGGAACACACTCGGTACTGGTACTCGTTTCCTTCTGTCAGGTGGTACACCATCTTCTTGATGTCTGCGATCGCCTCTTTGTAAACCCGGATCCAGCGCAGGCTCTTCTTGTCACGCCTCTCCAGGTAGTATCCGGTCACCACGCTGCCGCCGTCCACCCCCGGTTTGTTCCACTCCACCAACATGGTGGTCTTGGTGATGGTGTTCACCTCGGGAGTGTGAGGCTGCCCAGGAGTCACTGGAAAAAGGTAGAGAAGACAGGTTGGGACATGCAAATGATAAAATAAGTCCTTGACCTATTTCTCCATAAAGGAAATTATTTTCGTTGTCATGTCGTTTTCTCATACTGATAGTCTGCACAAACTGTGCTGTTGTATTTGCTGTAAAGTGTCTTTACTGTAGGTTATTTTTTATTATATGTACAGCACTTTGGCTCGACCAAAAATCGTTTAAAAATGTGCTATATAAATAAAACTTGATTTGATTTTGAAACAAAACCGACTGTAGTGGCTGCAGATTAACGAATAACTTTTATGCAAGTAAGTAATATAAGTAAGCTTATTGTTATCTAAAAACATATTAATAATACTGTTTCAATTATGTTAGGGTCTACATTTGTAACTATAATCTAGACAAGACTCAAGTTAGTTAAAACTAAGAACAGTCTTTATTACTAAAACTCAAAGAGCTATTCAACTGAAACTCTGATATTCACATGATCTCAAAACTTACCGAAGGCGTTCTTGGCGATGACGGGCTCTGACACCAGCGCCTCTCCTACTCCGAACTTGTTCACGGCCATGACGCGGAACACATACTCATTTCCGCGCACCAGTTTCCCAACGCAGGCGTAGGCCTCCTCTTGGCAGTCCGACACAGTGGACCAAACCAGGCGGCTGGTCTCACGTCGCTCCACGATGTAGTGCGTCACCGGGAAGCCTCCCTGGTCCGGCTCGGGCACCGGCTCCCAGCTGAACATTATCTTGTCCGCCGTGACGGAGTGGAAGTTGATGAGGCCGGCTGGGAGTCCGGGTTTGTCTACAGGAGGAGAAATAACATTAATGAGGTGTCCCCTTGCCTGAAGTGTGTCCGAAAGGCGTTAGTGCATGTAAATGGTCAGCAAAGGCTAAATTCCCTGTGATTCCTCAAGAGCGAGTTTCTCTCCAACACCCCCACCCCCCCCACCTGAAATTCCTCCATTGGCGGTGGTGGCGAAGTCCATAGGAACTTGGCTTGGCTTGCCGCCTATCACAGCGCACTGAGATTTGTTACTAACTGTAAAGTACTTACTCATCACTGTACCCTGTATGCCAGGGCAGGTTTGCCTTCACTTTCTGTACGGAGGCTCAGTCACTGGTACATGTTTATCTATAAAGCCATTTTGGGTAAACTACCATCTTATAGCTGCTCTCTGATCACACGGAGTTGCAACTAGCTATTGCCTGAGATCTCCAGCCAGCCAGCTAACCAATCAGAGCAGACTGGGCTCTGGTTTCAGGCAGTATGAGAAAAATAAAGAGCTTTTTGAACATTAAAACATGGAAACATGTCTAAGGAAAGTGGGTTTGTGTAATCACCAAGGATCTGGATCCTGATGTTGGCGGTCGCTGAGCCCAGAATGTTCTTGATTTTGATCTCATAGAATCCGCTGTCGAAGCGCTCGGCGTCCTTGATGAGAATGGCGGTGGAGTCGGTGGTGCTCTCCACCGACAGCTTGGAGGTTAGCAGCAGCTCCTTCCCGTCCTTCAGCCACTCGATGTTGGGCAGCAGCTGGGCCACGATGCCCACCCGCAGCTTCACAGAGGACCCAGCTTTGTACTGAACCACGTCCAGGAACTCCGGAGGGAGGTCGATGGCCGGGGCCCCTGAGGAGGCAAGAGGCAAAGATCAAAAGGTGCAAAGAAAAAAAAAAACTCCGACTCCTCCATCATTGCAGCATATAATATACCTTATGTTTATTTATTTATTTGTATTTTATTGCATGGTTGGAGGAGCTTGAGTCAGAAGAATCGCATTGCCATTTCTACACCGTAGCTTATTTGCATATGACAATAAAACCTTAGAATGTTGAATCTCGGATAAAAACAAACATATGTGAAATAAATGTTATGTCATAGGAAGTCTCACCGCAGGTATCCACGCAGGTGACGGGGCCGGCGATGAGCGACGGGTTGCTGACGGAGCCCACGGCGTTCTTAGCGTAAACTCTGAACTCGTAGGCCTCGTCCTTGTTGAGGCCGGAGACGGTGAAGCCCATCTCGATGATATTGGTGAAGTTGGCCTTCACCCAGCGGCCGCTTCCAGTGTCGCGCCGCTCCACGCTGTAACCTGTGATCTTGCTGCCGCCGTCGTACGGAGGCCGCTGCCACGCCAGGCTCACAGAGTTCTTGGTCACCTCGGTGACTTGCACGTTAGCCGGGGGCTCTGCGACATTAAAGAGGGAAACATGTTCATGAAATCAGACCTAAAATTTGTGAAGTCAGCTGTTTTACCCTGGGTACCCAAAAACCTGCTGCCGGCTATCTTTAAGAAAAAAGACGTCAATATATATATATTTTACTGTTTATATTATTATTTTAAAATTATTGGTGTTCAGTGTCAGATTATTTTGCTAACATAGAATACTTTTTTTATAATTAGTGTGGTTTAGTGTCTCAAATGCTTACTGATAAGCCCCTCGTTTTGTTTTAAAATGACACATAAAGCTTTGAAGAAGTTCTAAATTTGAACTTCCCAACAGTCAAAAAACACATCATTCAATACCAAAATCATCAAAATGGATACAGTGCTTAACATTTTCTTAACAAGGTTTGAATGTATACTGCAGCGAAACCAGGAGAACAGGAAACACTCACCGCAGGCGTCAATGGCCAGCACCTCCTCCGAGGTCTTGCTCATCTTCCCGATGCCGGCGGCGTTCTCCGCAGACACCTTGAACTCGTAGATGAGTCCGGCGCATATGTTGGTGACGCGCCAGTGGTTTCCGGAGATGGCCGTCTTGTTGACCTTCTGCCAGAGGATGCTGCTCCTCTCCTTCATCTGCACGTGGTATCCGATCACCGTGCTTCCGCCGTCGTTGACGGGTTCGTTCCAGCACACCGTCAGACTTTCGCGGGACACGAAGCTGAACCACGGTGTGGAAGGAGGCCCAGGGAAAGCTGCAGGAGAGGACAGCGTTAGTGTTTACTCAGCAACAACCAAAAAGCATGCAATCACCCTGTGCACCTTATTATAGATGTAGAAAAATCAAAAAGAAAGATTTTTTTATCTAGCACACTTACTGTATGGCAGCTTGATCATGATGGGCTTGGTGTCGATGTGGTCGCTGATGCCATAGCGGTTCTGGGCCCTGATCCTGAACTGGTACTCCTCGCCCTTTGTGAGCTTGGTGGCCTTGATGGCGCTGCGAGCGATGCTGGTGGACACCTCGGTCCAGTTGGGGGTGCTGGTCTGACGCCTCATGACGGTGTAGTTGGTGACGGGACTGCCGCCGTCGTACTCGGGACACGCCCATTTCAGACAGACTGTGGTCTCGCCAACCTCTCCCACCTCCACCGGGCCAATCGGGGGCCCGGGGCGGTCCAGGACCACGAAGATGAGGAAGATCTTGGTGGTGCCACCAGCGTTGGAGGCGGTGACTTCGTACCTGCCGGCGTCGCTGGAGATGCTTTCGTTCAGGGTGATGATCAGACTGTCGGGGGTGACTTCCATCAGCAGCCTCTTGGAAGGCTTAATCTGTATGTTGTTCTTCGACATGGTGACCTTGGGAGTGGGCCTGCCGCTGAGAGGAAGCTCAAAGGTCAGGTCCGATCCAGCTTTCACATAAACCGTGTTCTTAGGGTAGTTCTTCAGGTCAAACTCTGGAGCCTCTGTGGAGAACATGAGACAGCAAGGAGGTGAGTAATGTCAGCTTCATAGTGGCAGAGTGGAAAACTGTACAAAGATATCAAATCGTTTACAGGGACAATAAATTACTAAGATCAGTACCGTGTATTTCCTTGACGATGACGGGTACGATCATCTCCTTGGCTTCGCTAAGGCCGGCGTGGTTCTCGGCACGCACTCTGAAGTAGTACTCGCCACACTCCCTCAGGCTCTTGATGGTGTGGTTGAGGGTCTTTACCGTGGCACACTTCACCCACTTGGTCTGTCCCTTCTCCAGGGCGTCAATGAGGTAACCTGTGACCCTGCTGCCGCCGTCGTACTCTGGACGCGTCCAGGCAATCGTTATGCTGTCCTTGGTGACGTTTGCAACTCCAAGTTTCGTGGGAATGCTTGGCACCTCTGTAACAGAGCACAGCACAATTTATGAAGCATGCATTGCAAAAGGTTGTATATATTACCTACATAGAGATGAAAAGAACAATTATTTTCATTATGGATTCATCTGCTAACTAATGGTTTGATCTAAATAAAGTGATGAATTTGTTTATTCATTTATTTAACAGGGACAGTGCACATTAATTAACATTCCTGTAAATGTGCCAGAGTTAGCCAAGAGGCTACGTATAGAATACGGTAACATGTCCATCTCAGTTACTCAAAGGACAAGGTGATGTGTTTAAAAAACTAAATATATTCCAATTAATTAAAATATAACTGAGAGGCTGGAAACAGCATATAGAGACATTTCTACAGGAAACATTACTTTCCATTTTCAAAAAATCGTACAATTATTTTCCTGTCATTTTCAAATGCCTTATTTCGTAAAATAACAGAACAAAACTCAAAGATATGAGATATTATATTTGTTGGTTTTTAAAGATATAAAACAGAGAAAAGGAGAAAATCCGTTAGCATTTACGTTTCGAGTTAAATAGATTTTTTCAAGTGTCCAAAAATAATCTCCATATTTGAAGGCATGAAAACAACATTTCTGCATGGAAATTATTATTTGCAGCTCTGAACTAAATGCGAAGGACGGTTCATATGTTACCTGTGATCTTGGTTCCAGCCTTGGCCTCCTGAGAGACACCCAAACCGTGCTCGTTCTCCCCGATGACTCTGAAGTAGTACATGGCGCCCTCTTGCAGGTCCTCCACCTTGTATGTTAGCACGTGGCAGTTGCTGGTCACAGTGACCCAAGCCTTCTTACTGGCCTCTCGTTTTTCAACATAGTAGGCCTTCACCGCGTCCCCACCATCGTTCTCTGGAGCTTCCCAGTTGAGGGTCGCAGAGTCCCTGGTAACTGCTGACACTTTGACATTGACCGGGGGTCCAGGAGAGTCCAGCACCTTGACCACCATGGGCAATGTTGCTGTTCCCAGCGAGGATTCAATAGTAACGCAGTATTCGCCCGAGTCATTCCTGGTGGCCTTCTCGAGGGTGAGTGAAGTACTGGACTCTGTGGATTCAATGGTTCCTCTGATCTTCAGATCAACACCCTCCTTGGCCCACGCCACTGACGGCACAGGTTTGCCCTTGAATGGTACCTTGAGAGTGAATGCTGTTCCATGCTTGACCATGAGTACTTTACGCAGCTCAATGTCAACGTCAAACGATGGCTCTGTGGTTCTGTCCATGGCTGTAGCCGGATCTGAGCACAGGCTGCATGTACTGCTGCCAACTTTGTTTATTGCCTTGACACAGAATTCATATTCTGTATCTGTCTTCAGTCCGCTGATGGTGAACTCCAAGCTCTTGGTAAGAGGGATGGCTTCAACCCATCTTGCCAGTTCCTCTGGGGATTCAGGTACCTCCTCTTCCTCCTCCTCCTCCTCCTCCTCATATTCTTCCTCCTCTTCTTCTGGAACCTCTGGCTCTGGTTTGTGGACGTACTCTCTGTATTCTACAGTGTATCCCAGGACAGGAGCACCGCCATCATCTCGTGGTGGTTTCCAGACGATGGACACACTGTCCTTATTTGAAGTCACCGTCTTCGGCTTGGTTGGGCGAGAGGGAACAACCAGAGCATCCAAGGCTCTGAATGTGGCGGATTGTTCACTGGGAGGACTCAGACCAGCAGCGTTTTCAGCTAAGACTCTGAAGTCGTACTCACAACCCTTGCGCAGTTTGGTTCCTACTGTGGTACATTCAACAACTAGATCTCTGTTCACACGGACCCAACGCATGCCGGTCTTCTCACGGCGCTCAATCACGTATCCAGTGATGGGACTGCCTCCATTGCTGACTGGCTTGCACCAGGAGAGGGTCATTGTAGTTCCAGTAATGTCAGTGACATCCACACCAGTTGGAGCAGAGGCAAATGTGTATGGATCTGTAATCATCACAGCATCACTGTCCAGAGTCTCTCCACGGCCGTGCTTGTTGACGGCCAAAACCCTGAAGATGTATTCATTGCCCTTGAGCAGTCCTGTGACTTTGAGGTATGTTTTTGTGACGTCCCCCTCCACCACTGTCCAGGCCAAACGGCTGGTCTCACGCTTCTCAACAACATAATGCGTGATGTCAGCCCCGCCGGCTTCCTGAGGAGGACCCCAGGACAGAACGCATGACTCCGCTGTGAGACCTGTGATCTGCAGAGGTCCTGCTGCCGGTCCAGGCTTATCCAGAATCACACAGTGTATTGGCACGGCGACTGTGCCACCAATATTCTTCAGAGTGAGAACATACTGCCCAGAATCTCTTCTGACGCTGTCCTTCACAATGAGGCTAGTGCTGGTATCTGTTGAAACAATCTGGATCCTGGCTCTCAGCTCAATCTCTTTGCCATCCTTGGTCCAGGAAATGACAGGGGCGGGACGTCCAGCAAGGTCAGCGTTAATCTTCAGAGTCTCTCCTGCTTTCACAAGCAATGATTCTCTGTACTTGACATCAATCATTATTCTTGGTGGATCCACATCTGCCTTGACAGTGATGGGACCGGTGGTGTCTGACGGTCCACTGAACAATCCAGCTGCATTCTTAGCAATGACCCGGAAGTCATACTGGCTGTCCTCTGTAAGGCCTGTCGCGTCATAGTGGGTCTCAGGCACATTGGTGAAGTTGCATCTGGTCCAGCGTCCTTCTGGAAGATCTCTGCGCTCAATGCTGTAGCCAGTAACCTTGGCTCCTCCATCATACTCTGGCTTCTCCCAGGACAAGGTGACAGATGTTCGGGTGACAGCAGTGACCTCAGGTGTGCCGGGAGGATCACATGGATCTCTGGCTGCTACAGCTTCACAGGCCTTGCTGACTTTACCAATGCCAGCAATATTTTCAGCATAGACACGGTACTCATACATCATGCCTTCTTCAATGCCATTGACTTTGTATTCTGTTTCTTTGATCATTACTCTATTCAACTTTGACCAAATGATGCTAGTGCGCTCTTTCCTCTCCAGGTGGTAGCCCACAACAGGGCTGCCGCCGTCATTGACTGGCTCATTCCAGGTCACCAGCATGTAGGACTTGGTGGCCAACTTCACAATAGGTGTAGAGGGAGGTCCAGGCTGTTTGAAGTCGTACTGAGCAGTGATTCCCGGGGTATCCAGATATCCACTCTTGCCATAACGGTTGACAGCATAGATGCGGAATTGGTATTCTGCTCCATGTGTCAGGCGGCCAGCCTTGAAAGATGTTCTAGCAACATTACTTGCGACCATCTGCCATTCTTGTGTGTTTGTGTCTCTCTTCTCTACAATGTAGTTACTGATGGAGCAGCCACCATCATACTCTGGTAGAGACCAGGACAGTGTGATGCTGTCTGATGTCACTGCATCCAACTTAAAGGCTTTAGGTGGACTTGGTTTATCAAGGACAACCACTCCAATGTCTGCTGTGACAGTTCCTCCTGTGTTTGCAAGGGTGATCTCATACTTGCCAACATGTTCTCTGCAAGCTTCTTTGAGGATAATTTTGGATGAGGTTGCGGTGTTCAGGATGGTCACTGCCGATGTTTGCTTCAAAGGAAGGCCGTCCTTCTTCCAGGATACAACAGGCTTGGGTCTGCCTCTCACTGGAACCTCGAGGGTGAGGTCGCCTCCAGCCTTCACACTGTATGTGTTAAACAGTAAGTGGAGGGATGGTTCAATTGCAACATCCTTTGCAACCACAGGTAAGCCAAGATCCTTTGGCTCGCTCTTTCCCTTTTCATTGATTGCAATCACTCTGAATAGATAGACTTCATTAGGACTCAGATTAGGAACAGTGGCTTCAGTCACCTTGACCGTGCACGCTGTGCCCCATTTATCTCCACTCTTAGGCTTGAATTCTACATTATAGCAGATTACTTTGCTTCCACCATCATGAGCAGGTTTGTCCCATACCAGAGTCACACTGGTCTTAGTCTGATCTACAAGAGTAACCTTGTTCGGTGGCAGCGGTACCTCAGACACCTTGATTTCTTTGGTTTCTACCGCCTGTCCCTGGCCATATTTATTAACGGCACAGACTCTGAAGTAGAAAATGCCACCTTCAGGCAATTCCTCAATCTTGAATGAGTTTGTCAAGCAGTTACTGGTGACAGTAGTGTATGCCTTCCTGACAGACTCTCTCTTCTCAACAATGTAGTTTGTGATTTTAGAGCCTCCATCAGTGAGGGGTGTATCCCAGGCAAGAGTCACTGAATCCTTCTTGAGCTCCTTAACTGCGAAGCTTTGTGGTGCACTCGGTGTGTCTAGAATTCTCACTGCAACAATGGCAGACTTTTCACCACTGCTGTTCTCCAGTGTCAGTGAGTATTTTCCACTGTCAAAGCGATTAACATTGTCAATGACAAGCATGGTGTAAGAGCTGGTGGTGTCAATAGCAGCACGGTCGGTGAGGGCACCATCAACCTTCTCCCACTTCACGGAAGGTTCAGGCCGTCCTCTAATGGCAACAAAAAGACGCAGAGTTCCTCCTGCACGGACCGAAACCACCTTTCTGAGATCAGCGTCCAGCTCAATCTCTGGTGCTTCCACCCGGTCAGAAGTGACCACAGTACCGTGGACGCTAGCAGCCTCGCCCACTCCCTCTGAGTTGATGGCACAGACACGGAACTGGTACTCTCCACCTTCCTTCACGTCTGTGATAGTGAGCTTAGTGGCTTGTGTGCCAGTGGGTGGAGTGCACATGGTCCATTCCTTTACAACTGGTGCCTCTATGGCTGGCGCTACTTCTGCCTCCTCGTCTTCTTCAGGCTCTGGTGTGTACTCCCGCATTTCCACAATGTAACCCTTTACGTAGGCACCACCATCAAAGTCAGATTTGCCCCAGGTCAGGGACACAGAAGACTTGGTGTAGTCTGTCACCTTAGGATGATGTGGAGGTCCAGGTGGTGTGAGGGAATCACAAGCTCTGTAGAGCAGGGACAACTCACTGAGGTCTCCCATTCCAGCCTCGTTCTCAGATGCAACACGGAACTCGTAGAAGTGGTCCATCATCAGACCCGTGACCTTGAAGTGGTTGTCGGTCAGCTTTTGTCTGTTGCATTTTGTCCACCTTACACTATCCTTGTCACGCTTTTCAAGGTGGAAGGTGTCAATTTCAGCTCCACCACTCTGCTCTGGAGGAGTCCAAGTCAGAACAATAGAGTCCTTTGTAATCTGACTTCCTTCTGGAGTTCCAGGAGCACTGGGGGGCTTGTAAGGATTGCGTGCAATGATGGGTTCACTCTCAAGACAATCTCCAACACCATATTTGTTGACTGCCTTGACTCTGAAAATGTATTCATTTCCAGTGAGCAGATTTTTTAGTTTATAGAATGTACCCTTAACACTCTGTGCAGCTACTGTCCAGGACAACCTGCTGGTCTCTCTCTTCTCCAAGATATAGTGAGTGATGCTAGCCCCACCATCTAGAGTTGGTTCAGACCAAGCCAGGGTGCACCTGTCAGACATGATACCTGTCACTGTCATGGGTCCAGGGGGTGGACCTGGTTTATCAAGGACTTTGACGGTGATAGGGAAGGTTTTTGTGCCGCCTGGATTTTTGAGGACGAGGTCATAGTGGCCACTGTCAAGCTTGGTGACATCTTTAATCGTAATGGCTGTACGTTTCTGTGTAGTCTTCACTTCAATGCGCAGGGCTTTTGTTATTTCCTTACCCTCTTTTAGCCAGGCAACATCAGGAATTGGTTTTCCATATATGTCTGCATCAAGAACCAAGTGTTCACCTGCATTGATAACAATGGCATCCTTGTATTTGGGATCCATTGAGGCCCTTGGTGGTTCAATTTCATCAGTAGCAGTAATAGGTCCAGAGCTGTCGGATGGCTCGCTGAAGACTCCGGCTGCATTTCTTGCAGTAACTCTAAATTCATATTGCTCGCTCTCAGTCAGGCCAGTGACCGTGTACTCAGTTTCCACTATATTTGTGAAATTAGCTCTGACCCAGCGCTTCTCATCGGAGGCAAGATCTTTCCTTTCCACAATATATCCATTCACTTTGCTGCCACCATCATACTCAGGCTTGGTCCACTGAATCTTTATTATGGTCTTAGAGATAGAAACAACTTCAGGAGCACCAGGAGGATCACATGGGTCACGAGCAACAAAGGACTCAGACGCTTTACTGCATCTGCCAATGCCAACAATATTTTCACCATACACTCTGAATTCATATCCAATACCCTCCTCAAGATTGCTGATCTTGAACTGAGTATCAGTGATAAGAGTCTTGTTCAGTTTGTTCCACATGATGCTGCTTCTCTCCTTGCTTTCTAGATGGTACCCAATGACTGTACTTCCACCATCATTGACAGGCTCATTCCACTCAATGATCATCATTTCCTTTGTTGCAGATTGCACACCTGGTGTTCCTGGAGGCCCTGGTGGTTTGTATGGATATTGAACCACGATGGACTTTGAATCCAGGGATGAACCCTTTCCATATCTGTTTTCAGCTATGATTCTGAACTGGTATTCTGCACCAGTCTTCAGCTTAGGGATCTTTATTGCTGTTCTTGCAAGCTGTGTGGTGACTGACTGCCATGTTTGGGTGGTGGTGTCTCTCTTTTCCACGATATAGCTCTTTACCTGGCATCCACCCATGTACTCTGGTGGATCCCATGCGAGGTGGACAAAGGTGTTGCTCACTTCTACAACCTTCACCGGACCTTTAGGAGGATCAGGCTTGTCAAGGACAATTATAGACAAATCCTGATTGATGGTGTTGACATTATTGCTTGCTTTGATGGAATATCTGCCAAAGTCCTCCTTGCATGCTTCAGTAATTTTAATTCCAATTATTGTTGGTGTGTTTATCACATTGACTCTAGATGTCACACCCAAAGGCAGACCGTCCTTGGTCCAGGATACTTGAGGTTTGGGTCTGCCAAGCAACGGGAACTCCAACCTCAGGTCTTTTCCAGCTAACACACTGTAGGTGTTGAATTGCATCTTAATGCTTGGCTCCATGGTCATGTCACTGGCAACAATGGGCGCAGCAAGAGCAATTGGCTCACTCTTTCCCTTCTCATTGTAAGCAATGACCTGGAAAAAGTATTCTGCTCCTGATGTGAGGCCTTTGACTGTTCCGTCACATGTCTTTGTATTTGTTGCGACTCCCCACTTGTCTGTACCCTTGGGTTGCATCTCAATCAGGTAGCCACCTATTCTACTGCCTCCATCATGCTCAGGCTTCTCCCAGGCCAGAGAGACTGTGGCTTTGGTGACATCAGTGATAGAGATTTTTCCAACAGGCATTGGTACCTCGGAGGCCTTGAAAGCTGCCTTTGTTTCTATAGACGAGCCAGTTCCGAAATCATTCTCAGCCATGACTCTGAAGTAGTACAAGGCACCTTCAATCAAGTTGTCCACTTTGAAGGTTGTTGATGTGCATTTTGTTGATACATTTGCATATGCCTTTCTGGTTGATTCACGTTTGTCGATGACATAGTTCTTGATTTTGTAACCTCCATCAATCAGTGGGGCCTCCCATACAAGAGTGACAGAGTCCTTTCTAATGTCTTGAACAGCAAGTTTCAGTGGGGCGCTGGGTGTATCCAGGACTTTAACCGAAACAATCTCAGACACAGTCCCACTGCTGTTGGTCAGACTCAAGGAGTATTTTCCAGAGTCATTCCTGTCACATGAGTCAATGGACAACTGTGTGAAGTTCAGAGCTTTCTCAACCACCGCTTTTTCAGTCAAGTCTCCCTCATCCTTAGTCCACTTAACCTCAGGTGTTGGCCTGCCCTTGAATGGAATATGGATTCTAACAGATCCACCAGCTTTCACGATGATGCCCTTCCTTAGCTCTGAGTCGAGCATGATTAGAGGTGGCTCCACCCTTTCCTCTGGTTTGGCTGTTCCAGAAAGAGATGCTGGCTCACCAACTCCCAGTTTGTTCAGAGCACACACCTGGATTTTGTATTCCTGACCCTCAGTCAGTTTGGTAATTTCATATTTGTTGACACGCAGGCCAGTAGGGGGAGTAACCATGGTCCATTCTTCCTCTTCAGCCTTGCAGACTTCAACAATATATCCTTGGATTTCACTGCCACCATCAGACAGTGGCTTACCCCAGGACACTGAAATAGAGCTCTTTGTGGAGTCACTTACATTCACATATGCCGGTGCACCAGGTTTGTACTTGGGGTCACTGGCCTTGTAGTATGGAGTTGGGAGGCTTGGCACTCCTGCTCCAACAACATTCTCAGCTGTGACTCTGAACTCATATTCATGGCCAGAGGTTAGGCCTGTAACTCTGAAGGACAGATCAGTGACCTTCTGACGGTTGCATCTAGTCCACTTGATTCCCTGCCGGTCCTTCTTTTCAACAATGTAATTGGTAATCTCACTGCCTCCTTCGGTGTCAGGAGCTAACCAAGAGACGGTCATGCCATCATGTGCAATGTTGGTTACTTCCTCCATGTGAGGTTGACCAGGAGCAATAAATGGAGTCTTCATAATGGCTGCACTAGACAGCAGTGGTTCACTGATACCATAACCGTTAACTGCCATGACACGGAACATGTACTCATTGCCTTCCAGTAAATTGGTGACTTTGAAGCATGTGTGTTCACAGCTGTTAGAAACAATAGTCCAAGCGAGGCGGCTGGTCTCTCTTCTCTCGATGAGATAGTTTTTAATAGGACTACCTCCATCATGTAGAGGGGCACGCCAGGCCAGTGTGCATCTATCTTCAGCTACTCCCGCGATGTGAAGGGGTCCTTCACATTGGCTGGGCCTGTCCAGCACCACCACCTTGAATGGAACAGTTTCACTGCCAGCGCAGTTTGTCAGCTGGAGAGTGTAATCTCCACCATCAACTCTGATAGAGTCCTTAATTACAATCATAGCATGGTTTTCTGTGTTCTTTATTTCCAGTCTGAGTGTATTCTCGATTGGTTTTTCACCCTTGAACCACTGGATTGTAGGGGCTGGCTTGCCAGAGACATCTGCATCCAGCTTGAATGTCTCTCCGGCATTGATGATGATGGTCTTGGTGAATGCAGGGTCGATGGAGAATTTGGGCGCCTTAAACTCGTCACTTACAGTGATCGGTCCACTGTTGTAGGATGGCTTACTGACGGTGCCTACAGCATTTTTGGCAATGACTCTAAAGTCATACTGGGCATTTTCAGTCAGACCAGTGACAGTGAACTTGGTCTCAATCACATTAGTGAAGTTTGCCCTTACCCACCTGCCCTCTGGCAGATCACGCCTCTCCACGGTATAGCCGGTGATATTACTGCCACCATCATATTCTGGTTTAGTCCATTGGATGATGATGGTGTCTTTGGTCACATGGATGGCTTCTGGTGTGCCAGGAGGATCACATGGGTCACGTGCAACACAGCCCTCTGAGAGCTTACTGCACCTTCCAATGCCAACAATATTCTCAGCATAAACTCTGTATTCATATTCAATACTCTCCTCCAAGGGGTAACTCTTGAAAATAGGCTCATGGATTAGTGTCTTGTTGATCTTGATCCAGAGAATACTGTTCCGCTCTTTCCTCTCAAGATGGTATCCAAGGACAGGGCTGCCTCCATCTACGACAGGCTCGTTCCACTCAACAATCTGGTGGTCCCGAGAGAGGGAGGAGACGAAGGGGGTGCCTGATGGACCTGGCTCTTTGTATGGGTACTTAGCGACCACGGCGGGTGAATCCAGACCGTGACTCTTGCCGTAGCGGTTCTGGGCAATGATCCTGAACTGGTACTCAGATCCAGTCTTCAGTCTAGGCACTTTGATGGTGGTTCTTGCCCAGTTGTTGCTCACATTTTCCCAAGATGTGGTAGTAGTATCTCTCTTCTGTACAATGTAGTTTGAAATCTCGCAGCCACCATTGTGTTTTGGTGGATCCCATGAAAGAGTGATACTCTGTGTTGTAATTTCATCAAACCTCACAGGGCCAGATGGAGGGCCGGGTTTGTCAAGTACAATGATTTCAAGGGATGTGTCCTTCTTTCCTGCTGAGTTAACAAGATTTATACTGTACATGCCACCATCATCACCAGCGGCCTCCTTAATGCTCAGTGTTGTATGTGTTGGTGAGTTGAGAATGTTGACTCTGGTAGTGAACTTCAAAGAAGCCCCATCTTTACTCCATAAGACTTTTGGTTTGGGTCGTCCATAGATGGGAACGTCAACATTTAGGTCTTTGCCCACAAGGACACTGTAGCTGCTGAATGCTGGTCGAACTTCAGGCTCAAAGACTAGATCTGTGGTCATCACTGGACCAGAAAGGACTTTGGGGTCACTTTTTCCCTTATCGTTGATTGCTGTGACTCTGAACAGATACTCATCTCCAGGGTTCAGTTTGGTAACAGTAGTCTCCATTGTCTTAAATGTGTTAACACCATTCCACTTCTCCTGGCCCTTGAGCTGCACTTCAAGCAGATAATGAATCACTCTGCTGCCACCATCATACTCTGGCTTCTCCCAGGCCAGAGAGATACTTGTTTTGGTCTGATCTGTAACAATCAAGTTCTTTGGAGTCTGGGGCACCTCTGAGACCTTAAGAGGGTCAACAGTTGTGGCAGGCAGGCCGACACCATGTCCGTTCTCAGCAAGGACTCGGAAGTAGTAACTGCAGCCCTCCTGGAGCGGCTCAATCTTCCACGAAAGCTTGTGACAATTTGTTGCAACTGCAGCATATGTCTTACGTGTACTTTCTCTCTTTTCAATAACATAATTCTTGATCTTGGACCCGCCATCCAACAGAGGTGGCTCCCATTCCAGTGTGACTGACTGGTTTGTAATTTCTTTCACTTTCAAAGCAACGGGAGCACTAGGTGTGTCGAGAACACGGACAACAACAAATGCAGATTTGGTTCCGCTGGCGTTCTCTGCAGTGATGGTGTATTTTCCACTGTCATTTCTGCTCATCTTGTCGATGACAAGGGATGAGTAACTGCTGGTCACCTCGACCTGAGCCGTCTCCTTAAGTGCAGCTTCATCTTTGTCCCAAGTGATGGTAGGAGTGGGCCTTCCCTTGATGGGTATGAACAGTCTAAGGGAAGCTCCAGCTTTAATGGTCACAATCTTTCTCAGTTCTGCGTCAATGTCAAGGTCTGGCTCCTCTGCCCTGTCCTGTGCAACGACAGCTCCAGAGACATCAGCAGGCTCACCAACTCCAACTTTGTTAATAGCACAAACTCTAAACTTGTATGCCTGGTTTTCCTTCAGGTTTGCAACTTCATACTTTGTCTTCTTGATACCAGTGGCTGGTGTGCACATTGTCCATTGCTCGGCAGGGGCATCTGTGGCAGTGGCCGCAGCAGGGGCCTCAGCAGGAGCCTCAGCAGGAGCCTCCGTTGGCAATGCTGACTCTGTGGTGGTGCAGCACTCAACAATGTATCCCTCAATGGCACAGCCTCCATCACAGGCAGGCTTGCTCCATGACAGGAACACTGATGTTCTAGATGTGTCCGTCACCTTTGGATTGTGTGGTGGGCCGGGCCTGAAGATGGGATCGAGAGATCTGAAGTAAACAGTCGGGGAGCTTGGCTCTCCAGCACCTACAGCATTCTCAGCTGCAACTCTGAATTCATAACAATGGCCTTCCAAGAGTCCAGGGACCTTGAAAGTCAAGTCAGTGACTGTTTTCCTGTTGCATCTGGTCCATCTGACACCTTCCTTGTCATGTTTCTCAATTATGTATCCGGTGATAGGACTGCCTCCATCCTCAGAAGGAGCCTCCCAGGTCAGCATCATCGAATCTTTTCTAATATCTGAAACTTCCAAGCTCTTTGGTGTTCCAGGAGCTGCATATGGTTCCTTGATTGTGACAGCATCAGATTCCAGTGGTGCACCAACCCCATACTGGTTGACAGCATGGACTCTGAAGATGTACTCGTTTCCTTCCAGCAGCTTAGTAATCTTCAAAAAGATGGTCTCCACATTTGAGTCGACAACAGTCCAGACTAGCCTGCTTGTCTCTCTCCTCTTCACAATGTAGTGAGAGATCTTGCTGCCACCATCTTGCACTGGAGGTTTCCATGAAAGGCAGCACCGATCTTTGGTTATTCCTGTTATTACAAGAGGTCCCTGTGGTTCTCCAGGTTTATCTAGAACAACAACATTGACCTCTACTGCTTTTTCTCCTCCTGGATTCTTCAGCAGCAGAATGTATTGGCCTCCATCTGTAAGTTTGGCTTCCTTGAAAGATATATAAGCTTTGGTGGGTGTGTTCTTAATTTCTCTATGAATAGTGTTGCCCAGTTCATTCTCTCCCATCATCCATTGGATAGAGGGCAATGGTTTTCCATGAACATCTGCATCAATCTTGAAGTTGTCTCCAGCACTGACCACAATAGTCTTTGTGTATTCTGGGTCTATGCTAACGCGTGGGGGTTCAATATCATCCTTGGCAGTGATGGGGCCAGTGCTGAAAGAGGGCATACTGAAAACACCAGCAGCATTTCTAGCAATAACACGGAACTCATACTGGCTGTCCTGCACAAGTCCAGTTGCAACGTATTCAGTCTCAATGACATTGGTGAAGTTAGCCTTCAGCCAGCGACCTTCAGGAAGCTCCTTCTTTTCCACAATGTAGCCAGTGACCTTTGAACCACCATCATATTCAGGCTTATTCCAAACGATGGTAATGGAGTCCTTTCCGATCTTTGTCGCCTCTGGGGTGCCAGGGGGATCACAAGGATCTCTGGCAATACATCCCTCAGACACTTTGCTCATTTTTCCTATTCCAACAATGTTTTCAGCATAAACTCTGTATTCATACTCCATACCTGATTCCAGATCACTGGTCTTGAAGGTTTGGTCAGTAATCAGAGACTTGTTCAGTTTCACCCACATGATGCTGTTTCTCTCCTTGCGGTCGAGATGGTAGCCTAAGATTGTGCTTCCACCATCATTCACAGGTTCATTCCAGGCCACCACCATGCTGTCTTTGGTGCAGACTGCAATGTTTGGTGTTCCTGGGGGTCCTGGGAGCTTGTATGGGTATTGAGCCACAATACACTCTGAGAGAAGAACAGGGCCTTTTCCATATCTGTTTTCTGCTGTTATTCTAAACTGATACTCAGAGCCAGTCTTCAACCTGCCTGCCTTGATTTTGGTTCTTGCGAGATTTGGAGATACAACCATCCAAGCAGTTGTGGATGTGTCTCTCTTTTCCACAATGTAGTGTTTGATGGTGCAACCACCGTCATAGACTGGTCGGCTCCAGGCGATGGTTACACTTCCAGAAGTTACCTCCTCTACCTTAACGGGGCCGCCAGGCTGACCCGGTTTGTCGAGTACAACAATACCGATGTCTGCTGTTGCCTCTCCTGCTGTGTTCTTTAACGTGATGTGGTACTTTCCAATATCATCTCTAGTAGCTTCTTTTATGTTGAGCTTCAGCATTGTCTCAGTTCCGCCAACGTTAACTCTGGTAGTCCTCTTCAGAGGTTCACCATCTTTAACCCAGGAGACTTCTGCTTTGGGACGTGCCACTATTGGGACTTCTACTGTCAGATTTTCTCCTGCCAACACACTGAATGTGTTGAACATCATTTTGATAGAAGGTGCAATCACAAGATCCTTTAAGATCACAGGCACACCGATTTGACGTGGGTCACTTGTTCCCTTCTCGTTTCTTGCTGCTACACGGAACATGTACTCTTCACCCTCATTGAGTTGTTTAATAGTAGCTTCTGTTTCCTGTACAATGCCAGACGGGTACCACTTATCCTCACCCTTTGGCTGGATCTCAATGACATAACAGCCAACTCTGCTGCCGCCATCGTGCACTGGCTTCTCCCAGGCCAGGGTGACAGTGGTCTTGGTGACATCCTTAAGAGTGATCTTGCCAGGTGGCTGTGGTTTCTCAGACACTTTAACTGATTCACCAGCCTCAATGGGAAGACCAATGCCATATTCATTCTCAGCTAGAACTCTGAAGTAATAGTTGCATCCTTCCAGAAGCTGGCCTACTGTGAAGGTGGTGCTATGGCAGTTAGAGTTAACTGTGGCATATGCTTTCCTTGTGGACTCACGTTTTTCAACAATATAGTTCTTAATCTTAACTCCTCCGTCATTCACTGGTGGCTCCCAGGCAAGAGTGACAGATTCCTTTGTTACAGCAGTAATCTTCAGATTCTGTGGGGCACTTGGTGTGTCAAGCACACGGACCTGGACTGTAACTGTCTTGGAGCCAGACTCGTTTTCAACTGTAAGGTTGTACTTTCCGCTGTCAAATCTATTGACATTTTCAACAACAAGTGACGTGTATGATGTTGTGCTGTCAATGGTTGCCCTCTCCACACGTTCCCCATCTCCCTTGGTCCATGAAGCAGTAGGAGCTGGTCGGCCTCTGATGGGCACAAACAGTCTGAGTGAGCAGCAAGCTCTCAGACTGACCACCTTGCGGAGCTCAGCATCCAAATCAATCTCAGGTGGAAGGAGCCTGTCCTCTGCCTTGGCATTGCCAGGTACAGATGCTGCCTCTCCAATGCCTTCACTGTTGATGGCAGAGATGTTAATCATGTACTCCTGGTTCTCCTTCAGGTTAATAATGGTGAATGAGGTGGCAAGGAGTCCTTCTTTGGGTGTCACAATTGTCCATTCTCCCTCTTCCTCTTTCTCAGATGGGATGCAGGTCTCCACAATGTAGCCAGTGAGATCTGAGCCTCCGTCATACACAGGCTTGTTCCAGGCCACAGTGATCGAGGACTTGGATGTGTCCAAGATTCTGGGGTTGCATGGGGCCCCGGGTGCGTACAGCACATCAGTGGCCTTGTAGAAGGGACTCGAGGCACTTGGCGGGCTCAGTCCGGCAATATTCTCAGCAATAACTCTGAATTCATACTCATGCCCAACGAGAAGGCCTGTTGCCTTGAACTGTAGATCTTTTACCTTCCTCTTGTTGCATTTGACCCAGCGGAGGCCTATCCTGTCTTTCCTTTCAATGCTGTAGTTGGTGATGGGAGTTCCGCCATCACTCTTAGGCGCCTGCCACATAACAAACATTGAATCTTTAGTGATAGCCGTCACCTCAGGATTTTCTGGAGCCTCTGGAACCACATATGGGTTGTCTGCAATGGTGGGTTCTGAATCAAGACACTCGCCAATTCCATACTTGTTCACTGCCATAACTCTGAAGATGTATTCATTTCCTTTGAGCAGCTTGGTCACCTTGTACTGTGTAACTTGCAGGTCTGAAACCACATTGGTCCAAACGAGTCTGCTTGACTCGCGCTTCTGAATCACGTATCCGTCAATCTTGGCACCTCCATCATCTGCAGGTGGAGCCCAGGAGAGTATACAGTTATCAGCGGTAACATCAGACACCTCCAGAGGTCCTCCAGGTGGTCCAGGTCTGTCAAGTACTTTAACCTTAAAAGTGTGCTTAGCAAATCCACCAACATTAGTGGCAGTCAAAACAAATTCTCCTCCATCCGCTCTCATAGAGTCCTTGTTGGTCAGAAGGGTTGTCAGTTCTGTGAATTTGACGGCCAGTTTCATCGTGTTCTCAATGTCCTTTCCATTCTTGGTCCAGACCATGGATGGGGTTGGTTGACCAGCAATGTCAGCATCAAGCTTGAAGGACTCTCCTGCTTTCAGCAGAATAGTATCTTTAAAGATGGCATCAACCATAATGCGTGGCTCAATGATGTCGTCTTTGCAGGTGATTGGGTCTGAGTGATCAGAGGGAACGCTCACTGCCCCGGCTGAGTTTCTGGCTATAACACGGAACTCATAGGAGGCATCCTGAGTCAGTCCGCTGACAGTGAAGGCTGTCTCTGTGATGTTGGTGAAGTTGGCTCTCATCCAGCGGCCAGCAGGCAGTTCCTTCTTCTCCACCGTGTAGCCGGTGATTTTGAAACCACCGTCGTACTCTGGCTTTGCCCACTGAATGGTGATGACATTCTTATTGACAAAGATGGGCTCAGGCATACCTGGAGGGTCCACAGGGTCCAAGGCCAGGATGGCTTCTGAGGCCTTGCTTGGCTTACCAATTCCAGCCATGTTTTCAGCCATGACGCGGAACTCATAGGCAGCACCGTCTTCAAGCCCGATGGTTTTAAAGAGGTTTCCTTTGACAAGAGTCTTGCTGATCTTTTGCCATACGATGCTGCTTCTCTCTTTCCTCTCAACATGATAACCAATCACTTCATTTCCACCATCAACCACAGGCTCATTCCATCCAATGGTGATTGAGTCCTTGGTAAATGCAACAACACCTGGAGTACCTGGAGGACCAGGTACTTTGAATGGATAGGCAGCCACCACAGCATTTGAGGTGATGGGAGGTCCAACACCATATCTGTTCTTAGCCTTGACTCTGAACAGGTACTCTGATCCAGTGGTCAGGCGAATGGCTTTGAACACAGTGCGAATGATAGCAGAGGACAGCTCAGTCCAGGTTTGGGTAGTTGTGTCTCTGATCTCAACCACATAATTGTTGATGGGAACACCTCCGTCATTCTCAGGAGTGTCCCATGCAAAGACACAATAGGTACGAGATATCTCCACAATGTTAATCGGTCCCTTGGGGGGCCCGGGTACATCGTGAACCTTGACAATGATGTTGTCTGTCACAGAGCCAACAATGTTCTTTCCTGTCATGGTGTACAGCCCGCTGTCAGCTCTGTTGCATTCACCAATGCTGAGAATGACAGTAGCAGCGGTAGTTTCCACGCTGGTTCTCTGTGTAAGCTTCAGGGATGCGCCATCCTTTTGCCAACTAATAGTTGGTCTAGGACGTCCCATAACTGGAATTTCAACCTTGATGTCGTCTCCTGCCTTGGCAATGATAGTTTTCTGACATACACCCCGCAGGTCAAACTCAGGCAGGGAGGTAGAGTCCTTGACCTGGATGGATTTGCTCTCATGTGGTGCACTTCTACCAGAGTGGTTGACAGCCATGACACGGAAGAAGTACTCCTCCAACTCATTAAGACTCTTCACTGTGAAGTCCATGGTCTTCACTGCTGTCACGTGTGCCCATTGATCAGTTCCCTTCTTCTTGGCTTCAAGGACATATCCTGTAACTCTGCTTCCACCATCATGCTTGGGCTTGGTCCAAGCCAAGCTCACAGAGTTCTTTGTAATATCAGTAGGGATGATACTCTGTGGAGGCGTTGGTGCCTGTGATGCACGAATTGGATCAGCCGTCTCCACCGACTCACCGATGCCATACTCGTTCTCGGCAGACACTCTGAAGTAGTACTCACAGCCTTCACCCAGGTCACTGATGTTCACTGAGGTGGTTGGGCAATGTGTGATAGCTGTAGCAAAAGCCTTGCGTGTTGATTCTCTCTTTTCAATTATGTAGTTGGTGATTTTGGCTCCACCATCGATCAGAGGCATCTCCCACTGAAGAGTGATGTTGTCCTTTTCAATCTTGAGAGGTTTCAGGTTGAGTGGGGGTCCAGGTGAATCCAGGACTCTCACATTTATATCTGCAGTTTTATTTCCAGCAGAGTTTTCCAGGGTCAGCTCGTATTTACCGGCATCGACCCTTGAGCTCTCAGGGATGATCAGCATTGTGAAGGACTCGGTGCTGTCAACGACTGCCCGCAGGACAGGACCTCCCTCCTTAGTCCAGGCGACAGTGGGCGAAGGACGTCCCTTGATAGGCACAAAGAGGCGGATGGAGCAGCCAGCCCTGACGACCAGGGTTCTTCTCAGCTCCATATCCAGCTCCAAACCAGGTTCGGTTTCACGCTCTACGATCTCCATCAGCTCCAGAGTCTCAGCAGGCTCTCCGGCTCCTTTAGCGTTCACAGCGCTAATTCTGAAGTGGTACTTTGCACCTGTCTCCAGCCCGGGAACAACAAACTCTGTGATCCTCAGTGGAGACGAGGGGGTGTCTCTAACCCATTCTTCTGCCCCTTCCTTCTTGTGCTCAATCACATATCCAGTCACCTCCAGCCCTCCGTTGTCCAGGGGTTTGCCCCAGTTCAGAGTGGCAGTGGTGTTGGTCGTGTCTGTGACTCTTGGATTGACTGGAGGTCCGGGCACATCTGCCAGGGATAAAGTAAGTGGTTAGTGTCTTTAAACAATTATGATGTGCCTTCAAAATAAAAGGCTTCAGCAATTTGAAATGTAAAGGAATTTGGGTAAGGAGAACATGAATATGCCCCTGAATCATCTTGTTGGGAACCCTTGTTTTACTTACAGGCAATAACTGTGGTTATGACAGGCATTGACGGCTCACTGGGCTCTCCATAGCCGGCTTTGTTTTCCGCCAGAACACGGAACTCGTACTCGATGCCCTCAATGAGGCCGGTCAATTGGTAGCTCATCTCGACGATGGGCTTCTTGGACGCCCTGACCCATCTCATGCCCTTCTTCTCCTTCTTCTCCACACAGTACCCTAAAATATCACTTCCTCCATCCTCAGCCGGCCTCCTCCAGGTCACAGTGGCTGAATGTCCATCCACTTTGCCAACCTCCGGTTTAGATGGTGGACCGGGAGGACCTACACGCAGAGAAGAGGAAATACATTCAGGAATCTGAGTGTACATAAAGGTTTCTGAAATGTAATGCTTTAAATGAGGATTCATGTTATGATTAAATAAAAAGTTAATTTGCATACATTTCCTGTACATAAATGTGAGCGTTGAATAAAGCCAGGTTCAAAATGTTTTTACAGAGGGGGATTTTGGATATCTTTATGTATCATAAGATAAGATAAGATATACTTATGGTACAAAACGATTTAAAAAAGAAATCACTCCAATAATCAAAAAATACAGGCATAAAAAATGGCATGTTGTCCACATGAACGTACCGAATCTGTCGACCATCCTGACGGCCTCGGAGTGAGACGGATCGCTGGCTCCGTACTGGTTCACGGCGGACACTCTGAAGAAGTACTCGTTGCCCTGGATGAGCTTGTTGGCCACGTAGTGACAGTCCAGGACCTTCTCTTCCAGGATGGTCCACAGCAGGCGGCTGGTCTCCCTCTTCTCGAGGGTGTAGTACTTGATGGCGGAGCCTCCGTCCGTGGTGGGGGCCGTCCAGGTGAGAGTGACCTTCTCAGAGGAAATGCCGCTGCACTCGATGGGCCCAGGAACTGCAGGAACATCCAGGACTTTGACCTTCACCGTCTCCTCCTTCACTCCGAAGGGGTTGCTGGCGGTGATGATGTAGTCTCCGGAGTCATTCCTGCTGGCGTACTTCACGGACAGCGTAGAGGAAGAAGCGGTGGTCTCGATGTTAACCAGGTCCGAGGGTTTGAAATACTTTCCTCCCTTGGACCAGCAGGAGGTGGGCGCAGGTTTGCCTATAATGCTGGTGGCAGTGATCACGATGGTGTCTCCAGCCCGGACGGTGAGACCCTCCATCACGTGAGAGTCAATGATGATGGTCGGGGCAGCTGTTGGACCATGAAGGATAAACTTAATTCATCATGCAGATTAAATTACAGGGTATTTGGATTAAAGATATATGTGTGGTAGTTTTAAAAATGCCCGATCATCTGGGAACCATATCGGCAAATCTTTCTCTTAGTTTTTTGTTAAAGCAGCTGATATAGAAGTCTATCAGGACTTAATCATTTTAATCGACCTAAAGTCTTACTGTTTTTGTTTACTTTGTTATTGTCATCTCATGTGGTAATTTGCATGAACACACACATTCAAATGATTCAAGAGATCCTCTCTAATGCCTACTTTATAATGCAGTTTTCACCAAAAACTAAATGTTACAAGAGCACTTTGATCATGATAACGTTATAATTGACTTAGAGATGTGTCAATAGTGACTGATTATAAAAGCACAAAAGGTGTTGGTTTCATTAATACATGGTATATCTATCTCACCGTATTCGTCGGAGCAGATGATGGTGTCTGTCTGCTCCGAGGGGGGGCTGAGGGCTCCGGCCGAGTTCTTGGCTCGGATCCTGAACTCATACTTGCAGCCCTCCTGCAGGTCGGTGACGGTGTACGCCGGGTCGACCACGTTCACAGGGTTGGCCTTCACCCAGATCTTGGAGGGCAGGTCGCGGCGCTCCACGATGTAGCCGGTCAGCCGATGGCCGCCGTCAGACTGCGGCTCGGTCCACTGCAGGGTGACGGTGCTTCTGGTGATGCTGACTACATCGGGTCTGCCAGGAGCATCTGGGGAAGCAGGGATTCAAAACATGAAGGCATTGCAGCATACGTCACACAATCACTGATGGATCAGCTGTCCAACCCTTACCGATGGGGTCCAGGGCCACCTGGGGGTCGGTGGGGGCGCTGGGCCTCCCGATGCCGGCCAGGTTGACGGCCATGACTCTGAACTCGTACTCAAGTCCTTCAGTCAGGCCCATCACTTTGTGCTCCCTCATCATCAGGGCGCTGGGGCTCGCCCTCTTCCACAACATGCTGTTCCTCTCCTTGAATTCAACAAAGTAGCCTGGATGGACGGGCAAAATCACAATCAATACACATCAAACAAACACGACAGTGTTTATATTACTATTTATTAAGTCAAGGAGGTAACACTGCTCTAAATTCTTTAGGATCAAAGATAGAAGACAGAACCACATCGATATTGGACGGGAAGATAGAGGTGTGTGAGGAGGCTCACCTGTGATGGGAGACCCTCCGGTCTTCCTGGGGTCGTTCCAGGACAGGTAGGCGGAGTTATGGCGCATGCTTGAGATCTGAGGTGGAGGAGGAGCATCGGGAACATCTGCAGGAAAGAAGACAAGTTGTTTTAAAAACTCTTAAACGATGAAGATATAATATGGATGTATGGCCCTGAAGGTGGAGCACTTACTGAAGGGATGTTTGGCCACGATGGGGTCGGACTTGAGCCCCTCGCTGACACCATACTTGTTTTCAGCGCTGACTCTGAAGATGTACTCGGTGCCCTCATGCAGGCTGGTCACCCGCTGCACGTTGCTCTCAACGGCGGAGGACACCGTCACCCACATGTTGGTGACAAAGTCCCTCTTCTCCAGGATGTAGTTGGTGATCTCAGAGCCGCCGTCGTCCTTCGGAGCGACCCACTTCAGCGTGGCGGCGTCCGCGTTGACGTCCTTGAACTTCACGGGGCCAATCGGGATGCCGGGTTTACCCACCACCCTGAGAAGAGACGTGGATTATATATTAATAATATATTCTTACCATTGTTACTACAGAGACGGTAATGATGTCCAGGAGTAGCATAGTGGGGGTGAGCAGGGATCAAGACTCCTCACCTCATTATGAACAGATTTAAATGAAATCTGGTTTGAGAAACTAAACACCACTCTACGCAGTAGGTTAGGCAGCACATGGCCTCGCCTCTTAAGAAATTAACTGGGACTATTATTCGTTTATGATCAATGAATCCTGATGCAGTTGGTGGACTAGTTTCCGTGAAATCTGCTCCACCGATAGAGAAGTGTTTTTTATTATTAAAAGCTGATCTAACTGTTAAATATGGTGGACTCTAGGGTCCTACCTGATGAGGCAAAGGACTCTAGGGTCCTACCTGATGAGGCAAAGGACTCTAGGGTACTACCTGATGAGGCAAAGGACTCTAGGGTCCTACCTGATGAGGCAAAGGACTCTAGGGTCCTACCTGATGAGGCAAAGGACTCAGTGGTCCTACCTGATGAGGCAAAGGACTCTAGGGTCCTACCTGATGAGGCAAAGGACTCAGTGGTCCTACCTGATGAGACAAAGGACTCAGTGGTCCTACCTGATGAAAAGGACTCTAGGGTCCTACCTGATGAGGCAAAGGACTCAGTGGTCCTACCTGATGAAAAGGACTCTAGGGTCCTACCTGATGAGGCAAAGGACTCAGTGGTCCTACCTGATGAGACAAAGGACTCAGTGGTCCTACCTGATGAGGCAAAGGACTCTAGGGTCCTACCTGATGAGGCAAAGGACTCTAGGGTCCTACCTGATGAGGCAAAGGACTCAGTGGTCCTACCTGATGAGACAAAGGACTCAGTGGTCCTACCTGATGAGGCAAAGGACTCTAGGGTCCTACCTGATGAGGCAAAGGACTCTAGGGTCCTACCTGATGAGGCAAAGGACTCAGTGGTCCTACCTGATGAGACAAAGGACTCTAGGGTCCTACCTGATGAGGCAAAGGACTCAGTGGTCCTACCTGATGAGACAAAGGACTCTAGGGTCCTACCTGATGAGGCAAAGGACTCTAGGGTCCTACCTGATGAGACAAAGGACTCTAGGGTCCTACCTGATGAGGCAAAGGACTCAGTGGTCCTACCTGATGAGACAAAGGACTCTAGGGTCCTACCTGATGAGGCAAAGGACTCAGTGGTCCTACCTGATGAGGCAAAGGACTCAGTGGTCCTACCTGATGAGGCAAAGGACTCTAGCGTCCTACCTGATGAGGCAAAGGACTCAGTGGTCCTACCTGATGAGACAAAGGACTCAGTGGTCCTACCTGATGAAGACGCTGGTCTTAGTGGTCCTACCTGATGAAGACGCGGCTCTTAGTGGTCCTACCTGATGAAGATGGTGCTCTCCTTGCTCCCAGCGCTGTTCCTCAGGGTGATGGTGTACTTAGAGGCATCGCTGCGCTGGCAGTCCCTGATCAGGAGGGTGGTGTTGACGGCGGAGGACTCGGCGCAGACACGGCCGGTGTCCGTCAGGTTCTCCTCCTCGCCCTTCTTCCAGGAGACCTTAGGCGTGGGCTTGCCGATGATGGGGATCTTCAGGCGCACCGTGCTGCCCTCCTTGGCGATGTAGCACATGTTGGGCAACTCCCGCAGGTCGCAGGTGGGGAGGACTGCACGGCAGAGGACACAGCATTAGCATCACGATAACTCATGTAATAACTACACCCTACACGGTGATGGTGTCTTCTCTCAGCTGGAGGAAACGCTGCCATGTGTTCATGTAATAACTACACCCTACACTGTGATGGTGTCTTCTCTCAGCTGGAGGAAACGCTGCCATGTGTTCATGTAATAACTACACCCTACACGGTGATGGTGTCTTCTCTCAGCTGGAGGTAACGCTGCCATGTGTTCATGTAATAACTACACCCTACACGGTGATGGTGTCTTCTCTCAGCTGGAGGTAACGCTGCCATGTGTTCATGTAATAACTACACCCTACACTGTGATGGTGTCTTCTCTCAGCTGGAGGTAACGCTGCCATGTGTTCATGTAATAACTACATCCTACACGGTGATGGTGTCTTCTCTCAGCTGGAGGAAACGCTGCCATGTGTTCATGTAATAACTACACCCTACACGGTGATGGTGTCTTCTCTCAGCTGGAGGAAACGCTGCCATGTGTTCATGTAATAACTACACCCTACACGGTGATGGTGTCTTCTCTCAGCTGGAGGAAACGCTGCCATGTGTTCATGTAATAACTACACCCTACACGGTGATGGTGTCTTCTCTCAGCTGGAGGTAACGCTGCCATGTGTTCATGTAATAACTACACCCTACACGGTGATGGTGTCTTCTCTCAGCTGGAGGAAACGCTGCCATGTGTTCATGTAATAACTACACCCTACACGGTGATGGTGTCTTCTCTCAGCTGGAGGAAACGCTGCCATGTGTTCATGTAATAACTACACCCTACACTGTGATGGTGTCTTCTCTCAGCTGGAGGAAACGCTGCCATGTGTTCATGTAATAACTACACCCTACACGGTGATGGTGTCTTCTCTCAGCTGGAGGTAACGCTGCCATGTGTTCATGTAATAACTACACCCTACACGGTGATGGTGTCTTCTCTCAGCTGGAGGAAACGCTGCCATGTGTTCATGTAATAACTACACCCTACACGGTGATGGTGTCTTCTCTCAGCTGGAGGAAACGCTGCCATGTGTTCATGTAATAACTACACCCTACACGGTGATGGTGTCTTCTCTCAGCTGGAGGAAACGCTGCCATGTGTTCATGTAATAACTACACCCTACACTGTGATGGTGTCTTCTCTCAGCTGGAGGAAACGCTGCCATGTGTTCATGTAATAACTACACCCTACACGGTGATGGTGTCTTCTCTCAGCTGGAGGAAACGCTGCCATGTGTTCATGTAATAACTACACCGTACACGGTGATGGTGTCTTCTCTCAGCTGGAGGAAACGCTGCCATGTGTTCATGTAATAACTACACCCTACACGGTGATGGTGTCTTCTCTCAGCTGGAGGAAACGCTGCCATGTGTTCATGTAATAACTACACCCTACACGGTGATGGTGTCTTCTCTCAGCTGGAGGAAACGCTGCCATGTGTTCATGTAATAACTACACCCTACACGGTGATGGTGTCTTCTCTCAGCTGGAGGAAGGAAACGCTGCCATGTGTTCTTATAAAATTAGAAAAATCTAATCACGATACAAACAGTAATGAAAGTCTTACTGATCTGGTCCTTGGCAACCACGCTGAGCTCCTTGACGGCGCTCTCCCCCGAGTCGTTGACGGCCTTCACCCTGTAGGTGTACTCGCGGCCCTCCACCAGGTCCTTGCCGCTGTACTGCATGTTCTTGGACCTCATGAGTTCCTTGTAGTCGTCTCCTTGGGACACCTCCAGCACGTAAGCGATGATGCGGCTGCCTCCGTCCGTCAGAGGCTTCTTCCAGCTCAACGTGCACGAGTCCTTCGTCACCAGCAGCGTCTTGAAGTCCATGACGGGGCCAGGCTCCTCTGCAGGGGCCAAACAAACACTTTGTCAAACCCCTATCCACACATACACTATAATACCCCTGATGTGCCTGTAAATAAACCCTCCAGAAGTCACGCTTCATTTACAGTCTGTCAACACAACCAGCTGCCTCTTTATACGCTCACTTATTAAATACATATACTGCTACTTGGTTTTTAACCACAGTGACCTTTTCTGCTGTTTGTTTTGACTTGTTGTGTTCTTCATTATTAACGCGAGCGTTCCTTGTTATTTACCAAATGTACATTTCCCCTGGTTCTGTTAAAGGGCTCCATGTGTTTACTGCACGCACTATATATCTGCAAAGTCCATCACCGTGCCCCTGCTTCCACTCCTGATTCCACTGGATCTTCTCTATAGGTTTGTTTGTTCACACCATGTCAATCTATTATTACATTTCATTACAATCTTGTATAAAATCTGTGACCTATATTAATGTACAGTCCGTCAACAGTACCAGACTTTGGTCACTAATTAAATAAATATACTGCTACTTGGTTTTTAACCACAGTGACCTTTTCTGCTGTTTGTTTTGACTTGTTGTGTTCTTCATAATTAATAACGTTCTCTGTTACTTTTAAATATGAAAGTCTATTATCTTGCACTATTCTTCTGCTGTTGCAATAATGTACATTTCCCCTGATGCTGGTTCCGATAAAGTGCTCCCTCGGTTTACTGCACAGACTTTATATCTGCAAACAAAGCCTGCAATCTGTGACCTATAGTAATTTACAAATAAACAACCCCCCATCCTGAGCAGACACTCACCTGAGGCTCTGATGGCGTCGGGGGTCTCGCAGCTCTCGCCCACCCCCAGCTCGTTGACGGCAGAGACCCTGAAGATGTAGCAGCGCCCGGCGTCCAGGTCCGGGACCTTGAGGGCCGTCTTGGCGCTGTCGCTGCTGACGATGGACCACGCCTTCCTCTCCGTCTCACGCTTCTCCACGATGTAGTGCGTCACCTCGTGGCCTCCGTCCAGCAGGGGGGGGTCCCAGTAGATGTTGGCGTTGTCCTTACACGAGTCCTTCACCGTCAGGTTGGTGGGGGGGGCCGGGGGTGTCTGCAGCAAAGAAACACGGGTTAGCAACAGGTGCAATATACTCTACTGTAGGTACAAGTACTGATACCACACTGTTGCATACTCCACTAAATGTAAAAGTACTAGTAATGGATATACTCTGTTACAGTCAGGCTTAAGCTAGAGTACTGTAGTAGAATCCTTCCTCTAACCGAAGTGGAGTACAGGTTGAGAGGAAATACTACTGTCAGAGTAGAAGGACTTCAGGGTGACTCACCAAACACCTTGACCACCACAGTGTACATCTTGATGCCGGAGGTGCTCTCCAGGCTCAGGATGTACTTCCCGCCGTCGTAGCGGTTGACGTTCTCCACCTGCAGCAGGCTGTCGGTGGGGGAGGACTTCATCACCACGCCCTGCCGGTCCTTGATGTTGGTGTTCATCTTGGCCCAGACGCTGCGGGGGGGCGGGCTGCCCTTGATGAGGGCGTGGAGCCTCATGGTGGATCCGGCAGTAAGCACAAGACCAGCCTTCAGCTCCGCACTCAGCTCCGCCTCCGGAGGGACTGTGACAGAGAGGAGGGGTTATTCACTGTGACAGAGAGGAGGGGTTATTCACTGTGACAGAGAGGAGGGGTTATTCACTGTGACAGAGAGGAGGGGTTATTCACTGTGACAGAGAGGAGGGGTTATTCACTGTGACAGAGAGGAGGGGTTATTCACTGTGACAGAGAGGAGGGGTTATTCACTGTGACAGAGAGGAGGGGTTATTCACTGTGACAGAGAGGAGGGGTTATTCACTGTGACAGAGAGGAGGGGCTATTCACTGTGACAGAGAGGAGGGGCTATTCACTGTGACAGAGAGGAGGGGTTATTCACTGTGACAGAGAGGAGGGGTTATTCACTGTGACAGAGAGGAGGGGGCTATTCACTGTGACAGAGAGGAGGGGCTATTCACTGTGACAGAGAGGAGGGGCTATTCACTGTGACAGAGAGGAGGGGCTATTCACTGTGACAGAGAGGAGGGGCTATTCACTGTGACAGAGAGGAGGGGCTATTCACTGTGACAGAGAGGAGGGGCTATCACTGTGACAGAGAGGAGGGCTATTCACTGTGACAGAGAGGAGGGGTTATTCACTGTGACAGAGAGGAGGGGGTATTCACTGTGACAGAGAGGAGGGGCTATTCACTGTGACAGAGAGGAGGGGCTATTCACTGTGACAGAGAGGAGGGGTTATTCACTGTGACAGAGAGGAGGGGTTATTCACTGTGACAGAGAGGAGGGGTTATTCACTGTGACAGAGAGGAGGGGCTATTCACTGTGACAGAGAGGAGGGCCTTATTCACTGTGACAGAGAGGAGGGGTATTCACTGTGACAGAGAGGGGGGGTTATTCACTGTGACAGGGAGGAGGGGTTATTCACTGTGACAGAGAGGAGGGGTTATTCACTGTGACAGAGAGGAGGGGTTATTCACTGTGACAGAGAGGAGGGGTTATTCACTGTGACAGAGAGGAGGGGTTATTCACTGTGACAGAGAGGAGGGGTTATTCACTGTGACAGAGAGGAGGGGTTATTCACTGTGACAGAGAGGAGGGGCTTATTCACTGTGACAGAGAGGAGGGGCTTATTCACTGTGACAGAGAGGAGGGGTTATTCACTGTGACAGAGAGGAGGGGTTATTCACTGTGACAGAGAGGAGGGGCTTATTCACTGTGACAGAGAGGAGGGGCTATTCACTGTGACAGAGAGGAGGGGTTATTCACTGTGACAGAGAGGAGGGGTTATTCACTGTGACAGAGAGGAGGGGCTATTCACTGTGACAGAGAGGAGGGGTTATTCACTGTGACAGAGAGGAGGGGCTATTCACTGTGACAGAGAGGAGGGGCTATTCACTGTGACAGAGAGGAGGGGCTATTCACTGTGACAGAGAGGAGGGGCTATTCACTGTGACAGAGAGGAGGGGCTATTCACTGTGACAGAGAGGAGGGGCTATTCACTGTGACAGAGAGGAGGGGCTATTCACTGTGACAGAGAGGAGGGGTATATTCACTGTGACAGAGAGGAGGGGCTATTCACTGTGACAGAGAGGAGGGGCTATTCACTGTGACAGAGAGGAGGGGTTATTCACTGTGACAGAGAGGAGGGGCTATTCACTGTGACAGAGAGGAGGGGCTATTCACTGTGACAGAGAGGAGGGGTATATTCACTGTGACAGAGAGGAGGGGCTATTCACTGTGACAGAGAGGAGGGGCTATTCACTGTGACAGAGAGGAGGGGTTATTCACTGTGACAGAGAGGAGGGGCTATTCACTGTGACAGAGAGGAGGGGCTATTCACTGTGACAGAGAGGAGGGGCTATTCACTGTGACAGAGAGGAGGGGCTATTCACTGTGACAGAGAGGAGGGGGCTATTCACTGTGACAGGAGGAGGGTTATTCACTGTGACAGAGAGGGGGCTATTCACTGTGACAGAGAGGAGGGGCCATTCACTGTGACAGAGAGGAGGGGCCATTCACTGTGACAGAGAGGAGGGTTCTATTCACTGTGACAGAGAGGAGGGGCTATTCACTGTGACAGAGAGGAGGGCTATTCACTGTGACAGAGGAGGGGGTTATTCCCTGTGACAGAGAGGAGGGCTATTCACTGTGACAGAGGAGGGGTATATTCACTGTGACAGAGAGGAGGGGTTATTCACTGTTCCTGTGGTTCTGTGCATGTGGTTCTGTGCATGTGGTTCTGTGTTTCTGTGCATGTGGTTCTGTGGTCTGTGGTTCTGTGCATGTGGTTCTGTGGTTCTGTGCATGTGGTTCTGTGGTTCTGTGGTCCTGTGGTCCTGTGGTTCTGTGGTCCTGTGGTTCTGTGCATGTGGTTCTGTGGTTCTGTGCATGTGGTTCTGTGGTTCTGTGCATGTGGTTCTGTGCATGTGGTGCATGTGGTTCTGTGCATGTGGTTCTGTGCATGTGGTTCTGTGGTTCTGTGGTTCTGTGCATGTGGTCCTGTGGTTCTGTGCATGTGGTTCTGTGCATGTGGTTCTGTGCATGTGGTTCTGTGGTTCTGTGCATGTGGTTCTGTGCATGTGGTTCTGTGGTTCTGTGCATGTGGTTCTGTGCATGTGGTTCTGTGCATGTGGTTCTGTGGTTCTGTGCATGTGGTTCTGTGCATGTGGTTATGTGGTTCTGTGCATGTGGTTCTGTGGTTCTGTGGTTCTGTGCATGTGGTTCTGTGCATGTGGTTATGTGCATGTGGTCCTGTGGTTCTGTGCATGTGGTTCTGTGGTTCTGTGCATGTGGTTCTGTGGTTCTGTGCATGTGGTTCTGTGGTTCTGTGCATGTGGTTCTGTGGTTCTGTGCATGTGGTTCTGTGCATGTGGTTATGTGGTTCTGTGCATGTGGTTCTGTGGTTCTGTGCATGTGGTTCTGTGGTTCTGTGCATGTGGTTCTGTGGTTCTGTGCATGTGGTTCTGTGCATGTGGTGCATGTGGTTCTGTGCATGTGGTTCTGTGCATGTGGTTCTGTGGTTCTGTGCATGTGGTTCTGTGGTTCTGTGCATGTGGTTCTGTGCATGTGGTTCTGTGGTTCTGTGCATGTGGTTTCTGTGCATGTGGTTCTGGGGTTCTGTGCATGTGGTTCTGTGGTTCTGTGCATGTGGTTCTGTGCATGTGGTTCTGTGGTTCTGTGCATGTGGTTCTGTGCATGTGGTTCTGTGGTTCTGTGCATGTGGTTCTGTGCATGTGGATCTGTGCAGGTGGTCCTGTGGTTCTGTGCATGTGGTTCTGTGCATGTGGTTCTGTGCATGTGGTTCTGTGGTTCTGTGCAGGTGGTTCTGTGCATGTGGTTCTGTGCATGTGGTTCTGTGCATGTGGATCTGTGGTTCTGTGCATATGGTTCTGTGCATGTGGTTCTGTGCATGTGGTTCTGTGGTTCTGTGCATGTGGTTCTGTGGTTCTGTGCATGTGGTTCTGTGCATGTGGTTCTGTGGTTCTGTGCATGTGGTTCTGTGCATGTGGTTCTGTGGTTCTTTGCATGTGGTCCTGTGGTTCTGTGCATGTGGTTCTGTGCATGTGGTTCTGTGCATGTGGTTCTATGCATGTGGTCCTGTGGTTCTTTGCATGTGGTTCTGTGGTTCTGTGCATGTGGTCTGTGCATGTGGTCCTGTGGTTCTGTGCATGTGGTTCTGTGCATGTGTTCTGTGCATGTGGTTCTGTGCATGTGGTTCTGTGCATGTGGTTCTGTGCATGTGGTTCTGTGCATGTGTTCTGTGCATGTGGTTCTGTGCATGTGGTTCTGTGCATGTGGTTCTGTGCATGTGTTCTGTGCATGTGGTCCTGTGGTTCTGTGCATGTGTTCTGTGCATGTGGTTCTGTGCATGTGTTCTGTGCATGTGGTTCTGTGCATGTGGTTCTGTGGTTCTGTGCATGTGGTTCTGTGCATGTGGTTATGTGCATGTGGTTCTGTGGTTCTGTGCATGTGGTTCTGTGCATGTGTTCTGTGCATGTGGTTCTGTGCATGTGGTTCTGTGCATGTGGTTCTGTGCATGTGTTCTGTGCATGTGGTCCTGTGGTTCTGTGCATGTGGTTCTGTGCATGTGGTCCTGTGCATGTGTTCTGTGCATGTGGTTCTGTGCATGTGTTCTGTGCATGTGTTCTGTGCATGTGGTTCTGTGCATGTGTTCTGTGCATGTGGTTCTGTGGTTCTGTGCATGTGGTTCTGTGCATGTGGTTCTGTGGTTCTGTGCATGTGGTTCTGTGGCATGTTTCCTGTGCATGTGGTCCTGTGCATGTGGTTCTGTGCATGTGTTCTGTGCATGTGGTCCTGTGCATGTGGTCCTGTGCATGTGTGTGCATGTGGTTCTGTGCATGTGTTCTGTGCATGTGGTTCTGTGCATGTGGTTCTGTGCATGTGTTCTGTGCATGTGGTTCTGTGCATGTGTTCTGTGCATGTGGTTCTGTGCATGTGTTCTGTGCATGTGGTTCTGTGCATGTGGTTCTGTGCATGTGGTTCTGTGCATGTGGTTCTGTGCATGTGGTTCTGTGCATGTGGTTCTGTGGTCCTGTGCATGTGGTTCTGTGGTTCTGTGCATGTGGTCCTGTGCATGTGGTTCTGTGGTTCTGTGCATGTGGTTCTGTGCATGTGGTTCTGTGCATGTGGTCCTGTGCATGTGGTTCTGTGGTTCTGTGCATGTGGTTCTGTGCATGTGGTTCTGTGGTTCTGTGCATGTGGGTCTGTGCATGTGGTTCTGTGGTTCTGTGCATGTGGTTCTGTGCATGTGGTTCTGTGCATGTGGTCCTGTGCATGTGGTTCTGTGGTTCTGTGCATGTGGTTCTGTGCATGTGGTTCTGTGGTTCTGTGCATGTGGTTCTGTGCATGTGGTTCTGTAGTTCTGTGCATGTGGTCCTGTGCATGTGGTTCTGTGGTTCTGTGCATGTGGTTCTGTGCATGTGGTTCTGTGCATGTGGTCCTGTGCATGTGGTTCTGTGGTTCTGTGCATGTGGTTCTGTGCATGTGGTTCTGTGGTTCTGTGCATGTGGTCCTGTGCATGTGGTTCTGTGCATGTAGTTCTGTGCATGTGGTTCTGTGCATGTGGTTCTGTGGTTCTGTGCATGTGGTTCTGTGCATGTGGTTCTGTGCATGTGGTTCTGTGCATGTGGTTCTGTGCATGTGTTCTGTGCATGTGGTCCTGTGCATGTGGTTCTGTGGTTCTGTGCATGTGGTTCTGTGCATGTGTTCTGTGCATGTGGTTCTGTGCATGTGTTCTGTGCATGTGTTCTGTGCATGTGGTCCTGTGCATGTGGTTCTGTGGTTCTGTGCATGTGGTTCTGTGCATGTGTTCTGTGCATGTGGTTCTGTGCATGTGGGTAGACATGTCTCTCAGAAGCAGCTCTATTGATGTTTAGGGGAAAGAGACAAAGAGAAATAAACATGTTGCAGATTCACAACAACCCAAACCCAAAGCAGGTGTCTGACCCTGTACATCAGTGAGTGGAATATTAAAGTCCCAGATGCTGAGGTACGTACTGATGATGTCCTTGGCCTCGTGTTTCCCGGGGACCTCCGCCGGCTCTCCGAAGCCGACCTTGTTGACGGCGGTGACGCGGCACTGGTACTGAGCGCGGTGCTCCAGGTTCTGGATGGTGTAGGCGGTGTCATGCAGGTTCCTGGGCACGTTGCAGCGCACCCAGTCCTTGGCCTCGCCCTTCCTGCTCTCCACCAAGTACCCGAGGACGGGGCTTCCCCCGGTGCTGGAGGGCTCCGTCCACGAGAGGCTGATGGTGCTGTTGGTGGTGTTGGTCATGGAGGGGTTCACCACGGGGCCGGGGGGAGCTGCAGCACATCCACAGGTTAGTTTGTACACGGAGAAACATGTGGTACAGCACTACGCCTTTATATATATATTTATCTTTATAAATATATATATATATATTTATCTTTTATAAATATATATATATATATTTATCTTTTATAAATATATATATATATATTTATCTTTTATAAATATATATATATATATTTATAAAAGAAGGTAACTGTATTCGATTACATTCCAAAATGTCGGTAGACGTTCTGAATGATCTTAATGGTTTATGTTTAGAATACTTCTTCTTCTGTAGTGCAGCAGGTGGAGACCTGATCTATTAAACAGAAACGCAATCTGCTTTCAATGATTTCAGCTTTAACAGCATCTGCAAACTATCACTATTACTATTTATTGATAAAAACACTAAGGTAAAAATCATCCTATTGTTATTTATGTTCTCGTGTTTTTATTGGCACAGCATTTGATATTGAGACAATCCAAAAGTAACGGCAAGTAATCAGGTTACTTTATATGTGGACAACTGGTTATGTGTTTAAAGGACTCACTGATGGGGTTCTGTGCGGTGGTGCTGGCGGACGGCTCGCTGGGCTTGCCCTGCCCGGCCTCATTGACGGCGCTGACCCTGAACTCATACTCGGTGCCCTCGGTCAGGCCAGTGTAGTCGATGCTTCGCTCGGTCAGGATCTTCCTGCCCAGCTTGGTCCAGTTCAGGTCCTTGGCCTCCTTCTTCTCCAGCATGTAGCCCACGATGGGGGACTTCCCGTCGTCCGCAGGCTCCTTCCAGCTCACCGTCATGCGCTCACAGGTCACGTTGGTGACCAAAGGCGCCTCGCAGGGTCCGGGAACATCTGGGGGAACACCACAGGGTTTGCTTTAGATCAGTAAAGAGGTCCATAATAAGAATGTGCAACCAGTCCTAGAGATGACACAATCCCAGTGAAGCTACACCATTCTTCATTACTATATTTTTAATTATTTTGTATTGTTACTGTAGTTTTCTATCTGCTTTTAAATGTTTGTTTTACCTTTCTGTCTGCATCACAACGCCAAGTCAAATGACTCGTACGTGTCGACCTACCTGGTGATGAACCTGTTCAGTTACAGAAGTTACAGACGCTAACGCTGCTGTATGAATCCTGAGTCCAACTCACTGTAGGGGTTATTGGCGATGACGGGTCCAGTAACCAGAGGGTCTCCGACCCCCCAGGTGTTCTCAGCCCGGATCCTGAACTGGTACTCCCGGCCCTCGATGAGCTTCCCGACGTCGAGCTCCTTCTCGTCGGCATGGATCTTGGCGCAGACCTGAGCCCAGTTGGCGCGGCTGGTCTCACGTTTATCCACGACGTAGTTGGTGATGATGGCGCCGCCGTCCTTCAGGGGGGGCTGCCAGGATAGCTTGATGTTCAGGGCGAACACCTCCAGGTACTGGGCACTGGCAGGGGGGCCGGGCACGTCTGAGGGCAAACACAACGAGGAAATATCAGCACACAGAGCTAAAACTAAAGTATAACGGAACTGTAACTGATGCTGTTATGTAATGATGGATGTAAGGGATGATCAGTGTTGTTTTCAGCTCACAATTACTTTATTTTAAAAACAGTTTGTATTATTATTTTAATTATTTATTCTATTTTGTCTTTATTTTTCCCGTGTGTGAATCCTGTTTTTAACTCTGACCCTCTTGCTGCTCTAAATGCCTGATAAATAAAGTTCAATTTGATCGTATCTTAAACTGAACTGTTGTTTGCATGGGATTAACCCCGGTACTGACCCAGGACCACCACGGGGATCTCGGCGCTCTTGGAGCCGCTGGCGTTCTCGGCCACGATGCTGTAGGTTCCTGTGTGCTCCCTGCTGACGGAGGTCATGTCCAGCTGGAAGTGGTTCCTGAGGTGCGTGAGGACCTGGCCCTCGCCGGACTTCAGGCTGTCGTCGCCTCTCTTCCAGGTGACTCGGGGCATGGGCTTCCCGAACACCTGGGCCTCCAGCGTGATGCTAGAGCCCGCCTTCACCTTCACGCCCTTCTCCATCTTGGCACTGAGCTCCACCCTCGGCGGCACTGAGGGCGGGGGAGAAGGATGAGTTAAACAGATACAGTTTAAAGAGTCTGCTTATCTTCCACAGTCTAGACTCCACGCTTTGGTATATTCAGGCTTAATGCTTCAGATGAAGGCTGCCTCTTTAACCGCTCATCCCTCTCATTCTGTCCACTTAACGTATTAGTGATAACTCATGACTCATGAAAGTAAACCTGCTTGACAAATGGTTCTGATTGAAATAAAAATGTTGGATCTGATTCGCGTTTTAAAACAGGTTCTGAATCCGAATCTAATTCTGGTTCTGGTTCTAATTCTGACTTTGATTGTAATGTGTTTATTTCAGAGATCCGTCTTACTCTTCCGTTTTTTACATTTGGTTCTGATATCTAGTTTAGCATAGATCCGGCCCGTGTCAGCGCTCACCATTCTCTGCGCAGACGAGCACCGGGTCGCTGGGCTCGGAGGTCTTGCTGACGTTGACGGTGGTCTTGGCGATGACCCTGAACTGGTACTGAAGGTCCCGCTCCAGGCCCGTCACCGTGTACTCCTCCCGCGGGCAGTTCTGGCTGCTGGTGTTGCAGCGCAGCCACATGTCTCCGGGCAGACGCAGTGTCTCCACGTAGTAACCGATGATCTTACTGCCGCCGTCGTTCTTTGGACGCGTCCAAATCAGAACCACAGAGTTCTTGGTGACGTCCAGAACCTCGGGTTTCCCCGGGGTGTCTGAGAAACAAAGAGGGAAGCCATTATTAATAATAATAATGATACTGTGATAAGATAGGATAAGATAAGAAGTACTTTATTGATCCCAACTTGGGAAATGTCTACATTATGGCAGCATGAAAAGTCATTGCATTGTACAATAAAAATGTAAAGACTAGAAATAAACTCAATAGAGATGAAATAGCATTAAAGAAAAGTAGAAAATATACAAGTTGAATTATACGGAGCCCCTAAAGGGACATGTAAAAAAAAAAAAAAAAACAGAGAGAGAAAGTTACCGGTGCACCAAGGAGGAAGTGAAAGCGCACAGGAGACAACCATTTCATTGCAGACTGTTATGTTTACGTGGGGAAATGACAGTGCAGACATTATTTGAGATATATATCGTACTTAGACGGCTAGTGACGGGCGGCCCACTTTGGTACCGGCCCAATGGGATTCGTCCCGAACGTCCCGATGGCCAGTCCGCCACTGGCTCTGTGTGTGTGTGTGTGTGTGTGTGTGTGTGTGTGTGTGTGTGTGTATGTGTGTGTGTGTGTGTGTGTGTGTGTGTGTGGGTGTGTGTGTGTATGTGTGTGTGGTGTGTGTGTGTGTATGTGTGTGTGTGTGTGTATGTGTGTGTGTGTGTGTGTGTGTGGTGTGTGTGTGTGTGTGTATGTGTGTGTGTGTGGGTGTGTGTGTGTGTGTGTGTGTGTGTGTATGTGTGTGTGTGTGTGTGTGTGTGTGTGTTCTGAGTGTTTGTTTCCCGATAAAACAGCAGGTACTCTGAGAGTCACGGACATTAATTCGTAGATCAAAGCAGACTGGTTTACAGACTCGCCAGTGTTTTGCCAATCCGGTGTTTAAACCAATAGCTCTACACCCCTGGCCGAAATGTCCATCAAATTAAGTCTGACTTCAAAATATATCTCAAATAATGTATGCACTGTCATTTCCCCACGTAAACATAACAGTCTGCAATGAAATGGGTTGTCTCGTGTTCCACTTCCTCCTTGGTGCATCGGTAACTTTCTAAAAAAAATAAAGTCAGGAAAACGGATTTGTTTCTCGTGCGCACGAGAAACAAATCCGTTTTCCTGACTTTATTTTTTTTTCTCTCTCTCTCTCTTTTTTTTTTTTTCCATGTCCCTTTAGGGCTCCGTAGAATTACAAATGTACGGTAACAAAATATAAAGCAGGATATTATATATACATAAGTATGTGAGGAATAAATGAGATAAGACGCTGCGCACCGATAGGCGTCCTGGCCGTCACAAAGTCGGTCTTCTTGCTGGGTTTGCCCTGCCCGGCGCGGTTGATGGCCGACACCCTGAAGGTGTACTCCAGGCCCTCGATGAGGCCGGCACATGGGTACTCGGTGGAGCGCACCACGCAGTCGTTGGCCTTCACCCACAGCAGGCTGTTCCTCTCCTTGCGCTCGATGTAGTAACCGGTGATGGGGCTGCCGCCGTCGGTCTCCGGTTTGTCCCACGCCACGAACATGCAGTCCTTGTTGCACTTGTTGATGCGGCAGTCCAGCGGCTCCGATGGAACATCTGGGGGGAATTACAAATGTTATGTATAAAAAATCGGAGGAATCTGCAGCTTCTCACGCACTCAGAGGTGGAGAAAGTTGAGGTCCATCTAATAACTATCAGTCCTAAACTCAAAGATATTCCCTTTATATGATAACAAATACATACAATATAGATATAGATATCAAACCAACAAAGGACCTAAGTACTTTACTAAATAAATGTACAACAGGTAAACTGACCGAAGGGGAACTTGGCCACCATCCTTTCGGACTGCATGGGGTCCGACATTCCGAAGCGGTTCTCCGCCCGGATGCGGAACGCGTAGTCCTTCCCAGGGATGAGCTTCCCGAGCCGGCAGCTGGTCTTCTGGCCTCCGGAAGAGGTGGCCGTCACCCAGTCTCCACGGCTCAGGTCGCACTTCTCCACCACGTAGTTAGTGATGTTGCTGCCGCCATCCTCCAGCGGCTTGTTCCAGGCCAGAGAGCAGGCGTCCGCGTCGATGTCGCTGATCACCACCGGGCCCTCGGGAGGACCGGGGATGTCTGCAACACAGAGACAAAGTTAAACACAGAGAATATCCAATAAATCCCCTTCAGGAGAACCTGAATGCACCGCCCTGCCTGTCATTCCACTTCACACACGATGCCCGGCACACTGACCTCTGATGATGATCTTCATGGACTCCACGACCCTGGCGGAGATGTTCTCAGCCACCAGGCTGTACTCGCCGCTGTCTGTCCTCGACACGTCTTTGATGATCAGAACGCACATGTTCCCGGACTTGTGCACGGCCAGACGGCTGGACGGCACCACGGCGTCTTCGCCACGCATCCACTTGCAGGTCGGGGAGGGTTTACCTGAGACCAGCGCCTCCACCCTGAGCTTAGCTCCGGCTCTGGCACTGACCGTATCCGGCATCACGATCTTCGGCTCCACTGTGGGGGAGAATAAAGCATGGTTAACCTCAGAAGCTCCCCATTAACGTGTGTGTGTGGAGGCTTTATGGGGAGGGGGTTCGGACTCACGGATCTGCTCCTTGATCTCCACGGCCTCGCGGGTCTCGGTGAAGGAGCTCTGGCCCATTACGTTTTTGGCGGCGACTCTGAACTTGTACTTCTTGCTCTCCTTCAGGCCGCTGATACTGATGCTCAGACCCTTCACCGTGGTGTAGGCGCTCCACACCTCCTTCTCCGGCTCCTCATCCTCCTCCTCATCCTCCTCCTCCTCCACAGGGGGAGGTGGGGGAGGAGCCTCCTCACCCTCTGCAACCTGGCGGAGATCAACGGCTCTTTAGATGCTTAAACTACAAATATCTGTTAGATCATGTACAGTTTGTGTTTACTGCTAAACTACAAAAGGATAACAAAGGAGCGGGTGATGTGAAGGTGTTTGAAATGCAGACAGACCTCCACTGGTGCGGGAGGCTCGGGTGGAGGCTTCACTTCAATATATTCAATCACGTAGCCGTCGATCTTGGCCCCGCCGTCCCTCGATGGCTTCACCCAGCCAACCATGGCGCTGTTCTTGGTGATCTCCAGAACCTCGATCTTCTCGCAGGGATCGGGCTTACCTGAGGAAGAGAATATCTCAGAGTTAATGCTTCAACAATCTCTAGTGTGTGAACTTATTGGGCTTTTTATGCCTTTGGTCAAAGCTAAATAGTTGTCATCTTCATTTGATAATCTAGTAATTTTACAAGATTTAGTTTAACTTAATTTGTAATGAATAGAAGCTTTAGTTAGATTAAGTGTGTGGGAGTTTATTTACATCCCTCTCTTCACCACCTATGAATAAAGAGAAAGTGGAGAGTGAGTATGTACTTACTGACGGGATCGGAGGCCACGTAGGAGGTGGGGCTCACTTTGTGGACCCCGGGTCCGTACTCATTGACGGCCGTGACTCTGAAGTAGTACTCGGTGCCGGGCACCAGGCCGCTGACTTTGAAGGGAACCTTGTCCTTCTCCACCTCGGCCTTCACCGTCGCCCACGTCTTGCGGTCGATCTCGCGTTTCTCCACCACGTAGTGCGTGATCTCGCTGCCTCCGTCCATCTCCGGAGGACTCCAGGACAAGTTGGCGGAGGTCTGCTTGATGTCGGTGGCCTCCAGGTTCATCACGGGGCCCGGGGTGTCTGACAGGACAAGAACATGACGTTCAATTTCACGCTGTTTTATTCAACAGATATCCCATTTCAGGATAAGGATTCTACTAATCGGTAATTATTCGTTAACTGAAGTCTTATATTAAGGTGACCTGCTGTGCATTATTACACTAAACTCACCCAGGACCTGATGTTAAGGTGACCTGCTGTGCATTATTACACTAAACTCACCCAGGACCTGATGTTAAGGTGACCTGCTGTGCATTATTACACTAAACTCACCCAGGACCTGATGTTAAGGTGACCTGCTGTGCATTATTACACTAAACTCACCCAGGACTTGATGTTAAGGTGACCTGCTGTACATTATTACACTAAACTCACCCAGGACTTGATGTTAAGGTGACCTGCTGTGCATTATTACACTAAACTCACCCAGGACTTGATGTTAAGGTGACCTGCTGTGCATTATTACACTAAACTCACCCAGGACCTGATGTTAAGGTGACCTGCTGTGCATTATTACATTAAACTCACCCAGGACCTGATGTTAAGGTGACCTGCTGTGCATTATTACACTAAACTCACCCAGGACTTGATGTTAAGGTGACCTGCTGTGCATTATTACACTAAACTCACCCAGGACTTGATGTTAAGGTGACCTGCTGTGCATTATTACACTAAACTCACCCAGGACCTGATGTTAAGGTGACCTGCTCTACATTATTACACTAAACTCACCCAGGACCTGATGTATAGGTGACCTGCTGTGCATTATTACACTAAACTCACCCAGGACTTGATGTTAAGGTGACCTGCTGTGCATTATTACTCTAAACTCACCCAGGACTTGATGTTAAGGTGACCTGCTGTGCATTATTACTCTAAACTCACCCAGGACTTGATGTTCAGGTGATCTGCTGTGCATTATTACTCTAAACTCACCCAGGACTTGATGTTAAGGTGACCTGCTGTGCATTATTACACTAAACTCACCCAGGACCTGATGTTAAGGTGACCTGCTGTGCATTATTACACTAAACTCACCCAGGACTTGATGTTAAGGTGACCTGCTGTACATTATTACACTAAACTCACCGAGGACCTGATGTTAAGGTGACCTGCTGTGCATTATTACACTAAACTCACCCAGGACTTGATGTTAAGGTGACCTGCTGTACATTATTACACTACACTCACCCAGGACCTGATGTTAAGGTGACCTGCTGTACATTATTACACTAAACTCACCCAGGACCTGATGTTAAGGTGACCTGCTGTGCATTATTACACTAAACTCACCCAGGACCTGATGTTAAGGTGACCTGCTGTGCATTATTACACTAAACTCACCCAGGACCTGATGTTAAGGTGACCTGCTGTGCATTATTACACTAAACTCACCCAGGACTTGAGGTTAAGGTGACCTGCTGTGCATCATTACACTAAACTGACCCAGGACTTGATGTTAAGGTGACCTGCTGTGCATCATTACACTAAACTCACCCAGGACTTGATGTTAAGGTGACCTGCTGTGCATTATTACACTAAACTCACCCAGGACCTGATGTTAAGGTGACCTGCTGTACATTATTACACTAAACTCACCCAGGACCTGATGTTAAGGTGACCTGCTGTGCATTATTACACTAAACTCACCCAGGACCTGTTGTTAAGGTGACCTGCTGTGCATTATTACACTAAACTCACCCAGGACTTGATGTTCAGGTGACCTGCTGTGCATTATTACACTAAACTCACCCAGGACCTGATGTTAAGGTGACCTGCTCTACATTATTACACTAAACTCACCCAGGACTTGATGTTAAGGTGACCTGCTGTGCATTATTACACTAAACTCACCCAGGACTTGATATTAAGGTGACCTGCTGTGCATTATTACACTAAACTCACCCAGGACTTGATGTTCAGGTGACCTGCTGTGCATTATTACACTAAACTCACCCAGGACTTGATGTTAAGGTGACCTGCTGTGCATTATTACACTAAACTCACCCAGGACTTGATGTTAAGGTGACCTGCTGTGCATTATTACACTAAACTCACCCAGGACTTGATGTTCAGGTGACCTGCTGTGCATTATTACACTAAACTCACCCAGGACTTGATGTTAAGGTGACCTGCTGTGCATTATTACACTAAACTCACCCAGGACTTGATGTTAAGGTGACCTGCTGTGCATTATTACACTAAACTCACCCAGGACTTGATGTTAAGGTGACCTGCTGTGCATTATTACACTAAACTCACCCAGGACTTGATCTTAAGGTGACCTGCTGTGCATTATTACACTAAACTCACCCAGAACCTTGACGTTGACGAACAGTGCCTTCTCTCCCGCCGGGCTGCGCACCGACAGGCAGTATTTGCCCGAGTCGTTGCGTGTGCTGTCGGGGATGATGAGGAAGGTCATGGTGTCGATGATGTCCACCTTCCCTTTCCTCACCACGTTGTCCAGGCCCATCCTCCGCCAGCTAACTGTAGGAGGGGGTCGGCCTCTGACGGTGGCGCACAGCCTGATGGGGCAGCCGGCTCGCACCGACAGGCCCTGCTTCAGGTTTGCATCAAGGTCTACTTCTGGAGCCTCTGTGGGGAGGAGCAGGCCACAAATTACACTTTGTTCGGAGCTTTAAAACACTTTGGCCGAAATAAAGCTTTAGAATGTCATAAATCAATCTCTACAAATTGGGAACTAGGAACTACAAATTAAAAAAAAATCTGGACTGTTTTTGATTTCTATTGTTACTCACACATTCATATTTATTTCTTTGCAAGGATGCTCATTTACCAACATGGAAAAGTTGTTCTTTTCACTTTTGAGTGGGACTATTTGCTCCTCTAGTTACGATACAGGAAATGTAAAACTAAAAAAGTCCTTACCTAGGATCTCCTTGGGGATCACAGGTGCCTCCAGTTCGCAGGGCAGGCTCATGCCGACCTGGTTCTGGGCCGAGACCCTGAACACGTACAAAATCTGTTGATCCAGACTGGAGACGGTGAACTCGCACACCACCAGCTGAGCCGCCACGTTGCACCTCTTCCAGCCGTCATCTCCTTTCTTGGCGCTTCCATGCAGCCTCAACTCCACAACGTATCCGATGATGGGAGCCCCACCGTCGGATACAGGCTTGGTCCAGCCCAGAGAGACGCTAGACTTTGTGCTGTCCACGACCTTCAGGTTGGTGGGAGGCGCTGGAGGCTCTGTAGGAACACAGGAGGGTGTGTGAAGCTAAATACACAGACTGCTTCTAAAGATCTATATTTGAATCGACAGCTGTACACTATGGGCTGTGCATTATGTGGGAGCGGAGTGTTATTCTCAACTTGCTTACAATGTAGAATAACGTAGATCATTATTTTGCTTAACTTGTTTTTCTGTGCTCCGTCTCAACAAATAACAATTTCCGTTTTACATCTGGCGGATAAAGCAATTCTGATTCTGATGTTAACATTAATATTGGTTACGTACCAACGGTGTCCTTGGCGGTGATGGCGAGTGAAGGCTTGCTTGCGCTGCCAATGCCAATTTCATTAACCGCCTTGACTCTGTACTGATAGTCGTGGAGGGGCAGGAGTCCGGTCACGGTGTAACGTGTTGAAGGGATTGGTTCCTTGATGACAGGAGACCACCTCACGGCGTGCTCCTCCCTCTTCTCCAACAGATAACCGATGATGGACTTTCCACCGTCCTTTTCGGGCTCAGACCACTCCACCGTCATCTCGTGCTTGCCAATCTTGGTGATCTCTGGTGCCTCCGGAGCACCAGGTACACTGAACTGGGTGCCGGCCACGATGGCTTCACTCTCCTCCGCGGGCCCAGGACCCATCTTGTTCTCAGCACGGACTCTGAAGATATACTCGTTGCCCTCGATGAGACGAGTGACTTTAGCTTTGTTGGTGATGATGGCGTTAGAGTGGACTGACCAGACTCCCCTCTTGGTTTCACATTTCTCAATAATGTAGTTGTAGATTTCGCAGCCACCATCATCCTCTGGGACTTCCCAGGACAGATGGCACCGGTCAGTGGTGATACCAGACACCTTCAGATCCATGACGGGGCCGGGTCTATCCAAGACATTAACCTTAGCATGAGCAGAGGCGGTTCCTGCACTGTTGGAGGCAGTGACAAGATATTTACCACTGTCTGTGCGTCTGGCAGCGGTTATCAGCAGCTTTGAGAAGTCGGTTCCAGATTCCAGCGTATGCCTGAGGCCCTTCCTTATCTCGCGGGTTTCCTCATCTTTGTTCCATTTGATTACAGGCTGTGGTTTGCCCTTCACTATCGCCTCGATATGAATGGAGTCTCCTGCCTTGACCACGAGTGTTGCGTCCAGTTTGATCTTGACCTCAGGCTCCACAAGCTGTTCCTTTACCAGGACTTCAGGTGTGGTCACCCAGTTGCTCTCGCCGCCCTCGTTCTTCGTCTGTACTCTGAACTGGTACAACTGGTTTTCAATGCACCTGTCAGCCATGAAGTAGGTCTCCTTGATAGCGCCCTTGTGAAGCCTCTCCCACTCCTCAGCCTCCTTTGGCTTCTTCTCAACATGATAAGCAATGTTACGGCTACCACCGTCGTAGTCAGGCTTCTTCCACTTGAGGAAGCAGAAGTCCTTGCCGATCTCAGCGATATGGAAGTCAATTGGTTCGCCCGGCTTCTCGATGGGATCCACTGCCAGCACAGGCTCTTTGGACTCAATGGCTGGACCAGCACCGATCTTGTTCTCTGCGCTGACACGGAAAAAGTACTCGCAGCCTTCAGTTAGAGGGGCCTTCATCTGGCGCTTGGTGCAGTCATTGGCGACTACAGTCCATGCTCTCTGGCTGGGCTGGCGGCACTCAATAATGTACTGATTGATCTCTGTGCCTCCGTTGTCCTCTGGGTTTTCCCAGGACACCATGCAGGACTTCTTTGTGGCGTAGGCCACTCTTAGGTTCTGGCAAGGTCCTGGTGTGTCCAGGACATTGACGATAATGGTGGCCTGTGCTTGTCCACTGCTGTTCTTGGCGAGAATGGCATATTTACCATAGTCTGACCTGACGGCCTCATTGATGACGAGTTCACACATTGGGTAGTTGTTGTTAATCTCGGTGCGTCTGTCCCGGGCCATGGCTCTGGCATCTTTGGTCCATGTGATCTCTGGGTCTGGTCGTCCCTTCACCCTGGTGATCAAACTTATGATCTGGCCTGCCCGGACTGTCAGAGAGTCGCGGCAGGATGCGTCGACAACAACCTCAGGGGGCACCAAAATGTCCTTAGCTAAGACGGTCTCAGTCAGGTCCCTGGGTTCACTGTCTCCTACCTTGTTGGTGGCTTTGATGCGGATCCTGTACTCCATTCCTTCAATGAAGCCTTGCACTCTGAAGGCGCACGTCTTGACAAGGTCCTTAGAGATTATTTCCCACTGAGCGGACCCTGACTTCTGAACCTCGACCACATAGCCTAGAATAGGAGTGCCTCCGTCTCTGTTAGGCTTGGTCCAGCAGATGTCTGCATAGGACTTGCTCCAGTCCTTCAGTTTAAGATTGCCAGGGGGTCCAGGTTTAGTGATGGCACGAGTGGCCTTTACGGGGTTGGAGTTCATAGAAGGCCCGCTGATACCGGCAACATTCTCTGCAAACACTCTGAACTCATAGCTGTTGCCTTCAAACAGGCCTGAGACTCTGTATCTGAGGTCCAGCACAGGAGTCTTGTTGACACGGATCCACTTTCCTGTCATTTCTCTGCGTTCAATCACATATCCACTGATGGGGCTGCCTCCATCGTAGTCCGGCAGGGTCCACTCCACTGTCACAGCGTTCTCTGTGATATCAGAGCACTCTGGCGGGCCTGGAGGACCGGGAGGGTTGAACATGTGCTTGGCAATAGTGGGAGGACTCTCGAGCCCTGCACCAAGGCCAATCTTGTTCTCTGCTCGGACGCGTACGATGTACTCACGACCCTTCTCCAACCGGGACACCTTAGCCTTGGTGCTGGTGCCGCCGGAGCTAACCACGGACCAGGGCTCCCACGGCTTCTTCACATCCTTCTTTTCCACCACGTAATTTGTGATGGGCGTGCCACCATCATCCTTGGGTGCCCTCCACTGGATCATCATGTAATCCGGGGTGACTTCCAAGATGTTGATGGGTGAGATGGGTGGACCGGGGAGATCCAGCACAGTGACGTGCAGAGCGACGGTCTTGCTTCCTGAGGGATTGGCCACGGTGAGAAGGTACTCTCCGGTGTCTCCTCTCTGGGTCTGTGGGATGCTGAGGATGGTGGAGCATCCAACAGTCTCAATGTTGAAGCGGCCTTCAGATACAACTTCCTTGCCATCGCTCATCCATTTGGCCGTGGGAGTGGGGATACCGGTCATCTTAGCCGGCAGGGCAATAGGAGTGCCAGCTTTGACCACAAGACCCTCGATGAGCTTCACATCAACTTCAATAGTTGGTGGCACTGAAAGAGAAACATAACCATGATAGCATGTTATCAGGCCTGTCAATTAAGACTTCCTCTGTTAGTTGTGGTCTCAGTCGAATAAGATTTCTTGAGTCAAATATGCTTTGGTTTTTTCATGCTGAATGACATTTCTGGTTTAGACAATATTTAAAGTGGACTTTTAGCATTATTCTTTGTGGATCATCCATTAGTTGTACAATTGGTTTGGAGTGTTAGTCAATAAATACTCTCTAAAGTCAAGTTATTTTCGTCTTCAGATAAATATTTGCAAAAATGTCAGTGAAATAAGTTGTTTTGCGGTTCCAAAAAGTGTGTCATTTTGTTTTATGGCTAACCTCATTCATTTTTATTGTATTTTTATTCCTACATTTTCTGTTGCAAATTAAAGAAAAAAACCTGTTTCTTACATGTCTTTTCCTGGCAGGTGATGGGGACGGTGGTGTCGGGCCGGCTCACGCCGATGGCGTTCTGGGACTTGACCCTGAAGCGGTAGGTCTTGCCCTCCATCAGCTTGGTGACGTGGGCGTGGTTGTCGCTGACGGTCTTGTAGGGGACCCAGTCGGTCTGGCCGTCCTCCTGGTGCTCCACGATGAAGCCGGTGATCTCGCTGCCCCCGGTGCGTTCGGGCCACTCCCAGGCCAGCCACACCTCCGTCTTATCTGCATCAGTGTGGTGCAGGTTCTTGGGGGGGCCGGGGGGGTCTGGAAGAGAGGAAAGAAGAAGTTAGTGGTGATTATTGGGAGTTCTACCATATATCGGAGGCTGTGGCTCAGTGAGCTAGTGCGCTGATCTTCGAATCAGAGGATAGCAAGTTCGAATCCTACTGCAGTCAGCATGTCGTTGTGTCCCTGAGACACTTCACCCCAAACTGCTCCTGTGGGGATTGCCCACAGCATTGAGTATGTGAGTTGCTTTGTATAAAAGCGTCTAAGAAGTGGCATGTCATGTAATGTAATCTCCTTTCTGTTTTATGATTGTGTTAGCTGTTTCGAAAAATGTTTTAGTGAACTCACAGAGTGGGTCTAGGGCCTTGATGGGGGTCCGGGTCATCACGTAGGCGCTTTTGCCAAACTGGTTCTCAGCAGCCACCCTGAACAGGTACTGGATTCCCTCCATCAGGTACAGCGCCATCAGACTGGGCTTCTTATTGGATGCAGAGACGGGGACCCACTGGTCGGACGCCACGTCCTTCTTCTCCACCACGTAGTGCGAGATGACAGCGCCACCGTTGTCCTCAGGAGCCTTCCATGTCAGGTAGGCGGACTCGCTGGTGATCTCGGAGATCACCAGGTCTCTAGGAGGGGAAGGCTTGTCTGGAGGAAACAAGGTAGGTAGAGGTATAATAAAATACATCAAAGGTGCAAGTGCTTCACAAGTAATGAAATACCTGAGAGCTGCTGAGCTAGCTGCTAACATGATAACTAACCAAAAGTTAGCCGCTAAATGCAAATATGCTATCTATCCTGAAATTAACTGATGACATGTCAACTACCTTGAACTAAGCTGCTTACATGCAAACTAGCCTGAAGAGATATGCTATCTGCTAACATGGAAACTAGCCTAAAGTTTCTTTCCACATCTGGTGGGCATTTTACTTACTCAGAACAAGCACGACCACGGTGATGGACTTCTTGCCGACGGCGTTCTCCGCGGTGAGGGTGTAGTTGCCGGAGTCGGCGCGGGTGCTCTTGGGGATGAAGACCTTGCTGCCGCTGGCAGTGACGGCCACGGTGATGTGAGCGGGGACGTCTCCGTCATCCTTCTTCCAGCTGACGGTGGGCGTGGGCACTCCCTTGATGGTGGCGCTCAGCGTGATGTCGGATCCCAGCATGGCGAGGTGGTCCCGCGCCATGTTGGCATCCAGCAGCAGCTCAGGTTCCTCTGTGGACAATAAAAACACAGAATTTAACATTTAAAGAAAGTTTTTAATACGTTTTAAAAGGAAGAATTATCCATTTGTTCATGAACAGATTTATTTTGCAGATTATTAACCAGCTGATCAATAGAAAACACTTATGATGCTTCCGAGAAAAAATCTATCTGTTCTATCATTTAATTATATTCTATTTCAAAATGTTGAAATTAAATAATATTATAGTTACACATTTTAAACTAGATTTTTTTCTGAAACTGAGTCACATGCATTTAGCAGCTAGCTACATTTGTGTGCATCCTGTCCATCAGTTATCATAATTCCATGACGTACTGAGACGACATCATATGTATTTTTAACAAATGAAGCAAATGACAAATAATATAATGTTATTGACCAGGATGTTTTGGTATCATCTATATATTCAAAATTAATCTAAAACATGTCAGAGGCGTACCCATCCTGTCGTGCACTTTGACGCTGGTCTTAACAAACGCGGGGTCAGATTTGCCGGCGGCGTTGACTGTGAATATCCTGAAGTTGTACTCTTTTCCGTCCTCCAGGCCCGTCACCACGTAGTGAAGGTCGGGGCACTGCTCCGGGGTCTCGTTAGCCGGAAGCCACTCCACGGCGCCGGGATTCTGGTACTCCACCAGGTAGCCGAAGATACGACCCTTCCCGTCGTGGCGAGGCATCTTCCACCTCAGGCTGACCGAGTCCTTGGTCTTGTCGTAGGACTCGGGGGTCACGGGGGGGGCTGGGGCACACTGCAGGGGGAAACATAGGAACAAGAATCAACAACGTGTTTGTGTCAAAGGTCTTTTATGGTGGAGTAAGTACAGAGCTGTAAACATTTAGCAAGACAATTAATGCAGCTGCTAATGAAGATAAAGAGCTACGTCATCAATTTAAATAATTTTAAGATATTTATTTTGTTAAATAACTTCAAAATAATAAATAAATGTCTTAATACATTAATTATATTTAGCATGGAAATAAATTAGATAATACTAATAACTAATGCTAAAAAACAATGCTACAAAATGGTTAATGCGATGCTAATATTTTATCCAGACATAACAATGATAATAAAAATAACTAATTAGAAATGTGTCATTCAATTAGATTCTAATATTTCTTCTGAACATAAAAAGATAACACCAAATATAAATAAAATGCTTATATTTTGCATTGTTTTGCGAAACCAAATGTAATCATGCAGGAGGAGTTTTTTGTAATTATACAAGAAAAATGACGTAGGATGTAATGGATAGAAAATCTGTAATAATAATAAATATTTACTAAAAATAAATCGAAATATTTGAGTGCAGCTCTTACCGATGGGGTCCTTGGCGAGGATGGGTTTGGAGGGGACGCTGGGGTCCCCGGTGCCCAGCTCGTTTTCGGCCATCACCCTGAACTCGTACTCGCAGCCCTCCACCAGGTCCTGCACGCGGTACTGGGTGGCGGGGTACAGCGGCTCCCTGGTGACCCGGGACCATCTCTTGGCAGCAGGCTCCTTCTTCTCCAGGATGTAGTTGGTGATGGGCTTCCCTCCGTCGCGGGGCCGGGTCCACAGCACCAGGGCGTTGGTGGCGTACACCTCCCTGACCGTGGGCATCTCGGGGGCCTCAGGGACCCCTGCAGGGAGCACACAGGGTTATCAGGTGTATCCAAGTACTTTTACTCCAGTACTGATAGTATAATAATAATAACACATGCGATTTTTCATAATAACATAAAATCAGAACAGAAACAATACAAAGATAAAGTATGAGATCTTTCAGTGTGATGTGACAGGATTGCGTAATATTCCATTACAGTTACTTACATTACAATATTACTCATATTATTTGCTACAATACATTTTCAAATACAGATCAATATACTATAACTAGCTATAGGTAACTAGTAGTTGTAACAGATTATGTACTTAAGGTACCCCTCCCAACCCTGGTCATAACGTACTGAACAGATCTTTGGCTCTCATCTCCTCGGACTCCAGCGGGTCGCTGATGCCGTACATGTTCTCCGCAGAGATCCTCATGATGTACTCACGGCCCTCCGTCAGCTTCGGGATCTGAGAGAAAACACCCACCACAGAGAACCTCTGTTAGAGACCCCCACTAGGGATGAAACATGCTCAGGAGTCAGGTGGACAGGAGTCAGGTGGACAGGAGTCAGGTGGACAGGAGTCTGGTGGACAGGAGTCAGGTGGACAGGAGTCAGGTGGACAGGAGTCAGGTGGACAGGAGTCAGGTGGACAGGAGTCTGGTGGACAGGAGTCAGGTGGACAGGAGTCAGGTGGACAGGAGTCAGGTGGACAGGAGTCAGGTGGACAGGAGTCTGGTGGACAGGAGTCAGGTGGACAGGAGTCAGGTGGACAGGAGTCAGGTGGACAGGAGTCTGGTGGACAGGAGTCAGGTGGACAGGAGTATGTTGGACAGGAGTCTGGTGGACAGGAGTCTGGTGGACAGGAGTCTGTTGGACAGGAGTCTGGTGGACAGGAGTCAGGTGGACAGGAGTCTGGTGGACAGGAGTCAGGTGGACATCGGTCAGGCTGGGGTTAGGTGGACAGGAGTCTGGTGGACAGGAGTCAGGTGGACAGGAGTCAGGTGGACAGGAGTCAGGTGGACAGGAGTCTGATGGACAGGAGTCTGGTGGACAGGAGTCTGATGGACAGGAGTCTGGTGGACAGGAGTCAGGCTAGGGTTTGGTGGACAGGTGTCTGGTGGACAGGAGTCAGATGGACAGGAGTCTGGTGAACAGGAGTCAGGTGGACAGGAGTCTGGTGGACAGAAGTCTGATGGACAGGAGTCTGGTGGACAGGAGTCAGGTGGACAGGAGTCTGTTGGACAGGAGTCAGGCTGGGGTTAGGTGGACAGGAGTCTGTTGGACAAGAGTCAGGTGGACAGGAGTCAGGTGGACAGGAGTATGGTGGACAGGAGTCTGGTGGACAGGAGTCAGGCTGGGGTTAGGTGGACAGGAGTCTGGTGGACAGGAGTCAGGTGGACAGGAGTCTGGTGGACAGGAGTCTGGTGGACAGGAGTCAGGTGGACAGGAGTCTGTTGGACAGGAGTCTGGTGGACAGGAGTCTGTTGGACAGGAGTCTGGTGGACAGGAGTCTGGTGGACAGGAGTCTGTTGGACAGGAGTCTGGTGGACAGGAGTCTGTTGGACAGGAGTCTGGTGGACAGGAGTCTGGTGGACAGGAGTCAGGTGGACAAGAGTCTGTTGGACAGGAGTCTGGTGGACAGGAGTCTGGTGGACAGGAGTCTGGTGGACAGAAGTCTGGTGGACAGGAGTCTGGTGGACAGGAGTCTGGTGGACAGGAGTCTGGTGGACAGGAGTCTGGTGGACAGGAGTCTGGTGGACAGGAGTCAGGTGGACAGGAGTCTGGTGGACAGGAGTCAGGCTGAGGTGGACAGGAGTCTGTTGGACAGGAGTCTGGTGGACAGGAGTCAGGTGGACAGGAGTCTGGTGGACAGGAGTCTGGTGGACAGGAGTCTGGTGGACAGGAGTCAGGCTGCGGTTAGGTGGACAGGAGTCTGGTGGACAGGAGTCTGGTGGACAGGAGTCTGGTGGACAGGAGTCTGGTGGACAGGAGTCTGGTGGACAGGAGTCAGGTGGACAGGAGTCTGTTGGACAGGAGTCTGGTGGACAGGAGTCTGGTGGACAGGAGTCTGGTGGACAGGAGTCTGGTGGACAGGAGTCAGGCTGAGGTGGACAGGAGTCTGTTGGACAGGAGTCTGGTGGACAGGAGTCTGGTGGACAGGAGTCTGGTGGACAGGAGTCTGGTGGACAGGAGTCAGGCTGCGGTTAGGTGGACAGGAGTCTGGTGGACAGGAGTCTGGTGGACAGGAGTCAGGTGGACAGGAGTCTGTTGGACAGGAGTCTGGTGGACAGGAGTCTGTTGGACAGGAGTCTGTTGGACAGGAGTCAGGTGGACAGGAGTCAGGTGGACAGGAGTCTGGTGGACAGGAGTCTGGTGGACAGGAGTCTGTTGGACAGGAGTCTGTTGGACAGGAGGCTGGTGGACAGGAGTCTGGTGGACAGGAGTCTGGTGGACAGGAGTCTGTTGGACAGGAGTCTGTTGGACAGGAGTCAGGCTGCCGTTAGGTGGACAGGAGTCTGGTGGACAGGAGTCTGGTGGACAGGAGTCAGGTGGACAGGAGTCAGGTGGACAGGAGTCAGGTGGACAGGAGTCTGATGGACAGGAGTCTGGTGGACAGGAGTCTGATGGACAGGAGTCTGGTGGACAGGAGTCTGGTGGACAGGAGTCAGGCTAGGGTTTGGTGGACAGGTGTCTGGTGGACAGGAGTCAGGTGGACAGGAGTCTGGTGAACAGGAGTCAGGTGGACAGGAGTCTGGTGGACAGAAGTCTGATGGACAGGAGTCTGGTGGACAGGAGTCAGGTGGACAGGAGTCTGTTGGACAGGAGTCAGGCTGGGGTTAGGTGGACAGGAGTCTGTTGGACAGGAGTCAGGTGGACAGGAGTCAGGTGGACAGGAGTATGGTGGACAGGAGTCTGGTGGACAGGAGTCAGGCTGGGGTTAGGTGGACAGGAGTCTGGTGGACAGGAGTCAGGTGGACAGGAGTCTGGTGGACAGGAGTCTGGTGGACAGGAGTCTGGTGGACAGGAGTCAGGTGGACAGGAGTCTGTTGGACAGGAGTCTGGTGGACAGGAGTCTGTTGGACAGGAGTCTGGTGGACAGGAGTCTGGTGGACAGGAGTCTGTTGGACAGGAGTCTGGTGGACAGGAGTCTGTTGGACAGGAGTCTGGTGGACAGGAGTCTGGTGGACAGGAGTCTGGTGGACAGGAGTCAGGTGGACAAGAGTCTGTTGGACAGGAGTCTGTTGGACAGGAGTCTGGTGGACAGGAGTCTGGTGGACAGGAGTCTGGTGGACAGGAGTCTGGTGGACAGGAGTCTGGTGGACAGGAGTCTGGTGGACAGGAGTCAGGTGGACAGGAGTCTGGTGGACAGGAGTCTGGTGGACAGGAGTCTGGTGGACAGGAGTCTGGTGGACAGGAGTCAGGTGGACAGGAGTCTGGTGGACAGGAGTCAGGTGGACAGGAGTCTGGTGGACAGGAGTCAGGCTGAGGTGGACAGGAGTCTGTTGGACAGGAGTCTGGTGGACAGGAGTCAGGTGGACAGGAGTCTGGTGGACAGGAGTCAGGCTGGGGTTAGGTGGACAGGAGTTTGGTGGACAGGAGTCTGGTGGACAGGAGTCTGGTGGACAGGAGTCTGGTGGACAGGAGTCTGGTGGACAGGAGTCAGGTGGACAGGAGTCTGTTGGACAGGAGTCTGGTGGACAGGAGTCTGTTGGACAGGAGTCTGGTGGACAGGAGTCAGGTGGACAGGAGTCAGGTGGACAGGAGTCTGGTGGACAGGAGTCTGGTGGACAGGAGTCTGTTGGACAGGAGTCTGGTGGACAGGAGTCTGTTGGACAGGAGTCTGGTGGACAGGAGTCAGGTGGACAGGAGTCAGGTGGACAGGAGTCTGGTGGACAGGAGTCTGTTGGACAGGAGGCTGGTGGACAGGAGTCTGGTGGACAGGAGTCTGGTGGACAGGAGTCTGTTGGACAGGAGTCAGGTGGACAGGAGTCTGTTGGACAGGAGTCTGGTGGACAGGAGTCTGTTGGACAGGAGTCAGGTGGACAGGAGTCTGTTGGACAGGAGTCAGGTGGACAGGAGTCAGGTGGACAGGAGTCTGGTGGACAGGAGTCTGGTGGACAGGAGTCTGGTGGACAGGAGTCTGGTGGACAGGAGTCTGGTGGACAGGAGTCTGTTGGACAGGAGTCAGGTGGACAGGAGTCTGGTGGACAGGAGTCTGGTGGACAGGAGTCTGGTGGACAGGAGCCTGGATGGGGTTTTGCTCACCTTGCAGAAGGTCTTGGTGTTGGCGGAGGTGACGGTGGTCCAGGCCTCGCGGTTGGTGTCTCTCTGCTCGATGATGTAGTTAGAGACGTCTACGCCGCCGCTGTCTAGAGGAGGTTTCCAGGAGATCACCATGAACTCCCTGTGCACCTCCTCAAACACCACGGGGCCGACAGGCGGGGTTGGGCGGTCTGCAGGGAGGAGACCATGTGATCAACCGATACAGCAATAAATATCTACTCTGAGACCCCGTCTTTCTATCATCCATATCCCATTCTGTTGCTGCCTCTTTGGACGTAAACTACAGAAATATATACATATTTGGTGTTTGGCTGAGGTCACTTCTGTGTTTTGTAGGAAAATATGTTTATATTTCTTAGTTTACAATATCTAATCTAATATATAATCTGATCAGTTTCAGATATTATTTTCAAAGCGATACTTTGCTGCTTGAACCAAAAATAAATTGTATTTTTCATTTTTATTAGGATTAAAATATATTTTAATCTAAAATTATTAATAATTTTTCATTTTCACGGTTTAATCTTAATTCAAATAAATTGTATATATTTAAAAAATATATATTTTTTACATCTTTTTCTATTTTTCCTTTTTAATCAGATATATTTCGAAAATAATCCACTGATTATTTAATATTATATTTATCCTTTTATCTTATATTGAAGTTTTTTGCTTTTAAGTTTTCTTCAACCATTTTTATATCAAAAATCAAATTATTCGCATCTGAAAACCTACTAATAGTACTTTAAAAGCAAACGGGTGGTGTCCCGCAGGGGTCTATGCATGGACCTTTTCTTTTTCTGTCTAATTCATGGTTCAGCTGCTGCACTTCATCTTTATTAATACGATTTTACGCCGGCTGGTATCAACATCTGTACGTACCGACCACGGTGATGTTGCAGACCCCTTTCCTGGAGCCGGTGCTGTTCTCCACCACCACCACGTATCTGCCACTGTGTCTGCGCTCCGCCTTCATCAGGCCCAGAGACATGGTGGTCAGCGTGTTCTTGAACATCACGTGTTTGTCGGCCTTCAGCTCCTCGTCCTCGCGGTACCACAGGATGGACGGGGACGGTTTCCCGCTGTAGCGGCCCTGCAGCAGGCAGCTCTCGCCCACACGGATCACGATCGCATCGCGGAAGTCCAGCTCGATGGTGGGCGGCTCTGTGAGACAGGGAGACTGATTGTGAGCTGATATTGAAAGTACCAGTACTACTAGTTTATAACAACTGCACGGCTCTTTCCTTCCAAAGGAGATATATCATCTAGTTGTTGTTTACATATTTTTATTGGGAGTTTTTATTTTCTACTTTTGTATTTCTATGATTTTCTCTGACCATATTTATGTTACTATATTTGTAACTATAAGTTATTATAGTTTTCTCAAAATAGTTTTCTATCTGTGTTTTTAATGTTTGTATTACTGTTATGTATGCACCACAACACCAAGTCAAATTCCTCGTAAGTGTCAAACTACCTGGTAATAAACCTGATTCTGATTCTGGTTCTGGTTCTGATTCTGGTTCTGGTTCTGATTCTGGTTCTGATTCTGGTTCTAATTCTGGTTCTGATTCTGGTTCTGATTCTGGTTCTGATTCTGGTTCTGATTCTGGTTCTGATTCTCGTTCTGAATCTGGTTCTGGTTCTGATTCTGGTTCTGATTCTGGTTCTGATTCTGATGAGATATGAATGGGAATACCCCTGAGATGACCTGCTGATTTGAATCTCCTGAAACTCACCCAGCTCGTCCTTGCAGGTGATGGGTTTGGTGCCGAAGGACGGCTTGCTGGGCCCGACCTCGTTGACGGCGATGACCCTGAACTCGAAGGTGTCGCCCTCCCGCAGACCGTCGAACGTGAACTTCCTCTCCATCAGAGGGTCTTTGGTCAGACGACTGAACTTGTCTTTGCCGATCATGCGCGCCTCCAGCATGTACATGATGATCTCCGAGCCGCCGTCGAACTTCGGGGCTTTCCAGGTGACGCTGATCAGGTCCTTGGTGACCTTGGTGACCTCCAGCTCCTCAGGGCGGTCCGGCACACCTGGGGGGGACAGGTAAACTTTATATCTGTCTGGATATTACATTACATGTCACTTAGACTCTTTTACCCAAAGCAACTTACATACATTCAGTACTTTGGGAAATCTGATCAGGAGCAATTTGGGTTGGGGGTGAAGTGACTTGCTCAGGGACATATTTATAGATACAAAGTTGGACTTCTGACTTCACAATGTTTCCTTTTTTACAAAAACTTCAAAAGTATGATTATTTTCTTTTGTTGACATCCAAATGTATCTTGAAAATAGTTTTTAGACTTTCAGTTTGAATGTGTTCTACAATCTCAGACACACAGGATCTGCAGATGGGAACTAGCTATGGGATTATTTAAATTATATTTTACTTGATTATAGGATTGACTGTTTTATCAATGAAATTGTGACTCCTCTAAATGCCCCTCCTCTCATGGTTCAGACTTCCTGATTGTAGATGGACTCACTCATGGGTTCTTTGATGAGGATCTCGGCGGCGGTGCACATGAAGGGTCCGAGCCCAATGGCGTTTTCGGCGGCGACTCTGAAGAAGTAGGACTTGCCCGTGGTGAGGCCCTGAGCCACGGCGTTCTGCCGGCTGGCGGTGAAGGACACGGCAGTCCAGGCCTTACGCTCGGCCTCACGCTTCTCCACGATGTAGTTGCTGATGGGCGAGCCTCCGTCGTTCTCCGGGAAGAACCAGCTGAGTTTACAGGACTCGCTGCTCAGGTTCTCCGCATTGAAGGGGATTCCCACAGGCCCGGGGACGTCTTGGGGGGAAACGGAGGGTTAATAGGCATTTCTGTGTTGGTCCCTGAAGGCAGCTAATGTTAGGCTATAAAGGAACTACAGCACGGTCACATGACTTCACGTCACCACCGCTAAGCTAAAGGAGGCTAATGTTAGGCTATAAAGGAACTACAGCACGGTCACATGACTTCACGTCACCACCGCTAAGCTAAAGGAGGCTAATGTTGGGCTATAAAGGAACTACAGCACGGTCACATGACTTCACGTCACCACCGCTAAGCTAAAGGAGGCTAATGTTGGGCTATAAAGGAACTACAGCACGGTCACATGACTTCACGTCACCACCGCTAAGCTAAAGGAGGCTAATGTTAGGCTATAAAGGAACTACAGCACGGTCACATGACTTCACGGCACCACCGCTAAGCTAAAGGCGGCTAATGTTGGGCTATAAAGGAACTACAGCACGGTCACATGACTTCACGTCACCACCGCTAAGCTAAAGGAGGCTAATGTTGGGCTATAAAGGAACTACAGCACGGTCACATGACTTCACGTCATCACCGCTAAGCTAAAGGCGGCTAATGTTGGGCTATAAAGGAACTACAGCACGGTCACATGACTTCACGTCACCACCGCTAAGCTAAAGGTGGCTAATGTTGGGCTATAAAGGAACTACAGCACGGTCACATGACTTCACGTCACCACCGCTAAGCTAAAGGAGGCTAATGTTGGGCTATAAAGGAACTACAGCAAGGTCACATGACTTCACGTCACCACCGCTAAGCTAAAGGAGGCTAATGTTGGGCTATAGAGGAACTACAGCACGGTCACATGACTTCACGTCACCACCGCTAAGCTAAAGGCGGCTAATGTTGGGCTATAGAGGAACTACAGCACGTCACATGACTTCACGTCACCACCGCTAAGCTAAAGGCGGCTAATGTTGGGCTATAAAGGAACTACAGTACGGTCACATGATTTCACGTCACCACCGCTAAGCTAAAGGTGGCTAATGTTGGGCTATAAAGGAACTACAGCACGGTCACATGACTTCACGTCACCACCGCTAAGCTAAAGGAGGCTAATGTTGGGCTATAAAGGAACTACAGCACGGTCACATGACTTCACGTCACCACCGCTAAGCTAAAGGAGGCTAATGTTGGGCTATAAAGGAACTACAGCAAGGTCACATGACTTCACGTCACCACCGCTAAGCTAAAGGTGGCTAATGTTGGGCTATAAAGGAACTACAGCACGGTCACATGACTTCACGTCACCACCGCTAAACTAAAGGAGGCTAATGTTGGGCTATAAAGGAACTACAGCACGGTCACATGACTTCACGTCACCACCGCTAAGCTAAAGGCGGCTAATGTTGGGCTATAGAGGAGCTACAGCACGGTCACATGACTTCACGTCACCACCACTAAGCTAAAGGCGGCTAATGTTGGGCTATAGAGGAGCTACAGCACGGTCACATGACACACAACTGCTACACGGACCTTATTTCAGGATAACATGGAAAAAAAGACAACCAGATAACCATTGACCTTCAGACAATTGAGTCTAATGTGCCGGATCTGCTTACCCAGGACTTCCACAGTGATGTTCTTGGTCTTCTCTCCGCCGGCGTTCTTGGCGGTCAGCGTGTAGACGCCCAGGTGCTTCCTGGTGCAGGGTTTGATGACCAGAGACGAGCTGATTCCGGTCGTCTCCACCACTGCCTCTATAGGCAGCGCGGCACCATCTCGAGTCCATGTGACCTCGGGGGCCGGCTGGCCCGACACGTAGGCAATGATCCGGATCACTCCGCCGGCGTGGACTACCATCCTCTCCTTCACCGAGGCATCCAGGTCCACCTCAGGAGCAACTGGGTAGGAGATCAGTGTTAGAGAAGGACGGTATGCAACATATTTAAGTCAGGAAAAGGGTCCCTCATTCATACTTCATGTCCAAATCTTCATAATTATTGGAGGTCAGAGATGGTAAAAGTACACACATCCTGTACTCAAGTAGAAGTACACACATCCTGGACTCAAGTAGAAGTACACACATCCTGGACTCAAGTAGAAGTACAGATACTCGTGTTTAAAGATACTCTGGAGAAAGTAGAAGTACTGACTAAACTTCTTTATCAAGTGAAAGTAAAGAGGCTTTGAAGTGTACTTCAGTAAAAAGTACCCATAACTAGCAGCTGCTTTAAAGAGTACCTGACCTCCCTTTATATTAATAGAACAATAATGTCATTGTTAGCTAATGAATGTTTCCATGCTGAACAACGGCAACATGACAACATTTCCATTGGTCCCTCTTCTTTAGAGAAGACCAGGAAATGATGGATACACGGATCGTGTTCAAATCAATAGGCACGCAATGACTCTAAAGAATATTTTTTTAACTGAATTAGAACAAACCTAACCGGGGATACTCACAAGTCCCCGGTTAGGTGCTTCGTTGTTGGAGTTTACCCCAGTGGACGAGAGGGTCGCCTCCCTACGCCTGCGGGTTATGGGGGGGAAAACTCTGACTGTTGTGTGTGCTTATGCACCCAACAGCAGTTCAGAGTATACGGCCTTCTTGGAGACCCTGGAAAGAGTCCTGTATGGGGCTCCTGAAGGGGACTCTTTAATCTTGCTGGGAGACTTCAACGCACATGTGGGCAATGATGGAGACACTTGGAGGGGCGTGATTGGGAGGAACGGCCCCCCTGGTCTGAACCGGAGTGGTGGTTTGTTACTGGACTTCTGTGCTAGTCATGGATTGGCCATAACAAACACCATGTTCGAACATAAGGATGCTCATAAGTGTACGTGGTACCAGAGCACCCTAGGCAGAAGGTCCATGATCGATTTCGTTATCGTATCATCGGACCTGAGGCCGTATGTTTTGGACACTCGGGTAAAGAGAGGGGCGGAGTTGTCAACTGATCACCATCTGGTGGTGAGTTGGGTCGAGTGGCGGGGGAAGCCTCTGGATAGACCTGGTAAGCCCAAACGTGTAGTTCGGGTGAACTGGGAACGTCTGGAGGAGGCCCAAGTTCAGGAGGCCTTCAACTCACACCTCCGGCGGAGCTTTTCGGGCATTCCTGTGGAGGTTGGGGACATTGAACCAGAGTGGTCGGTGTTCAAAACCTCTATTACCGAAGCCGCGGCGGGGAGCTGTGGTCTCAAGGTCCTAGGTGCCTCAAGGGGCGGTAACCCTCGAACCTCCTGGTGGACACCGGTGGTCAGGGAAGCCGTCCGACTGAAGAAGGAGGCCTTCAGGGATTTGTTATCCCGGGGGACTCCCGAGGCAGTTGCAAGGTACCGACAGGCCCGAAGGGCAGCAGCCTCATCCGTGGCCGAGGCAAAGCAGCGGGTGTGGGAGAAGTTCGGAGAAGACATGGAGAAGGACTTTCGGGCGGCACCAAAGTTGTTCTGGAAAACTGTCCGACACCTCAGGAGGGGGAAGCAGGGAACCATCCAAGCTGTGTACAGTAAGGATGGGACGTTGTTGACCTCAACTGATGGAGTGTTAGGGCGTTGGAAGGAACACTTTGAGGAACTCCTGAACCCGACAACTCCGCCCTCTATGTTAGAGGCAGAGCTGGAGTATGACGGGGGATCAACACCAATCTCCCGGGGGGAGGTCACTGAGGTCGTCAAACAACTCCACAGTGGCAAAGCCCCGGGGGTGGATGAGATCCGCCCGGAAATGCTGAAGGCTCTGGGTGTTGAGGGACTGTCATGGTTGACACGTCTCATCAACGTTGCGTGGAAGTCGGAAACAGTACCGAAAGAGTGGCAGACCGGGGTGGTGGTCCCCCTTTTTAAAAAGGGGGATCAGAGGGTGTGCTCCAATTACAGAGGCATCACACTACTCAGCCTCCCCGGGAAAGTTTACTCTAAGGTACTTGAAAGGAGGGTCCGGCCGATAGTCGAACCTCAGATTGAGGAGGAACAATGCGGATTCCGTCCTGGTCGTGGAACGATGGATCAGCTTTTTACTCTCGCAAGGATCCTGGAGGGGGCCTGGGAGTACGCTTATCCGGTCTACATGTGTTTTGTAGACTTGGAGAAGGCGTATGACCGAGTTCCCAGGGAGTTACTGTGGGAGGTGCTGCGGGAGTATGGGGTGAGGGGGTCTCTACTCAGGGCCATCCAATCTCTGTACTCCCAAAGCGAGAGCTGTGTCCGGGTCCTCGGCAGTAAGTCGGACCCATTTCCGGTGAGGGTTGGCCTCCGCCAGGGCTGCGCTTTGTCACCAATCCTGTTTCTAATATACATGGATCGGATTTCGAGGCGTAGTCATGGGGGAGGGGGTCTGCAGTTCGGTGGACTAAGGATTGCACCACTGCTTTTTGCAGATGATGTGGTTCTAATGGCTTCATCGGTCTGCGACCTTCAGCACTCACTGGATCGGTTCGCAACCGAGTGTGAAGCGGCTGGGATGAGGATCAGCACCTCCAAATCTGAGGCCATGGTTCTCAGCAGGAAACCGATGGACTGTCCACTCCAAGTAGGGAATGAGTCCTTACCCCAAGTGAAGGAGTTCAAGTATCTCGGGGTCTTGTTCTCGAGTGAGGGAACAATGGAGCGTGAGATGGGCCGGAGAATCGGAGCAGCGGGAGCGGTACTGCAGTCGCTTTACCGCACCGTTGTGACGAAAAGGGAGCTGAGCCAGAAGGCAAAGCTCTCGGTCTTCCGGGCCATTTTCGTTCCTACCCTCACCTATGGTCATGAAGGATGGGTCATGACCGAAAGAACGAGATCGCGGATACAAGCGGCCGAGATGGGTTTTCTCCGCAGGGTGGCTGGTGTCTCCCTTAGGGATAAGGTGAGAAGTTCGGTCATCAGGGAGGGACTCGGAGTTGAGCCGCTCCTCCTTCGCGTCGAAAGGAGCCAGTTGAGGTGGTTCGGGCACCTAGTTAGGATGCCACCTGGGCGCCTCCCTAGGGAGGTGTTCCAGGCACGTCCAGCTGGGAAGAGACCAAGGGGTAGACCTAGGACCAGGTGGAGGGATTATATCTCTTCGCTGGCCTGGGAGCGCCTTGGGAGCCCCCAGTCAGAGCTGGTTGATGTCGCCAGGGAAAAGAAAGTTTGGGGCTCTCTGCTGGAACTGCTACCCCCGCGACCCGACCACGGATAAGCGGGAGAAGATGGATGGATGGATGAATTAGAACAATTTACTTTAGTCAACCATGACCAGGGGCGCCGCCAGGGATTTTGGGCCCCATGGAAAGATATAACATTGGGCCCCGCCACCAGGCCCAGGCCATGCCAACCAAGCACACTGCTGTAACCACACCTCCAGAACCCAACCTACTCATTGATGCTTTAAATAACTCTACCTGTACAGGCTTCTACAAAATAAGCGGGTATTAAAGTGTAAATGGACAACAAAACGGAAATGGAAATGAAAAGGCCTGATGGTGGCGCTAAATCAGACTGGGTGACATACTGTCGCCCTTTAGTCCCTCTCTCTTGTCTTTCTCTCCTTTCTTTTCTTTTTTGAAAGCCTGACTTTGTTAGTCGTTGAGACGTTGAGTTAGTCGTACACATGTAAGTACTCGCATCCCTCCTCACATGCTCTCACTCTGCTAGAAAATGCGGTGCTGCACAGCGTTTGGAGACAGGACCAAACCATTACATGTAAATAGAGGGGGGTGTACAGAGGATTTGGATAATGAACTTTTCGAACAAAAATAAGTTAAATGAATCGTAAGTTTAGAGTACATTATCAATATAATGTTATATTAATGTTAATTATTGATGATTGATGAAAGGTTACTTACAAATGTTTTCTTAATGTTCAACAATTTTTGGGTCCCCTGTCAATCAAGGGCCCTTAGAATCGTCCTAACTTTTCACCCCCTTATGGCGCCCCTGACCATGACTAACATTAATCTCAACCTTTTCACATGTTTTCTGTGGTTGATGTTTCGTTTTAGTTTTTTGTGCTGTGATTTCAGCTGTTTGTCTATCATTTTAAATGTTTTTGTACGATTAATGTTTTCTTATTCTGTAGGGGGAGGGTTAAAAGAAATGGACAACCTGCACACCTGTTTTGTTGTGTCTTTGACAGTGTATGTGTTGTTTAAGAAAAAGAAAAAAGGAAGGTGAGAGATGAGGATCTGTCTGAACTCTCAGAGCACTCACTGGTTCTGTCGTTGACCTCGAGCACCTCGGGAACCTCTCCCGGTTCTCCGTTACCGGCAGCGTTGAAAGCGGTCACCCTGAACTTATATTTTCCGCCAGTCTTCAGGCCGGCGATCACCAGCCGGGTGCCGCGGATCTCCGTCTCTTTCGCCTGAAAACAGAAACAGGTCTCAGTTTCTACGATCAGCATCAGGGTCTCTAAAGTGTGAACGCTCTCAGGAAAGTGTCCCACCTTCACCCAGGCCTCGGTGCCCTCCTCCTTGGACTCCACCCAGTAACCAATGATCTTGGAGCCTCCGTCCTTCAGGGGCGGGATCCAGTGCAGGTCCACAGAGGACTTGGTCCAATCAGAGATCTTGGGGGTGGGGGGAGAGGGCGGGGCTACAGGAGATAAACAGGTGTTAGCTTCCTGCTCGGTGCACAGAAACATGTGGTTCTCTAATCTCAGACACAGGGTTTATATCTGAAGACTCGTTAAGGGTTTTCGTAACTTTAATTATGTTGTCTGGCAATTTAACTGTTTTTAATTAATTTCACATAAAATTAAAATGTTGAAAAAAGAATACATTCTGAGATGAATTTAACAATGATTAAAAATGTCTTAACTTTATTTGTAAAAACAAAAAAAACATGATTTATTCCAAAAATCAGAATATTCATTCAAATGTTAGGAATAATCTCAGACACACAGGATTTATATCTGAAGACAAAACATCGTTAAGGGATTATTGCAATTATAATTATATTGTCTGACAGTTTAACTGCTGGACAATTTTGTAACAAATTCACATACAATTAATAAAAAAATTCTGAGATGGATAAAATAACTGATTAAAAATGTCTGAACTCTGAATTTATCCATAAAATGACTTATTTTTGCAAAAACATAAAAAAATATGATTTTATTCTTTCTCTAATAACTGTGTTAATAATGCAGAGGCTCTTACAGATGGGGTCTCTGGCGAAGATGGGGTCTGTGAGGGCGCTGTAGGGCCCGGGCCCTGCGGCGTTGAGGGCGCAGACCCTGAACAGGTACTGCGAGCCCTCGATGAGCCCGCTCACAGTGAAGCTCTCGCCCATTCCCATTGGTCGGATCGGGTCCCGGGTCACTCGGGTCCAGCGCTTCCCGGTGGTCTCCTTCCTCTCCAGCCAGTATCCGGTGATGGGGGTCCCTCCATCTTCCTCAGGCTCCTCCCAGCTCACCGTCATGGCGTCCAGCGTCACGCCGCTCACCTTCGGCTTCTCCACCTGCCCGGGGGGCGCTGAGGGAAGAGAGGGGGGGCACCTTTAATATCACTCATTACATTCAGTACACAGCAACACCTCATACACTGAGGGAAGGTGGGGGGCACGTTTAATATCACTCATTACATTCAGTACACAGCAACACCTCATACACTAAGGGAAGGGGGGGGGGGCACGTTTAATATCACTCACTACATTCAGTACACAGCAACACCTCATACACTAAGGGAAGGGGGGGGGGCACGTTTAATATCACTCACTACATTCAGTACACAGCAACACCTCATACACTAAGGGAAGGGGGGGGGGGGCACGTTTAATATCACTCATTACATTCAGTACACAGCAACACCTCATACACTGAGGGAAGGGGGGGCACCTTTAATATCACTCATTACATTCAGTACACAGCAACACCTCATACACTGAGGGAAGGGGGGGCACCTTTAATATCACTCATTACATTCAGTACACAGCAACACCTCATACACTGAGGGAAGGTGGGGGGCACGTTTAATATCACTCATTACATTCAGTACACAGCAACACCTCATACACTGAGGGAAGGTGGGGGGGCACCTTTAATATCACTCATTACATTCAGTACGCAGCAACACCTCATACACTGAGGGAAGGTGGGGGGCACCTTTAATATCACTCATTACATTCAGTACGCAGCAACACCTCATACACTGAGGGAAGGTGGGGGGGGTAAACCACCTTTAATATTTGGACTAGCTCTAGTCCGAAGTATTAAAGTCATAAACCCTCTCACCGTAGAGGTCTCTGGCGACCTCCGGCTCGCTGTCCAGAGGTTCTCCCACTCCGAACTTGTTCTGCGCCATGATGCGGAAGATGTACTCGTGCCCGGCCATCAGGTTTTCGACGGTCCAGACGCGCTCCTTGGGCTCGTTGGTGACGATCACCCAGGTGCTCCTGCTCGCCACGCGGCGCCAGATCACGTAGTTTGTGATCCTGGAGCCGCCGTCGTCCTTCGGGGGGAGCCAGGAGAGCGTGATGCGCTCAGAGCCAATCGACTCAAACTTAATGGGAGCAGAGGGGCGGTCGGGCAGACCTGGGGGGGGGGGGGGGGGGGGGGGGGAATAAAAGGTTTAGATCAGTGCTTCTCCCGGTGGTCCGTGAGCGCCCCCTAGTGGTCCGTGAGTATATTGGTAACATTTGAAATAAATAAATACATTTCAGTTTTCCGCACTCTCGCGGGAATATCTCCGCAATGGAGCGAGCTTAAGTTTCAAGATTTCGATTGCATGATATAGCCCAGAGCAACACCTTCATCACACATGTTTCCACTTGTTTGTACCATTTTCAGGCGATTTGTAATCTGTTTTAGAAAAACGATGTGTGGATATTTGTGGAGTTAGGTGGTCCGCGAGTGTGGACACTGGTTTAGAGGGAATCGTTCAGCTGGGGTTTAATGCTAAATGATGTTCACACAAATACAGTCAAGGTTTTAAAGACCAGGAAACCTCATGCATTAAAACAAAATAGACAAACGTGTGTGTGTGATTGTGTGTGTGTCTCTGTGTGATTGAGTGTGTGTCTCTGTGTGTCTCTGTGTGTGTGTGTGTGTGTGTGTGTGTGTGTGGGTGTGGTGTGTGTGTGTGTGTGTGTGTGTGTGTGATTGATTGTGTGTGTGTCTCTGTGTGATTGAGTGTGTGTGTGTCTGTGGGATTGTGTGTGTGTGTGTCTGTGTGTGTGATTGTGTGATTGTGTCTCTGTGTGATTGTGTGTGTGATTGATTGTGTGTGTGTCTGTGGGATTGTGTGTGTGTGTGTGTCTGTGATTGAGTGTGTGTGTCTGTGGGATTATGTTCGTGTCTCTGTGTGATTGAGTGTGTGTCTCTGTGTGTCTCTGTGTGTGTGTGTGTCTCTGTGTGTCTGTGTTTGTGTGTGTGTCTGTGTGATTGAGTGTGTGTGTCTCTGTGTGATTGAGTGTGTGTGTCTCTGTGTGATTGAGTGTGTGTGTCTCTGTGTGATTGAGTGTGTGTGTCTCTGTGTGATTGAGTGTGTGTCTCTGTGTGATTGAGTGTGTGTCTCTGTGTGTCTCTGTGTGTGTGTGTGTGTGTGTGTGTGTGTGTGTGTGTGTGTGTGTGTGTGTGATTGTGTGTGTGTGTGGTTACCCAGCACGTTGAGCCTCATCTCTGCGGAGGCCTTCCCGACGCTGTTGGAGGCGATCAGGGTGTAGAGTCCGGTGTCGGCTCTGTTCCCCTGCTGGATGAGGAGCGTGCAGCTGTCGTCGCTCACCACCTTGTTGATGTGCTCGTCGTACGAGACCTCCACCCGCTGCTCGGGGTGGTGGGCGGGCGCCTTGTACCAGGTGAGGGTGGGGAAGGGGCAACCGCGCACCTTCGCCACGATGCTGATGTCGGACCGCTGCTCCGCCTCCATGAACTCCTTCAGATCGATGGACGGAGCGCCTGCAGGAGACAGGAAGTTAGTGTGATGGAAACCTCTGGATCAATGGAGACTCAGAGAGACACGGAGAGACACGGAGAGACACGGAGAGACACGGAGAGACACTGAGAGACTCAGAGAGACTCAGAGAGACACGGAGAGACACAGAGAGACACGGAGAGACACGGAGAGACACGGAGAGACACGGAAAGACACGGAGAGACACAGAGAGACACGGAGAGACACAGAGAGACACGGAGAGACACGGAGAGACACGGAGAGACACGGAGAGACACAGAGAGACACAGAGAGACACAGAGAGACACAGAGAGACACAGAGAGACACAGAGAGACACAGAGAGACACAGAGAGACACAGAGAGACACAGAGAGACACAGAGAGACACAGAGAGACACAGAGAGACACAGAGAGACACAGAGAGACACAGAGAGACACAGAGAGACACAGAGAGACACAGAGAGACACAGAGAGACACAGAGAGACACAGAGAGACACGGAGAGACACGGAGAGACACGGAGAGACTCAGAGAGACACGGAGAGACACGGAGAGACACGGAGAGACACAGAGAGACACGGAGAGACACGGAGAGACACAGGGGGACACAGAGAGACACAGAGAGACACAGAGAGACACAGAGAGACACAGAGAGACACAGAGAGACACAGAGAGACACAGAGAGACACAGAGAGACACAGAGAGACACAGAGAGACACAGAGAGACACAGAGAGACACAGAGAGACACAGAGAGACACGGAGAGACACGGAGAGACACAGAGAGACACGGAGAGACTCAGAGAGACACGGAGAGACACGGAGAGACACGGAGAGACACAGAGAGACACGGAGAGACACAGAGAGACACGGAGAGACTCAGAGAGACACGGAGAGACACGGAGAGACACGGAGAGACTCAGAGAGACACGGAGAGACACGGAGAGACACAGAGAGACACGGAGAGACACGGAGAGACACGGAGAGACTCAGAGAGACACGGAGAGACACGGAGAGACTCAGAGAGACACGGAGAGACACGGAGAGACACGGAGAGACTCGGAGAGACACGGAGAGACACGGAGAGACACGGAGAGACACGGAGAGACACAGAGACACAGAGAGACACGGAGAGACACGGAGAGACACGGAGAGACACGGAGAGACACGGAGAGACACGGAGAGACACGGAGAGACACGGAGAGACACGGAGAGACACGGAGAGACACGGAGAGACTCAGAGAGACACGGAGAGACTCAGAGAGACACGGAGAGACACAGAGAGACACGGAGATACACGGAGAGACTCAGAGAGACACGGAGAGACTCAGAGAGACACGGAGAGACACGGAGATACACGGAGAGACTCAGAGAGACACGGAGAGACACAGAGAGACTCAGAGAGACACGGAGAGACTCAGAGAGACTCAGGGAGACTCAGAGAGACTCAGAGAGACTCAGGGAGACTCAGAGAGACTCAGAGAGACACAGAGAGACTCAGAGAGACACAGAGAGACTCAGAGAGACTCAGGGAGACTCAGAGAGACACAGAGAGACACGGAGAGACACGGAGAGACACAGAGAGACACGGAGAGACACGGAGAGACACGGAGAGACACAGAGAGACACGGAGAGACACGGAGAGACACGGAGAGACACAGAGAGACACGGAGAGACTCAGAGAGACACGGAGAGACACAGAGAGACTCAGAGAGACTCAGACAGACTCAGAGAGACACGGAGAGACACGGAGAGACACGGAGAGACACGGAGAGACTCAGAGAGACACGGAGAGACACGGAGAGACACGGAGAGACTCAGAGAGACACGGAGAGACTCAGAGAGACACGGAGAGACTCAGAGAGACACGGAGAGACACGGAGAGACACGGAGAGACTCAGAGAGACACGGAGAGACTGGTTAGAGGTGTGGGCCTAGGGCAATATTTCCCCAACAGTTAGCAATCAGATTGCAGGAAGCAGGAAGTTAGTAATCAGATTACAATCTACAGGAAACAGGAAGTAATCAGATTACTCACAGGTCTGGTCCTGCAGCACGATGGGTCCCACGGTGCTGGAGGGCCGGCTCTGGCCCGCCTTGTTGTGGGCCATCACCCTGAACTCGTACTCATCACCCTCCGTCAGGTCCTCCACCCGGTAGCTGGTGGTGTCCACGTCTCTCCTGTTGCACCTGAAGGCAGCACACATAATCAGGAGGGACCCTAACAGAGTCTCTAAGTCTCTATGCCGTCCCACAATCCCTTGCAGCTGTAACATCAAATCAAATCAAGTTTTATTTATAGAGCACATTTATAAACGATGTTTGGTGGAGCCAAAGTGCTGTACATAAAATAAAAATAGCCTACAGTAGAGACACTTTACAGCAAATACAACACCCTCTGTCCTTAGACCCTCTGTCCTCAGAACCTCTGTCCTCAGACCCTCTGTCCTTAGACCCTCTATCCTTAGACCCTCTGTCCTCAGACCCTCTATCCTCAGACCCTCTGTCCTCAGACCCTCTATCCTCAGACCCTCTATCCTTAGACCCTCTGTCCTCAGACCCTCTGTCCTCAGACCCTCTGTCCTCAGACCCTCTGTCCTCAGACCCTCTGTCCTTAGACCCTCTGTCCTTAGACCCTCTGTCCTTAGACCCTCACGTACAAGGAAACACTTCCAGAGAAAACCCACAGTTTAAGGGAACATGGGAGAAACCTCATGGAGAGCAACAGAGGAGGGATCCCTCTCCCAGGACGGACAGACGTGCAATAGATGCCGTGTGTAAAAGAGATAATACATTTTACAGCATATAGACCGAATGTTAGGAAATGCATGTGTCTGTAATAAGAAGATGAATCCACGAGGATGTCAGCTATGATATCGTTTCTTCCAGGAGAACATGTGACGCAGCATTGGCCCGATGTTGAACCATAACAAGAGACATGAACTACCCGAATATAAGACGACTCCTCTTTTTCAAAAAGAGTCATTTTTGGAAAAATACCTTTTTGAAGACCAAATCTTGTTTTTATAAAGAAAATAATTGTATTTGAAAAAATGTTATCCACTGCATTTGACACGCAGCATTTCTTTAAACTATTTATGATTCTCTCTCTCTCTCTCTCTCTCTCTCTCTCTCTGGTATGTCGTGTGAAATGTAATAGAGTGAATATATAGAGTAAAGCGGGCCGTACCTCCTCCAGGAGTCCTTGGCGGCCCCGCTGGCCTCCCAGCAGAGCAGGTCCACGCTGTAGTGAGTCACCGGGGCCCCTCCATCGTTCCTCGGGGCCCTCCAGGTCAGAGAGACGGCGCCCCGCCTCACGCTCCTGATCTTCAGCCTGGTGGGGGGGTCGGGGGGGTCTGCACAGAAAGGGGGTTATTAGAAATAGTCATTAAGTCATTCAAAAGTTACTGTCCTTCTTAAATCTCCTCGAAGAAACGATATCATAACGATATAAGATAAGAACAGATAAGATGGAGCTTTATTTATCCCCTTACTCAGGCGTTTATAGCAGCAACAGGGTCAGAGTGAAACACAGCATTCACACAAGGTACAAATAAAGATAAAATAGTAAACAAATACAAATAGTAATTCAGCAAAAATAAAGTGATAAAGTGATAAAGTAACTATTAGAACAAGATATCGCAGTAAAACGTTGTGCATTTGTATGAACATGTTAAATATATTTACATAAGTATGCAATATAAATATTATAGATATAATAGCGATATAATAAGAGTATAATAAATGCTTTCCGGTACGTACGGATGGGGTCGGTGACCTTGGTGGGCTGCTCGGTCTCAGCCAGGGGTCCGAAGCCGAAGCGGTTCTCTGCTCGGATCCTGAAGATGTACTCCTGTCCGTTGATGAGGTCTGGGATCACCAGAGACTGGGCTGCACAGGCCGGGTTCACCTGAGAGGAGCCAGAGCGGGTTAATAAACCTGGATCAACAACTAGGGTTAGGGGTCAGGGTCAGTTTCCTGTTTCTCTGGTGGGTCGGAGTTAGTTTCCTGTGGATTTGGGGTCAGTTTCCTGTCTGACTGGAGGGTCAGGGTCAGTTTCCTGTGGATTAGAAGTCAGTTTCCTGTCTGACTGGAGGGTCAGGGTCAGTTTCCTGTCTGTCTGGAGGGTCAGGGTCAGTTTCCTGTGGATTAGGGGTCAGTTTCCTGTCTGACTGGAGGGTCAGGGTCAGTTTCCTGTGGATTAGGGGTCAGTTTCCTGTCTGACTGGAGGGTCAGGGTCAGTTTCCTGTGGATTTGGGGTCAGTTTCCTGTCTGACTGGAGGGTCAGGGGTCAGTTTCCTGTGGATTAGAAGTCAGTTTCCTGTCTGACTGGAGGGTCAGGGTCAGTTTCCTGTGGATTAGGGGTCAGCTTCCTGTCTGACTGGAGGGTCAGGGTCAGTTTCCTGTGGATTAGGGGTCAGTTTCCTGTCTGACTGGAGGGTCAGGGTCAGTTTCCTGTGGATTAGGGTCAGTTTCCTGTCTGACTGGAGGGTCAGGGTCAGTTTCCTGTGGATTAGAAGTCAGTTTCCTGTCTGACTGGAGGGTCAGGGTCAGTTTCCTGTGGATTAGGGGTCAGTTTCCTGTGGATTAGGGGTCAGCTTCCTGTCTGACTGGAGGGTCAGGGTCAGTTTCCTGTGGATTAGGGGTCAGTTTCCTGTGGATTAGGGGTCAGCTTCCTGTCTGACTGGAGGGTCAGGGTCAGTTTCATGTGGATTAGGGGTCAGTTTCCTGTGGATTAGGGGTCAGTTTCCTGTCTGACTGGAGGGTCAGGGTCAGTTTCCTGTGGATTAGAAGTCAGTTTCCTGTCTGACTGGAGGGTCAGGGTCAGTTTCCTGTGGATTAGGGGTCAGCTTCCTGTTGATTAGGGGTCAGCTTCCTGTCTGACTGGAGGGTCAGGGTCAGTTTCCTGTGGATTAGGGGTCAGTTTCCTGTCTGACTGGAGGGTCAGGGTCAGTTTCCTGTGGATTAGAAGTCAGTTTCCTGTCTGACTGGAGGGTCAGGGTCAGTTTCCTGTGGATTAGGGGTCAGCTTCCTGTCTGACTGGAGGGTCAGGGTCAGTTTCCTGTGGATTAGGGGTCAGCTTCCTGTCTGACTGGAGGGTCAGGGTCAGTTTCCTGTGGATTAGGGGTCAGTTTCCTGTCTGACTGGAGGGTCAGGGTCAGTTTCCTGTGGATTAGGGGTCAGCTTCCTGTGGATTAGGGGTCAGTTTCCTGTGGATTAGGGGTCAGTTTCCTGTCTGTCTGGAGGGTCAGGGTCAGTTTCCTGTGGATTAGGGGTCAGTTTCCTGTGGATTAGGGGTCAGCTTCCTGTCTGTCTGGAGGGTCAGGGTCAGTTTCCTGTGGATTAGGGGTCAGTTTCCTGTCTGTCTGGAGGGTCAGGGTCAGTTTCCTGTTGATTAGGGGTCAGCTTCGTGTCTGTCTGGAGGGTCAAGGTCAGTTTCATGTGGATTAGGGGTCAGCTTCCTGTTGATTAGGGGTCAGCTTCCTGTCTGTCTGGAGGGTCAGGGTCAGTTTCCTGTGGATTAGGGGTCAGTTTCCTGTCTGACTGGAGGGTCAGGGTCAGTTTCCTGTGGATTAGGGGTCAGTTTCCTGTCTGTCTGGAGGGTCAGGGTCAGTTTCATGTGGATTAGGGGTCAGTTTCCTGTCTGTCTGGAGGGTCAGGGTCAGTTTCCTGTGGATTAGGGGTCAGCTTCCTGTCTGTCTGGAGGGTCAGGGTCAGTTTCATGTGGATTAGGGGTCAGTTTCCTGTGGATTAGGGGTCAGCTTCCTGTCTGTCTGGAGGGTCAGGGTCAGTTTCCTGTTGATTAGGGGTCAGCTTCCTGTTGATTAGGGGTCAGCTTCCTGTCTGTCTGGAGGGTCAGGGTCAGTTTTCCTGTGATTAGGGGTCAGCTTCGTGTCTGTCTGGAGGGTCAAGGTCAGTTTCATGTGGATTAGGGGTCAGCTTCCTGTTGATTAGGGGTCAGCTTCCTGTCTGTCTGGAGGGTCAGGGTCAGTTTCCTGTGGATTAGGGGTCAGTTTCCTGTCTGACTGGAGGGTCAGGGTCAGTTTCCTGTGGATTAGGGGTCAGTTTCCTGTCTGTCTGGAGGGTCAGGGTCAGTTTCATGTGGATTAGGGGTCAGTTTCTGTCTGTCTGGAGGGTCAGGGTCAGTTTCCTGTGGATTAGGGGTCAGCTTCCTGTCTGTTCTGGAGGGTCAGGGTTAGTTTCCTGTGGATTAGGGTCAGTTTCCTGTCTGTCTGGAGGGTCAGGGTCAGTTTCATGTGGATTTAGGGGTCAGTTTCCTGTGGATTAGGGGTCAGCTTCCCTGTCTGTCTGGAGGGTCAGGGTCAGTTTCCTGTGGATTAGGGGTCAGTTTCCTGTTGATTAGGGTCAGTTTCCTGTTGTCTAGGGGTTTCCTGTCTGTCTGGAGGGTCAGGGTCAGTTTCCTGTGGATTAGGGGTCAGCTTCCTGTCTGTCTGGAGGGTCAGGGTCAGTTTCCTGTGGATTAGGGGTCAGCTTCCTGTTGATTAGGGGTCAGCTTCCTGTCTGTCTGGAGGGTCAGGGTCAGTTTCATGTGGATTAGGGGTCAGTTTCCTGTTGATTAGGGGTCAGCTTCCTGTCTGTCTGGAGCAGGGGTGGCCAACCCGCGGCTCTCGAGCCGCATGCGGCTCTTTGCCTAGTTTCATGCGGCTCTTCAGTTCATATCGAATTTTATATGTGTGAGTTTGGGGGAGAGACACTGACTCCTGACTAGTGTTGCATGGTTGTGTACCGATACTTGAAAGGTATACCGCGATTACCCTGCCGTTTAAAAACGTTACGATTCCTCCGTTTCATTAGTATCGGTACTTTAAGAATGACGGGGAAAAGTACTCCGGTGAGAAAGCGCCGTTTTTAATAAGAGCCGTGTGTGTTCAGCGCTCTGCTTCCACTCCCTGCACTGCAGCCGTTGCCTGCAGCCCCTCCCTTCTCAAGCACGCTCGAAGTCCCTCCCCTCTCAAGCACGCTCTAAGTCCCTCCCCTCTCAAGCACGCTCTAAGTCCCTCCCCTCTCTCGTGCACGCGCTAGCTGCCAGAGCATGTGAGAAAACCAGAAGCATGGCTGCAAGTGGGAGTGCAGCTGCCGCTGCGCCTCGGCTTGTTGAGAAAAAAGACGCCAGAAGCGATGTATTTTAGCTATATCTCTGACAGTGAGGGCAAGCCTACGGACACCATGAGGCCTGTCTGTGAGAAATGTATTAATTTTATTTAATACGAATTCTTGTCATTTATTTTATTTATTGTTCTCATTGTTTAAAAGTTTGTGTTATGGTTCTGGTTCTGGTGTGAAATAAAGCACAATAATTACATTTAAGACTGTTTCCCTTTTTTTAAGAAAAAGAATCGGAATCGCAATTCTTGACTTGGTATCGAAACCAAAATGTTGGTATCGTGACAACACTGACAGTTAAACCTGATATTTAGTAGGTCTGTTAAGTATTGAATACTGATCATTCTGACGTAATTTGGCCGGTCAAAGTTGTTCGGGCTCGGATAAAATAGCTCCGTTACTTTGGTCCCGTGTTACTTTCGTCCCGGCTCTCCCTACGTGTGTATGTGTGGTGTCAGGTGTCAGTATGAGAGGATGACAGCGCGTCTAATTTTGATGTGGCCCAAGAGCCAATCACAATAATACCTGTGATGCTGTGAACCAATCACCTTTGAGGGGGGGAAAACCTATCGTTGATTAAACACTATCCAGTGTTTCCCCTACCATTGTCTTGGAGGGGCGCTGCACCCCGCCAACGGAGCCCCGCGCCCCCCCCTGGAATTCAAGGAGTTATATATATAATAAATAAAAAAATCTATATATACATAGCACCAAATTGCAAATAATCTATAACTACTGTCACTTTTCACATTGAACATGTGCTCTTTTATTAAATAAACTAAACGCTTTCATCTTAAGTTGTGAGTTTAGTGTTTTTGACCCTAAGAAACACTGATGCATTAATCAATAACAATAATCCACAGCTCCTCTCTCTGCTCCAGAGGATTTAAAAAAAAAATATCCCAATGCCACAAAAATGCATCAGTGACGTGGTTGAAATCTTGTCTCCAGAAAACAAAAAACGGAAACAAGCGGTATCAGTGACTGTGTGTTTGATGTGGCTCTTTGCAATAACATAGAAAAAATGTGGCTCTTAACCTCTGACTGGTTGGCCACCCCTGGTCTGGAGGGTCAAGGTCAGTTTCATGTGGATTAGGGGTCAGCTTCCTGTTGATTAGGGGTCAGTTTCCTGTCTGTCTGGAGGGTCAGGGTCAGTTTCCTGTCTATCTGGAGGGTCAGGGTCAGTTTCCTGTGGATTAGGGGTCAGTTTCCTGTGGATTAGGGGTCAGTTTCCTGTCTGTCTGGAGGGTCAGGGTCAGTTTCCTTGGATTAGGGGTCAGTTTCCTGTCTGTCTGGAGGGTCAGGGTCAGTTTCCTTGGATTAGGGGTCAGTTTCCTGTGGATTAGGGGTCAGTTTCCTGTGGATTAGGGGTCAGTTTCCTGTCTGTCTGGTGGGTCAGGGTTAGTTTCCTGTGGATTAGGGTCAGTTTCCTGTCTGTCTGGAGGGTCAGGGTCAGTTTCCTTGAATTAGGGGTCAGTTTCCTGTCTGTCTGGACGGTCAGGGTCAGTTTCCTGTCTGTCTGGACGGTCAGGGTCAGTTTCCTGTGGATTAGGGGTCAGTTTCCTGTCTGTCTGGAGGTTCAGGGTCAGTTTCCTTGGATTAGGGGTCAGTTTCCTGTCTGTCTGGTGGGTCAGGGTCAGTTTCCTGTGGATTAGGGGTCAGTTTCCTGTCTGTCTGGAGGGTCAGGGTCAGTTTCCTTGGATTAGGGGTCAGTTTCCTGTGGATTAGGGGTCAGTTTCCTGTGGATTAGGGGTCAGTTTCCTGTCTGTCTGGTGGGTCAGGGTCAGTTTCCTTGGATTAGGGGTCAGTTTCCTGTCTGTCTGGAGGGTCAATTTCCTTGGATTAGGGGTGAGTTTCCTGTCTGTCTGGAGGGTCAGGGTCAGTTTCCTGTGGATTAGGGGTCAGTTTCCTGTCTGTCTGGTGGGTCAGGGTCAGTTTCCTTGGATTAGGGGTCAGTTTCCTGTGGATTAGGGGTCAGTTTCCTGTGGATCAGGGGTCAGTTTCCTGTCTGTCTGGAGGGTCAGGGTCAGTTTCCTGTGGATTAGGGGTCAGTTTCCTGTCTGTCTGGAGGGTCAGGGTCAGTTTCCTGTGGATTAGGGGTCAGTTTCCTGTCTGTCTGGTGGGTCAGGGTCAGTTTCCTTGGATTAGGGGTCAGTTTCCTGTGGATTAGGGGTCAGTTTCCTGTGGATCAGGGGTCAGTTTCCTGTCTGTCTGGAGGGTCAGGGTCAGTTTCCTGTAGATCAGGGGTCAGTTTCCTGTGGATTAGGGGTCAGTTACCTGTCTGTCTGGAGGGTCAGGGTCAGTTTCCTGTGGATTAGGGGTCAGTTACCTGTCTGTCTGGAGGGTCAGGGTCAGTTTCCTGTGGATTAGGGGTCAGTTACCTGTCTGTCTGGTGGGTCAGTTTCCTGTGGATTAGGGGTCAGTTTCCTGTCTGTCTGGTGGATCAGTTTCCTGTCTGTCTGGAGGGTCAGGGTCAGTTTCCTGTGGATTAGGGGTCAGTTTCCTGTCTGTCTGGAGGGTCAGGGTCAGTTTCCTGTGGATTAGGGGTCAGTTTCCTGTCTGACTGGTGGGTCAGGGTCAGTTTCCTGTGGATTAGGGGTCAGTTTCCTGTCTGTCTGGAGGGTCAGGGTCAGTTTCCTGTGGATTAGGGGTCAGTTTCCTGTCTGTCTGGTGGGTCAGTTTCCTGTGGATTAGGGGTCAGTTTCCTGTCTGTCTGGTGGGTCAGTTTCCTGTTTCTTTGCAGGGTGTCAGGTACCTTGGTCCAGGCCTTCCCGTTGACCGCCTTCTTCTCGATGAAGTAGCTCTTCACCCTCTCTCCTCCGTCGCTCTCTGGAGCTTTCCAGGTGAATCTGCAGGTGCCTCGAGTCACGTCGCTCACCTTTAGGTCTCTGGGGGCCCCGGGCAGGTCTGCAGGGACACCAGGGTTTAATTATTACACACAACATCACAACCTCATCATCCTCAACACATCACCGTCAGGTTATAGAGATGCTGTCCGGGTGTTCACGTACCGAGCACGGTGACGCGCACTTTGAGCAGCTTGTGTCCGGCGGCGTTCTCTGCGTTGATGATGAAGCGCCCGCTGTGGTTCAGCTTGCTCTCCGGGATCAGGACCACCGAGCTGGTGTCTGTCATTTGGATCTGACAGGAAGCACAGGCACGTTATTCATTAATGTTAGAAACTCTCCCTGGTCCCCGGCTTAGCTTCAGCCTCAGGATCCATGTGTCTGTGATCTTCTCCAGAATGGAAGGAGTCATCACATACAGAGCATCAACTAGTTCCTGAACAGTGTCCTTCACATGCTGATATCCAAGAGAGGGAGTTACACAGTCACAAGATGGAGGAATAGAAAACAGTATTCAATGTTGACTTCAGATTAGCTCCACGTCAGAAATGAGCATGCTTGATGTCTCTCTCCATAGAGGCTGAATCATCATGTTAATCACATAGCTATCATCTGCCTCAAACAGTCCTGATGCTCTTCTAGGTAATCACACATCCTGTCATGTTCTCAGCTGCAGTTGGGATACCTTTGTTATCACGTTACGCTCAGGTTGGAAGAGGACGTTCAGTATTTTACCAACAATTAACATTCAAACAACATCTCAGTTCTGTTCTGTGTGTGCGCTCCTCACCTCGGAGTCGATGGGCAGCGTGTGCAGGTCGTTCTTCTTCTCGCTCTCCGCGGGGCCGTCGAAAGTCCAGGTGAGTTTGGGGGTGGGGCGTCCGCTGAAGGAGACGGGGATCTGCAGGGGGGTTCCCGCTCTGCAGGTCAGCAGCTCGTGAGCATTCACATTCAGAGTCATCGTCGGCTCGACTGCAGGGACAAACAACGCGGTTTAGACCTGATCATCTTATTCAATATATCAATACTTCTGAGTGAGAGCTGCTCCTGCTCAGCATGTAGAGTCGTATATTATTCATCTGTGAGGTATGCACCACAACATCAAGTCAGATTCCTCGTATGTGTGAACCTAGCGGCTCCAGACTTGAGTTCTGGCTCTGACCCGGCTATAGACTTGAGTTCTGACTCTGACCCGGCTATACACTTGAGTTCTGGTTCTGACCGGGCTATAGACCAGAGTTCTGGTTCTTACCCGGCTACAGACCAGAGTTCTGGTTCTGACCCGGCTATAGACCATAGTTCTGATCGGACCCAGTCCAGACTTACTCAGGATGTCCTGCACCAGCACGTCTCCTGTCTTGGCGGGATCAGAGTTGCCGGCGGCGTTGACGGCGTAGATCCTGAAGCGGCACTTCTTGCCCTCCTTCAGGTCGGGAACGGTGATCTCCGTCAGGGGGTGGAGCTTATCGGCGGGGTTGACCCTCCTCCAATCAGGAGAGCCCTCTTCGTGCACCTCGATGATGTAGCCCTTGATGGGGCTGCCTCCGTCTCTGTCGGGGGGGATCCAGCTCAGAGTCACGCTGCTCTTTGTCTTGTCTTTAACCTCGGGGGAGTCGGGGGGGCTGGGGGGGTCTGAGGAGGAAGCAGGGTTATCAATCAATCAATCAATCAATCAATCAATCAATGTTTATTTATACGAAACAATACGATACGATAATACTTTAATGGTCAGATCAAGTCTGACATTTGAATGGGAGAAACCCCCCAGTTATTGTTATAAACCTCGAGGAGGGTCCCTCTCCAGGACGGACTGCAATGGATGCCGTGTATGAATAGAGAAGATAATGCATTTACGGCGTAGGTAGACCAAATGCTTGGAAATGTGTCTATATGGTTGTTACATGCTCCCCTCCTATGAGATCAAGAGGCTGCTTCATGAGGGTTGAGGTACTTGAGGCCCTACCACCTGTCCTCTGGACCCTATCCCTTCAAACCTCCTTCAGACTATCGCTCCTGATATTCTACCGTTTCTCACCCATTTCATCAACACTTCTCTAACTTCTGGTCACTTTCCAAACAGTCTCAAGGAGGCAAGAGTAAACCCTCTCCTAAAGAAACCCACTCTCAACCCGTCTGATGTTATAAACTACAGGCCTGTCTCTCTCCTCCCGTTCCTGTCTAAATCACTTGAACGCGCTGTCTTTAAACAACTCTCCTGTTATCTCAATCAGAACAACCTTCTGGATCCGCACCAGTCTGGTTTCAAGGCAGGTCACTCCACAGAAACTGCTCTCATTGCTGTCACGGAGGAACTGCACACTGCCAAAACTGCATCCCTCTCCTCTGTCATCATCCTGTTGGACCTGTCTGCTGCATTCGACACGGTGAATCATCAGATCCTCCTTCGCACTCTCCAAAAACTTGGAGTTTCTGGCTCTGCACTTTCCCTCCTCACCTCATACCTGAAAGACCGTACCTACAGGGTGACTTGGAGAGGGTCTGAGTCCGACCCTTGTCAATTAACTACGGGGGTCCCTCAGGGCTCTGTTCTTGGTCCCCTCCTCTTCTCCTTGTACACAAACTCGCTCGGATCAGTCATTAGCCCGCATGGTTTTTCTTACCACTGCTACGCTGACGACACCCAATTAATTCTGTCCTTTCCCCGCTCAGAGACCCAGGTCGTCGCACGCATCTCTGCTTGTCTAGCTGACATCTCTCAGTGGATGTCTGCCCACCACCTCAAACTCAACCTTGACAAGACTGAGCTGCTCTTCCTCCCGGGAAAAGATTGTCCAACTCTTGACCTGACAATCAACATCGGCACCTCAGTTGTTTCCCCGACTCAGACTGCAAGGAATCTGGGTGTGACCCTAGATAACAACCTGTCCTTCACTGCAAACATCGCTGCTACAACCCGCTGCTGCAGATACACGCTTTACAACATCAGGAAGATACGTCCCCAGCTGACTCAGAAAGCGACTCAGGTTCTGGTCCAGGCTCTCGTCATCTCACGCCTAGACTACTGCAACTCCCTCCTGGCTGGTCTACCTGCATGTGCCATCCGACCTCTGCAGCTCATCCAGAATGCAGCGGCTCGTCTGGTTTTCAACCTTCCTAAATTCTCCCACACCACTCCGCTCCTCCGCTCCCTTCACTGGCTTCCGGTAACTGCTAGAATCCACTTCAAGACACTGGTACTTGCTTACCGTGCTGCGAATGGATCTGGCCCTTCCTACATCCAGGACATGGTTAAACCGTACACCCCAGCGCGTGCACTACGCTCTGCATCAGCCAAACGACTCGTTGCGCCCTCGCTGCGAGGGGGACCCAAGTTCCCATCGGCGAAAACACGTGGGTTTGCTATCCTGGCTCCAAGATGGTGGAATGAGCTCCCCATTGACATCAGGACGGCAGATAGCTTGCACATCTTCCGGCGCAAACTGAAAACTCATCTCTTTCGACTCCACTTCGAGCGTTAGAACGATTAACGAAGCACTTATATACTAATAAAGGACTGGCTTACCTAAAGCCAGTTGAGTAGCACTTGAAATGTTTGGCTCTATGAAACCTGATATACTTATATGATTCTGTTTTCTTCAAGGTTGTGTCTTCCTGGTCGAATGTACTTATTGTAAGTCGCTTTGGACAAAAGCGTCAGCTAAATGCAATGTAATGTAATGTACTCACTGCAGGGTTCCATGGCCAGCTTGCTCTCGGTGGGCTCGCAGTGGGGCCCGACCCCGGCAGCGTTGCAGGCTGCGATCCTGAACTGGTACACGGACCCCTCGATGAGCTTCAGCACGGTGTGCTGCAGGCCCTTCACCGAGGGCTTGGTGACCGGCGCCCTGTTGACGCGGCCCCAGTACACGGCCCCGCGCTCCCTCTTCTCCAGCCAGTAGCCCTGGATGCTGGAGCCCCCGTTGTCCAGGGGGGGCTCCCAGGTCACAGTCATGGTGGTGGCCGTGTTCCGCAGGATCTTGGGGTTGCGCGGGGGTCCGGGCAGGCCGAAGGGGTCCCTCAGCTCAACCTTCTCCGAGTCGCAGCCGTCGCTCACGCCGTACTTGTTCTCCGCTTTGAGGCGGAACTGGTACTGCCCGTTCACGTTCAGCTTGTGCACCTGGGGGGGAAACACAGTCACAGGTTATACATTTATTAAGATCTCCATAACTCCAAACATATATGAGCAGCCCATATAGGTCAGGCACAACAAATGGTGTCTGACCCCCCCCCACAAACTCCAGCCCTACCTTCTGGTAGAAGATTCAGGGTTCCCAAGAGCTGAACCGCTATTCCCTGCACTCATCCCTGCCTTTGTCCATTAAGCTTCTCGACACTCACATGTAATGTTATACACTTCTAAGTGTTGGCCATGAGGGTCGGTCAAACAGTCCTGACGCTCTTCTAGGTAACCATACATGCTGTCATGAACTCAGCTGCAGTGGGGATACCTTTGTTAGCATGTTGCTCTCATGTTGGAAGAGGACACTCAGGATTTTGCCAACAATTAACATTCAAACAACATGTCAGTTCTGTTCTGTGTGCAGCTTGCACTCGGTGGGCGCGCAGTGGGCCCGACCCCGGCAGCGTTGAAGGCTGCGATCCTGAACTGGTACTCGTCAGGGCTACTGTCAGTATGGGCGTCTATGTTTGTGTAAACGGTGCATGAGTGAGGATATGTGCATGTATTTTAATGTTATTATCTTTGTATATGTGCATGTATGCGAAGTGCAGGACGGATTCCAGAACAAATGTCCTTACCGGGACAATAAAGTATATCGTATAACCACAGCCTTCAGTGTGAAATATTCCACATCCTGGATACAGGAAGGAACCCTGAGGGACCAGTCTACCTGCTCCATGGAGTTTCCAGCACTACGGTTTACTTCCATATATACTGTATATACTTGACATATATCTGTACTATGTGTATTCTTGTATTATATATGGTTCTTCTTCCCTGCTGGTTAGATGCTCACTGCATTACGTTGTGTTAAATCTAACCTGTATTTCATATATCTCATGAGTGTTTAACCCTCTCGTGAACTCTCACCCCGTATCTGCGGTCGATCAGGTGCACGGTGACCAGCTCGAAGTCGGACTTCTTCTTGCTGGCGTCTCTTCTCTCCAGGATGTAGTTGGTGATCTCGCTGCCTCCGTTATCCTCGGGCGCGTCCCAGGTCAGGTAGCAGGACTCCGCCTTGATGTCCGACACCACGATGTTCCTGGGAGGAAGAGGCCGGTCTGAGGGCGCAGAGACACGTTTAATAAAACACCAGGACGGAAAGGAGGGAAGAGGTTTGAGGAGGTCTGGTTCCTCACCCAATATATCCACCCGCACGGTGTGCTCCGCGCTGCCCCAGCAGTTCTCCGCCTGCAGTTTGTAGCTGCCCGTGTCCTGCCTGATGGTTCCTGGGAGGGAGATCTTCGTCCGGAGGGTGGTCCGGGTCACCTGGAGACCAGAGAACATGGGGTGAGTTATCTTTTATTTGTCATTCATTTTTGTATTTAATTGTATTTATGTATGTATTTATTTTCCATATTCATTGTTAAATGTATTTATTTATATATTAATAAAAATAGCACTACTTCTATTCCATTTGATTGTATTTACTTGCACTATTGTATCAGTGTTATTGTGTTGCTCTGTTGGAGGCGCCTGTGACCTCAGATCGTCATTGACAGAACTACACTGTAGGCACACCTTGAATCCTGAATTAGATAAACAATTAGCAAAATGCAGCCAGAGATCAGGTCTCGTACCTCCTCGGTCTCCAGGCTCAGCTTGTCCTCCAGCGGCAGCAGCTCCTCTCCGTCTTTGGTCCAGCGCAGTGTGGGCAGGGGCAGCCCCCGCACCTCCGCCGGCACATCGATGGAAGAGCCCTTCTTCACGCTGATGCAGTTATTCTTGAAGAACTTCAGGATGGTGATCGCCGGAGCAACTGAACACACAGAGAGAAACTGTCAAACGCCTGCTCTCACTGAAACAGGTCCTCTGAGGAGAGCTGCACCTGATGACTGACTCATGATTATTATTCATGCGTAATAACACTGACGTTTTAACGCTCCGTAGGTCAGAATATCAGAATCAGTCTTCGGTTACTGATCGTGTTTTCTTAACAGACACTTTAAATAAAACCTCCTCATAGAACTTTCTTGAATGTTGAAGCTGCACAATATTTGTATACATCCTATCTTTATATTAAGTTAAATATATTATAATAACATTGATTATAAAAATGGTGCTCGTCATTTTGTCCAAAATCCTGGTGCTGTCATTCAGTACAAATATTCCTAATAACTATAAATAATAAAAGTTGTGTTTACTCTCATTGTCCGGGATGTTTTTCTGTGATTCGGTACTAATATTACTAATATTACTAATATTTATAAATAATATTCCTAATAATTATAATAAAAGGTGTGTTTACTCTCGTCGTCCTGGATCCGGACACTGATTGGCTTGCAGTTGTCTCCGTCTCCCACCTCGGTGACGGCATGGACCCTGAACTCGTACTCCATGTTCTCCGAGAGGTTCTCCAGCGTGCCGCAGCACTCGGGGAACATCTTCCTGCTGGCCGGCTCGAACTCTGAGGCGTCGGAGCGCATCTTCTCCAGAACGTAGCCCAGAATGGGGCTGCCTCCGTCAGAGCGGGGCACCTCCCAGGCCAGAGAGATAAAGCTCTTCCCACGGTCCGTGTAGTGGAGCTTTTCCGGGGCCGTGGGCAAGCCTAATGATACACATCATCACACCATTAGCATCACAACAACAACAACAACATTTAATAATCTCTTATCATAGTGCAGCTGCTCCGGGCCGAGGCCCCCGCAGCATATTATCATCATATCAAAATCATTGCTGTACATTATGTTAGCAGTGGGCGTCTAACTTAAGGCTAGTTAGCATGTTAGCAGTGGACGTCTAATTTAAGGCTAGTTAGCATGTTAGCAGTGGGCGTCTAACTTAAGGCTAGTTAGCATGTTAGCAGTGGACGTCTAATTTAAGGCTAGTTAGCATGTTAGCAGTGGACGTCTAACTTAAGGCTAGTTAGCATGTCAGCAGTGGGCGTCTAACTTAAGGCTATTTAGCATGTTAGCAGTGGACGTCTAACTTAAGGCTAGTTAGCATGTTAGCAGTGGGCGTCTAACTTAAGGCTAGTTAGCATGTTAGCAGTGGGCGTCTAACTTAAGGCTAGTTAGCATGTTAGCAGTGGACGTCTAACTTAAGGCTAGTTAGCATGTTAGCAGTGGGCGTCTAACTTAAGGCTAGTTAGCATGTTAGCAGTGGACGTCTAACTTAAGGCTAGTTAGCATGTTAGCAGTGGGCGTCTAACTTAAGGCTAGTTAGCATGTTAGCAGTGGGCGTCTAACTTAAGGCTAGTTAGCATGTTAGCAGTGGACGTCTAACTTAAGGCTAGATAGCATGTTAGCAGTGGACGTCTAACTTAAGGCTAGTTAGCATGTTATCAGTGGACGTCTAACTTAAGGCTAGTTAGCATGTTAGCAGTGGGCGTCTAACTTAAGGCAAGTTAGCATATTAGCAGTGGACGTCTAACTTAAGGCTATTTAGCATGTTAGCAGTGGGCGTCTAACTTAAGGCTAGTTAGCATGTTAGCAGTGGGCGTCTAACTTAAGGCTATTTAGCATGTTAGCAGTGGGCATCTAACTTAAGGCTATTTAGCATGTTAGCAGTGGGCATCTAACTTAAGGCTATTTAGCATGTTAGCAGTGGGCGTCTAACTTAAGGCTATTTAGCATGTTAGCAGTGGGCGTCTAACTTAAGGCTATTTAGCATGTTAGCAGTGGGCGTCTAACTTAAGGCTATTTAGCATGTTAGCAGTGGGCGTCTAACTTAAGGCTATTTAGCATGTTAGCAGTGGGCGTCTAATTTAAAGGTAGGGTAGGTAAGAATGGAGAAACCAGCTCGAGTGCGCAGAATTTGAATTTGGTGATTAATGCATCAGTGTTTCTTAGGGTCAAAAACACTAAACTCACAACTTAAAATGAAAGCGTTTTGTTTATTTAATAAAAGAGCACATGTTCAATGTGAAAAGTGACAGTAGATATAGATTAGTTGCAAAATTATAATTTCTTCTTTTTTTAAACATCTAGAATTTCAGGAGGGGCACGGGGCTCCGTTGGCGGGGCGCAGCATTGGGGAAACACTGTATATATATATGTTTACATACAAACTAGTAGTATATTAATACGATACGATACGATATTACTTTATTGTCAGATCAAGTCTGAAATTTGACTTGCGTCACAGCAGCTCCATGTCCAACATCAACAGACAAATATGCATACACAAATACATGAAACACAAACATTTAACATAACAGCACAATCAGTGAGAGAAAAACATGCTCAAAGAGCCTTCAGCGTGCATTTGGTCTGGGATTTAGGTCTGTATTTACTGTGAGGACTGACTGATGCACAAAGGAGTGCTTCAGTCTGACTTTATTGAATCGTGGGACCCTGTATCTCCGATTAGATGGTAGCAGTTCATATTCACTGTTCAGAACATGGTTTGGGTCGGAGATGATGTTGTTGGACAGCCTCACTAGGTTGTTATGATAGGCTGAGTCATAGAGTCTCTGACAGGGTTGACCAACAATCTTAAGTAGATGGATGTAGATTAAATTGTCTACTGTAAATACATTGCTTTAGTTTATTTGTCTAATATGGTCTACAGCCAGGATGGGTCCCAGGTCTGATTTAACTCTAAAGTTTAGGCGTTACCTTTGGGGTCTGCAGCCAGGATGGGTCCCAGGTCTGATTTAACTCTAAAGTTTAGGCGTTACCTTTGGGGTCTGCAGCCAGGATGGGTCCCCAGGTCTGATTTAACTCTAAAGTTTAGGCGTTACCTTTGGAGTCTGCAGCCAGGATGGGTCCCAGGTCTGATTTAACTCTAAAGTTTAGGCGTTACCTTTGGGGTCTGCAGCCAGGATGGGTCCCAGGTCTGATTTAACTCTAAAGTTTAGGCGTTACCTTTGGGGTCTGCAGCCAGGATGGGTCCCAGGTCTGATTTAACTCTAAAGTTTAGGCGTTACCTTTGGGGTCTGCAGCCAGGATGGGTCCCAGGTCTGATTTAACTCTAAAGTTTAGGCGTTACCTTTGGGGTCTGCAGCCAGGATGGGTCCCAGGTCTGATTTAACTCTAAAGTTTAGGCGTTACCTTTGGGGTCTGCAGCCAGGATGGGTCCCAGGTCTGATTTAACTCTAAAGTTTAGGCGTTACCTTTGGGGTCTGCAGCCAGGATGGGTCCCAGGTCTGATTTAACTCTAAAGTTTAGGCGTTACCTTTGGGGTCTGCAGCCAGGATGGGCCCCAGGTCTGATTTAACTCTAAAGTTTAGGTGTTACCTTTGGGGTCTGCAGCCAGGATGGGTCCCAGGTCTGATTTAACTGTAAAGTTTAGGCGTTACCTTTGGGGTCTGCAGCCAGGATGGGTCCCAGGTCTGATTTAACTCTAAAGTTTAGGCGTTACCTTTGGGGTCTGCAGCCAGGATGGGTCCCAGGTCTGATTTAACTCTAAAGTTTAGGCGTTACCTTTGGGGTCTGCAGCCAGGATGGGCCCCAGGTCTGATTTAACTCTAAAGTTTAGGCGTTACCTTTGGGGTCTGCAGCCAGGATGGGCCCCAGGTCTGATTTAACTCTAAAGTTTAGGTGTTACCTTTGGGGTCTGCAGCCAGGATGGGCCCCAGGTCTGATTTAACTCTAAAGTTTAGGCGTTACCTTTGGGGTCTGCAGCCAGGATGGGCCCCAGGTCTGATTTAACTCTGAAGTTTAGGCGTTACCTTTGGGGTCTGCAGCCAGGATGGGCCCCAGGTCTGATTTAACTCTAAAGTTTAGGCGTTACCTTTGGGGTCTGCAGCCAGGATGGGCCCCAGGTCTGATTTAACTCTAAAGTTTAGGCGTTACCTTTGGGGTCTGCAGCCAGGATGGGCCCAGGTCTGATTTAACTCTAAAGTTTAGGCGTTACCTTTGGGGTCTGCAGCCAGGATGGGCCCCAGGTCTGATTTAACTCTAAAGTTTAGGCGTTACCTTTGGGGTCTGCAGCCAGGATGGGCCCCAGGTCTGATTTAACTCTAAAGTTTAGGCGTTACCTTTGGGGTCTGCAGCCAGGATGGGTCCCAGGTCTGATTTAACTCTAAAGTTTAGGCGTTACCTTTGGGGTCTGCAGCCAGGATGGGCCCCAGGTCTGATTTAACTCTAAAGTTTAGGCGTTACCTTTGGGGTCTGCAGCCAGGATGGGTCCCAGGTCTGATTTAACTCTAAAGTTTAGGCGTTACCTTTGGGGTCTGCAGCCAGGATGGGCCCCAGGTCTGATTTAACTCTAAAGTTTAGGCGTTACCTTTGGGGTCTGCAGCCAGGATGGGCCCCAGGTCTGATTTAACTCTAAAGTTTAGGCGTTACCTTTGGGGTCTGCAGCCAGGATGGGCCCCAGGTCTGATTTAACTCTGAAGTTTAGGCGTTACCTTTGGGGTCTGCAGCCAGGATGGGTCCCAGGTCTGATTCAACTCTAAAGTTTAGGCGTTACCTTTGAGGTCTGCAGCCAGGATGGGTCCCAGGTCTGATTTAACTCTAAAGTTTAGGCGTTACCTTTGGGGTCTGCAGCCAGGATGGGCCCCAGGTCTGATTTAACTCTAAAGTTTAGGCGTTACCTTTGGGGTCTGCAGCCAGGATGGGCCCCAGGTCTGATTTAACTCTAAGTTTAGGCGTTACCTTTGGGGTCTGCAGCCAGGATGGGTCCCAGGTCTGATTTAACTCTAAAGTTTAGGCGTTACCTTTGGGGTCTGCAGCCAGGATGGGCCCCAGGTCTGATTTAACTCTAAAGTTTAGGCGTTACCTTTGGGGTCTGCAGCCAGGATGGGTCCCAGGTCTGATTTAACTCTAAAGTTTAGGCGTTACCTTTGGGGTCTGCAGCCAGGATGGGTCCCAGGTCTGATTTAACTCTAAAGTTTAGGCGTTACCTTTGGGGTCTGCAGCCAGGATGGGCCCCAGGTCTGATTTAACTCTAAAGTTTAGGCGTTACCTTTGGGGTCTGCAGCCAGGATGGGCCCCAGGTCTGATTTAACTCTAAGTTTAGGCGTTACCTTTGGGGTCTGCAGCCAGGATGGGTCCCAGGTCTGATTTAACTCTAAAGTTTAGGCGTTACCTTTGGGGTCTGCAGCCAGGATGGGCCCCAGGTCTGATTTAACTCTAAAGTTTAGGCGTTACCTTTGGGGTCTGCAGCCAGGATGGGTCCCAGGTCTGATTTAACTCTAAAGTGTAGGCGTTACCTTTGGGGTCTGCAGCCAGGATGGGCCCCAGGTCTGATTTAACTCTAAAGTTTAGGCGTTACCTTTGGGGTCTGCAGCCAGGATGGGCCCCAGGTCTGATTTAACTCTAAAGTTTAGGCGTTACCTTTGGGGTCTGCAGCCAGGATGGGTCCCAGGTCTGATTTAACTCTAAAGTTTAGGCGTTACCTTTGGGGTCTGCAGCCAGGATGAGTCCCAGGTCTGATTTAACTCTAAAGTTTAGGCGTTACCTTTGGGGTCTGCAGCCAGGATGGGCCCCAGGTCTGATTTAACTCTAAAGTTTAGGCGTTACCTTTGGGGTCTGCAGCCAGGATGGGCCCCAGGTCTGATTTAACTCTAAAGTTTAGGCGTTACCTTTGGGGTCTGCAGCCAGGATGGGTCCCAGGTCTGATTTAACTCTAAAGTTTAGGCGTTACCTTTGGGGTCTGCAGCCAGGATGGGTCCCAGGTCTGATTTAACTCTAAAGTTTAGGCGTTACCTTTGGGGTCTGCAGCCAGGATGGGCCCCAGGTCTGATTTAACTCTAAAGTTTAGGCGTTACCTTTGGGGTCTGCAGCCAGGATGAGTCCCAGGTCTGATTTAACTCTAAAGTTTAGGCGTTACCTTTGGGGTCTGCAGCCAGGATGGGCCCCAGGTCTGATTTAACTCTAAAGTTTAGGCGTTACCTTTGGGGTCTGCAGCCAGGATGGGCCCCAGGTCTGATTTAACTCTAAAGTTTAGGCGTTACCTTTGGGGTCTGCAGCCAGGATGGGCCCCAGGTCTGATTTAACTCTAAAGTTTAGGCGTTACCTTTGGGGTCTGCAGCCAGGATGGGCCCCAGGTCTGATTTAACTCTAAAGTTTAGGCGTTACCTTTGGAGTCTGCAGCCAGGATGGGCCCCAGGTCTGATTTAACTCTAAAGTTTAGGCGTTACCTTTGGGGTCTGCAGCCAGGATGGGCCCCAGGTCTGATTTAACTCTAAAGTTTAGGCGTTACCTTTGGGGTCTGCAGCCAGGATGAGTCCCAGGTCTGATTTAACTCTAAAGTTTAGGCGTTACCTTTGGGGTCTGCAGCCAGGATGGGCCCCAGGTCTGATTTAACTCTAAAGTTTAGGCGTTACCTTTGGGGTCTGCAGCCAGGATGGGCCCCAGGTCTGATTTAACTCTAAAGTTTAGGCGTTACCTTTGGGGTCTGCAGCCAGGATGGGCCCCAGGTCTGATTTAACTCTAAAGTTTAGGCGTTACCTTTGGGGTCTGCAGCCAGGATGGGCCCCAGGTCTGATTTAACTCTAAAGTTTAGGCGTTACCTTTGGGGTCTGCAGCCAGGATTGGTCCCAGGTCTGATTTAACTCTAAAGTTTAGGCGTTACCTTTGGGGTCTGCAGCCAGGATGGGCCCCAGGTCTGATTTAACTCTAAAGTTTAGGCGTTACCTTTGGGGTCTGCAGCCAGGATGGGCCCCAGGTCTGATTTAACTCTAAAGTTTAGGCGTTACCTTTGGGGTCTGCAGCCAGGATGGGCCCCAGGTCTGATTTAACTCTAAAGTTTAGGCGTTACCTTTGGGGTCTGCAGCCAGGATGGGCCCCAGGTCTGATTTAACTCTAAAGTTTAGGCGTTACCTTTGGGGTCTGCAGCCAGGATGGGCCCCAGGTCTGATTTAACTCTAAAGTTTAGGCGTTACCTTTGGGGTCTGCAGCCAGGATGGGCCCCCAGGTCTGATTTAACTCTAAAGTTTAGGCGTTACCTTTGGGGTCTGCAGCCAGGATGGGTCCCAGGTCTGATTTAACTCTAAAGTTTAGGCGTTACCTTTGGGGTCTGCAGCCAGGATGGGCCCCAGGTCTGATTTAACTCTAAAGTTTAGGCGTTACCTTTGGGGTCTGCAGCCAGGATGGGTCCCAGGTCTGATTTAACTCTAAAGTTTAGGCGTTACCTTTGGGGTCTGCAGCCAGGATGAGTCCCAGGTCTGATTTAACTCTAAAGTTTAGGCGTTACCTTTGGGGTCTGCAGCCAGGATGGGCCCCAGGTCTGATTTAACTCTAAAGTTTAGGCGTTACCTTTGGGGTCTACAGCGAGGATGGGCCCCAGGTCAGCGGGGGTGCCGTCTCCGAACTTGTTCCTGGCGATGACCCTGAAGTCGTACTCCTCGCCAGCCAGCAGGCCCGTGATGTCACACTTGCAGGAGGCTGTCTCCATCGGCTGGCGGAACAGCTTCATCTTGGCGTCCTTCCTCAGAACCTCGTATCCGAGCACGTCGCTGCCGCCGTTATCCAGCGGGTCGCTCCAGGTCAGAGTGATGTTCTTCTTCGTGACCTGGACTGTCTTCAGGTCCACCACGGGGCCCGGGACGTCTGCAGGGACACGAGAGATATAATATATACATTTACCACGCCACACTCACAAAGACACTCAAAGCCAGCACCAGACACCAGACGCTGCTTTGGAGAGTCTAGCTCTAATGCTGCTTTAGAGAGTCTGGCTCTAATGCTGCTTTAGAGAGTCTGGCTCTGATGCTGCTTTAGAGAGTCTAGCTCTAATGCTGCTTTAGAGAGTCTGGCTCTAATGCTGCTTTAGAGAGTCTGGCTCTAATGCTGCTTTAGAGAGTCTGGCTCTAATGCTGCTTTAGAGAGTCTGGCTCTAATGCTGCTTTGGAGAGTCTAGCTCTAATGCTGCTTTAGAGAGTCTGGCTCTAATGCTGCTTTGGAGAGTCTGGCTCTGATGCTGCTTTAGAGAGTCTGGCTCTAATGCTGCTTTGGAGAGTCTGGCTCTAATGCTGCTTTAGAGAGTCTGGCTCTAATGCTGCTTTGGAGAGTCTGGCTCTAATGCTGCTTTAGAGAGTCTGGCTCTAATGCTGCTTTAGAGAGTCTGGCTCTAATGCTGCTTTGGAGAGTCTGGCTCTAATGCTGCTTTAGAGAGTCTGGCTCTAATGCTGCTTTAGAGAGTCTGGCTCTAATGCTGCTTTAGAGAGTCTGGCTCTAATGCTGCTTTAGAGAGTCTGGCTCTAATGCTGCTTTAGAGAGTCTGGCTCTAATGCTTCTTTAGAGAGTCTGGCTCTAATGCTGCTTTAGAGAGTCTGGCTCTAATGCTGCTTTAGAGAGTCTGGCTCTAATGCTGCTTTAGAGAGTCTGGCTCTAATGCTGCTTTGGAGAGTCTGGCTCTAATGCTGCTTTGGAGAGTCTGGCTCTAATGCTGCTTTAGAGAGTCTAGCTCTAATGCTGCTTTGGAGAGTCTGGCTCTAATGCTGCTTTGGAGAGTCTGGCTCTAATGCTGCTTTAGAGAGTCTGGCTCTAATGCTGCTTAGAGAGTCTGGCTCTAATGCTGCTTTAGAGAGTCTGGCTCTAATGCTGCTTTAGAGAGTCTAGCTCTAATGCTGCTTTAGAGAGTCTGGCTCTAATGCTGCTTTAGAGAGTCTAGCTCTAATGCTGCTTTAGAGAGTCTGGCTCTAATGCTGCTTTAGAGAGTCTGGCTCTAATGCTGCTTTAGAGAGTCTGGCTCTGATGCTGCTTTGGAGAGTCTAGCTCTAATGCTGCTTTAGAGAGTCTAGCTCTGATGCTGCTTTAGAGAGTCTGGCTCTAATGCTGCTTTAGAGAGTCTGGCTCTAATGCTGCTTTAGAGAGTCTAGCTCTAATGCTGCTTTAGAGAGTCTGGCTCTGATGCTGCTTTGGAGAGTCTAGCTCTAATGCTGCTTTAGAGAGTCTAGCTCTGATGCTGCTTTAGAGAGTCTGGCTCTAATGCTGCTTTAGAGAGTCTGGCTCTAATGCTGCTTTAGAGAGTCTGGCTCTAATGCTGCTTTAGAGAGTCTAGCTCTAATGCTGCTTTAGAGAGTCTGGCTCTAATGCTGCTTTAGAGAGTCTGGCTCTAATGCTGCTTTAGAGAGTCTGGCTCTAATGCTGCTTTAGAGAGTCTAGCTCTAATGCTGCTTTAGAGAGTCTGGCTCTAATGCTGCTTTAGAGAGTCTGGCTCTAATGCTGCTTTAGAGAGTCTAGCTCTGATGCTGCTTTAGAGAGTCTGGCTCTAATGCTGCTTTAGAGAGTCTAGCTCTGATGCTGCTTTAGAGAGTCTGGCTCTAATGCTGCTTTAGAGAGTCTAGCTCTGATGCTGCTTTAGAGAGTCTGGCTCTAATGCTGCTTTAGAGAGTCTGGCTCTAATGCTGCTTTAGAGAGTCTGGCTCTAATGCTGCTTTAGAGAGTCTAGCTCTAATGCTGCTTTAGAGAGTCTGGCTCTAATGCTGCTTTGGAGAGTCTAGCTCTAATGCTGCTTTAGAGAGTCTAGCTCTGATGCTGCTTTAGAGAGTCTGGCTCTAATGCTGCTTTAGAGAGTCTGGCTCTAATGCTGCTTTAGAGAGTCTGGCTCTAATGCTGCTTTAGAGAGTCTGGCTCTAATGCTGCTTTAGAGAGTCTGGCTCTGATGCTGCTTTAGAGAGTCTGGCTCTAATGCTGCTTTAGAGAGTCTAGCTCTAATGCTGCTTTAGAGAGTCTGGCTCTAATGCTGCTTTAGAGAGTCTGGCTCTAATGCTGCTTTAGAGAGTCTGGCTCTAATGCTGCTTTAGAGAGTCTGGCTCTAATGCTGCTTTAGAGAGTCTAGCTCTAATGCTGCTTTAGAGAGTCTGGCTCTAACGCTGCTTTAGAGAGTCTGGCTCTAATGCTGCTTTAGAGAGTCTGGCTCTAATGCTGCTTTAGAGAGTCTGGCTCTAATGCTGCTTTAGAGAGTCTGGCTCTAATGCTGCTTTAGAGAGTCTAGCTCTAATGCTGCTTTAGAGAGTCTGGCTCTGATGCTGCTTTAGAGAGTCTGGCTCTAATGCTGCTTTAGAGAGTCTGGCTCTAATGCTGCTTTAGAGAGTCTGGCTCTGATGCTGCTTTAGAGAGTCTGGCTCTGATGCTGCTTTAGAGAGTCTAGCTCTAATGCTGCTTTAGAGAGTCTGGCTCTAATGCTGCTTTGGAGAGTCTGGCTCTAATGCTGCTTTAGAGAGTCTGGCTCTAATGCTGCTTTAGAGAGTCTGGCTCTAACGCTGCTTTAGAGAGTCTGGCTCTAATGCTGCTTTAGAGAGTCTGGCTCTAATGCTGCTTTGGAGAGTCTGGCTCTAATGCTGCTTTAGAGAGTCTGGCTCTAATGCTGCTTTAGAGAGTCTGGCTCTAATGCTGCTTTAGAGAGTCTAGCTCTAATGCTGCTTTAGAGAGTCTGGCTCTAATGCTGCTTTAGAGAGTCTAGCTCTAATGCTGCTTTAGAGAGTCTAGCTCTAATGCTGCTTTGGAGAGTCTGGCTCTAATGCTGCTTTAGAGAGTCTGGCTCTAATGCTGCTTTAGAGAGTCTGGCTCTAATGCTGCTTTAGAGAGTCTGGCTCTAATGCTGCTTTAGAGAGTCTGGCTCTAATGCTGCTTTGGAGAGTCTGGCTCTAATGCTGCTTTGGAGAGTCTGGCTCTAATGCTGCTTTAGAGAGTCTGGCTCTAATGCTGCTTTAGAGAGTCTAGCTCTAATGCTGCTTTAGAGAGTCTGGCTCTAATGCTGCTTTAGAGAGTCTGGCTCTAATGCTGCTTTGGAGAGTCTAGCTCTAATGCTGCTTTAGAGAGTCTGGCTCTAATGCTGCTTTAGAGAGTCTGGCTCTAATGCTGCTTTAGAGAGTCTAGCTCTAATGCTGCTTTAGAGAGTCTGGCTCTAATGCTGCTTTAGAGAGTCTGGCTCTAATGCTGCTTTGGAGAGTCTGGCTCTAATGCTGCTTTAGAGAGTCTAGCTCTAATGCTGCTTAGAGAGTCTGGCTCTAATGCTGCTTTAGAGAGTCTAGCTCTAATGCTGCTTTAGAGAGTCTGGCTCTAATGCTGCTTTAGAGAGTCTGGCTCTAATGCTGCTTTAGAGAGTCTGGCTCTAATGCTGCTTTAGAGAGTCTGGCTCTAATGCTGCTTTAGAGAGTCTGGCTCTAATGCTGCTTTAGAGAGTCTGGCTCTGATGCTGCTTTAGAGAGTCTGGCTCTGATGCACATTTCTCAAAGTTATTGAAGTGACTGTTATTTTGTATATATTGATTGTGTGTGTATATATAGAGATATATACATATTTGTATTTGGGATTGTGGGAAACGGTATTTCGATCTCTCACAAAGATTGACAATAAAGTTGACTTTCACTTTAACTTTATATATAAACCTCACGTTAGTTTCTACTTTTCAAAATTCAAGTTTGAAGGCTCTATCGTCATGTGCACAGCAGCTACAGTGGAGATATGGCAGTGAAAAACTAAAGTCCCAGTTGACAACTGGTATGACAAAATCCATGAAATCTATATCATGGAAAGAATCACATTCTCAATGAGGCTACAGGAAAACACATTTGAGGAAATATGGAAAAAGTGGAGAATTTACATATCCCAAAGACGACCATCCCTCGTTTGACTGTTCCTATACACCGATTGAATGTATATAGATGTGTATGTATGGACACATGTATGTGTGTGTGTATTGTATGCATATATGCATGTTGATAGGAATGCATATGTACATGTGTAGACATTTGCTATTTCAAACAACCGCTGTGTACTTTTTCGTTTTTATTTTATTTTGACTAATTTTGTTTGCTATTTCATTTGTCACTTTTGGGTCTCTAAAAATATATGATTTGAAAAACTGTACTTGTATTATAATGTGACCCCAAATAAATAAAGAATAAAAAAAAAAAGAAAAACTAAAGTCCCAGGCTCCTCTCTAATGTGCAATGCCTTGTCTTTTAGGTGTGAATGCGACCCGAGTTAATATTAGTGTCCACTGACCCATGACGTCGACCCGGCACTCTGCGCTCTTGGTGCCGCTGCTGTTGGTGCCGGTGACTCTGAACAGTCCGGTGTCGGCCCTGACGGCCTTCTTGATGCAGAGCGTTGTGTTGCGGCCCTGCGTCTCCACCAGCATGCGCTCAGCCTCCAGGTCCTTCTCGTCTTTGCTCCACTTCACCTCGGGCTGCGGGCGGCCGCTCACCAGTGCCGGCAGACGCAGCGCCTCGCCGGCACGCAGGATCACTCCGCTCCTCACCGAGGCGTCAAGGGACACCGCCGGGGTCTCTGAGGGACACGTGGGAAGACAGAAAGAACATCAGATGGGATCTTCATGTACGCTAATTAAAACTTCCCTGCATCAAGAATTAACATAACATATACTACGACAGTCGTTTATTTCCAGAAGGTTTTTGGTCTTCATGTGATTCAAAGAAATGTTCCTTTAAGGATTGAAGTGATCAAACAGGATCATTTTGGGGGTGCAGAGCTCCTTGAAGCCCCTGAAAGTCCCTCAGTGTTTACCTTCGGGCTCCTTCACAGTGACGGGCTCGGTGACCCCTGGGACCCCTGGTCCTGCGTCGTTGATTGCGATGACTCTGATGTAGTAATCTGCCCCCTCAGTGAGGCCAGTGATGTTGAAGGTGAGGTCTTTACACCTGAACTCTGTGCAGCGGCTCCACTCCTTCTCCCCCACCAGCACCTGGGGGGGGGCACAGGGGTTATATTATATATATACTGATATACATGCATCACTATATATGAATATGTATCACATACACTAGACAATTCAACACTAGGCAATTCAGAGTGCTTTACAAATACACTTGCATTACATGGCATTTAAAAACAGTCATTGAAAAGCAAAGATAATAAAAGAAACATTCAAAGAAAAACCATGAATAAAAGTTACAGTGCAGAGTGAGATATGAATAGTTGAAGTAAAAGCAGTCAGAGTCGCAGCAGCGTGTTTAGCAGACTGTTCCAGATGTTTGGGGAGGTCACTAACAAATGATATAAAGACGGTGAGGCCCACCTTCTCCAGGTGGTATCCCAGGATGTCCCCTCCTCCGTTATACAGGGGCGGCTTCCAGGCCACGATCACTGAGTCCTTCCCAGTGTCCGCGATCCAGGGGGTGGGGGGGCCGGGGGTCACTGTTGGGGGGGGGGGCAGGGTTAAATCACTGTATCTTTTAGGGATACCAAAAACTAACAGTACGATAATATCGCAATAAAAAGTCCACCGTACGATATTTATCGCCATTTTGAAAAATAAAGGAAAAAAAAGTGAATTTGTTTTTGTTTTTTTTCCCTTGAATTTGTTTTTCTTTATTGAATAATACATCTGATTTGTTCAGCATTTTATAGGATAGTAGTGTTTTAAAGTGTCAACAATATAATAATCAGACCCTGCAATAGAATAACTCAAGTTTCACTTTAGTTTTTCAAGTAACTCGCTCACTCACTCGCTCACTCGCTCACTCGCTCACTCCCTCACTCACTCACTCACTCACTCGCTCACTCACTCACTCGCTCACTCACTCGCTCACTCACTCGCTCACTCACTCACTCTCTCACTCAGCGTCATTAAGGTTATCTTTCAGGAATATGAGCATGGCCACATTTCCAGGTAGAAGCTGGGATGTTTGGACGTTTGCAAAATCCCCTGCTGTGGAAACAACTCTCTTGCTTGGTACTGATGTTGCTGGGACAGAGAGACATGCTTTGGCCATGGGTGACAGCAGTGGGTCAAACTGTGCATTGTCTCTCCACCACTTCAAAAACAATACAGTGTTTGCCAAGAAGGTGAGGCTTATTGACAGATATAAATATACTGTTGGTACTTGTCAATGTCTCTAGGTGTGTACATGTAGCCCTGTAAATACCATGTCCTTTTGTGTTATCTGTTGTTTCATGTTCATGTTGTAACCTACTTGCTGCCATGTTGGACAGGTCTCCCTTGAAAAAGAGATCCATGATCTCAACGGGACCATCTGGTTCAATAAAGGTTTTGTCAGCCTCACGACGGTATTGAGACTTTTATTTACCGTGATATTCGATATATCGTTACATCCCTAGTATCTTTACATTAAAACATGTGTGAGTCACAGTATATCTACAGTGAGGGCGGAGCCGAGACGTCAGGTGTGTTTACATCATCAGTGGGAGGGGCTTCATTACATATATTAAACAGTAATCTTGACGTACTGATGGCGTCCATGGCCACGGTATATTACATTACATTATATGTATTATATATAATAATAACAACAGGACTCACTGATGGCGTCCATGGCCACGGTGCGCTCGCTGGGCTCGCTGAAGGGCCCGGGGCCGGCCAGGTTCTCTGCACAGACCCTGAAGATGTAGGTGAGGCCCTCCATCAGGCCCTCCACCCTCACATCCAGGGAGTTCAGCAGAGCCCTGTTCACCCGGGTCCAGTGCTTGCTGTTCACCTCCTTCCTCTCGATCCAGTAGCCCAGGATGGGGGAGCCGTTGTCTTTGGGCTCGTGCCACGAGATCTTGGCGCTGCTCGCCGTGACCTCGTGGACCCGGGGCGTGGAGGGGGCGTCGGGGGGGTCTGTGGGGAGGGGGGGTCGTTATTATTACTACAGTTTATTCACTTTACTTTGTTTGAGTGTTTCCTGGAAATGTTCCAGCTTTAATCGCCTGTTTCTTGTGCCTGGAAATAACCCATTATTTTATAAAATGTACAACTTTATTCCAAATATTCTGCATATATACGACTCATCGAAGGAACATCTTATAAGATATTCTCAAATTAAACACTTGTATTAAATGAAGCATCTTACACTACTACAGCATACGTACAGTATACATGTCCTACAGTACGTATTCCATTCCTTTGGGAAGAAGCGGTAGTTCTGTCGTCTCTCTGCCACCACAGTGTTGGATCCTCTGGAGTATTTATTATCTATATTGACATGCACTCAGTGCTGCTCGTACGTACCAAACATGTTCTTGGCCACCAGGGGCTTGGAGGTGTTGGGGGGTCCGCAGCCAAACCTATTCTCCGCCGTGACCCTGAACACGTACTCCTTGCCCTCGATGAGCTTGGTGACGGCGTGAGTGGGGGTCTTCAGGGTGGAGCTCACGGTGATCCAGCCCACCTCCTCGTTACGGTTGTCCTTCTTCTCCAGGATGTAGTTCAGCACCTCGCTGCCCCCATCGTCCAGGGGGGGCTCCCAGTTCAGAACCACCGAGGTGTTCCTGACGTCCTCGAAGGTGATGTTCACCGGGGGGCCGGGTTTATCTGGGGGGGATTAGAGAATACATACGTTATGGTGTGGGACTGGTTTTAAACGCAGGTTAACCCAGGTCTCAGACGCAGGGTGAGCCAGGTCTCAGACGCAGGGTGAGCTCCTCACCCAGCACGTTGACGGTGCAGCGGGCGGACGCGGTGCCGTGCTGGTTCTCCACGGTGACGGTGAACTCTCCGTGGTCGCTCCTCACCGCCTCGCGGATCATCAGCCCGGCCCGGCCCCGAACGCTCTGATCCAGACCGAGGCGCTGGCAGAGGGGGTTCAAGAACTCCTCCTCCTCCTCCTCGTACGCCTGCAACACACACACACACACATATATATATATAAATACTATACTGCAGACTATAGGTTATATATAATATTAATACTCTGGATATCTGTGTGTAGTAAACAGGTTATATATAGTATAAATACTGTGTCTCTCACCTGAGCCTTGGACTTCCTCCTCTTGACGGGGGCGGTCTTCTTCGTTGGTTTCTTGGTGACGTCCTCGTCGTTCCTGAGCCAGGTGACCCGGGGGTACGGGGACCCGGAGATCAGGGCGTCGATCCGGACCTCCTCGCCCTTCTTCACACACACTCCGAACTGAACCCGGGCGTGCAGCGTCACACTAGGTTTCTCTGCACACACATATTCAAACAGAGATATATATTTAACCTGCTTTCAAATCTGAGTGGAAAACAAGAAACGTCTACATTTCTGCTGTCAATAACAATAACAAGAAACGTCTACATTTCTGCTGTCAATAATAATAACAAGAAACGTCTACATTTCTGCTGTCAATAATAATAACAAGAAACGTCTACATTTCTGCTGTCAATAATAATAACAAGAAACGTCTACATTTCTGCTGTCAATAATAATAACAAGAAACATCTACATTTCTGCTGTCAATAATAATAACAAGAAACGTCTACATTTCTGCTGTCAATATAATAACAAGAAACGTCTATATTTCTGCTGTCAATAATAATAACAAGAAACGTCCTGCCTTTCTGCTGTCAATAATAATAACAAGAAACGTCTACATTTCTGCTGTCAATAACATAACAAGAAACGTCTACATTCTGGCTGTCAATAATAATAACAAGAAACGTCTGCCTTTCTGCTGTCAATAATAATAACAAGAAACGTCTATATTTCTGCTGTCAATAATAATAACAAGAAACGTCTACATTTCTGCTGTCAATAATAATAACAAGAAACGTCTACATTTCTGCTGTCAATAATAATAACAAGAAACGTCTGCCTTTCTGCTGTCAATAATAATAACAAGAAACGTCTATATTTCTGCTGTCAATAATAATAACAAGAAACGTCTACATTTCTGCTGTCAATAATAATAACAAGAAACGTCTACATTTCTGCTGTCAATAATAATAACAAGAAACGTCTATATTTCTGCTGTCAATAATAATAACAAGAAACGTCTATATTTCTGCTGTCAATAATAATAACAAGAAACGTCTATATTTCTGCTGTCAATAATAATAACAAGAAACGTCTACATTTCTGCTGTCAATAATAATAACAAGAAACGTCTACATTTCTGCTGTCAATAATAATAACAAGAAACGTCTATATTTCTGCTGTCAATAATAATAACAAGAAACGTCTATATTTCTGCTGTCAATAATAATAACAAGAACGTCTACATGTTCTGATGTCATAAATAATAACAAAAACGTCTATCTTTCTGCTGTCAATAATAATAACAAGAAACGTCTATATTTCTGCTGTCAATAATAATAACAAGAAACGTCTATATTTCTGCTGTCAATACTAATAACAAGAAACGTCTATATTTCTGCTGTCAATAATAATAACAAGAAACGTCTATATTTCTGCTGTCAATAATATAACAAGAAACGTCTATATTTCTCTGTCAATAATAATAACAAGAAACGTCTATATTTCTGCTGTCAATAATAATAACAAGAAACGTCTATATTTCTGCTGTCACTAATAATAACAAGAAACGTCTATATTTCTGCTGTCAATAATAATAACAAGAAACGTCTACATTTCTGCTGTCAATAATAATAACAAGAAACGTCTATATTTCTGCTGTCAATAATAATAACAAGAAACGTCTATATTTCTGCTGTCAATAATAATAACAAGAAACGTCTATATTTCTGCTGTCAATAATAATAACAAGAAACGTCTATATTTCTGCTGTCAATAATAATAACAAGAAACGTCTATATTTCTGCTGTCAATAATAATAACAAGAAACGTCTACATTTCTGCTGTCATAATAATAACAAGAACGTCTACATTTCTGCTGTCAATATAATAACAAGAAACGTCTATATTTCTGCTGTCAATAATAATAACAAGAAACGTCTATATTTCTGCTGTCAATAATAATAACAGAAACGTCTATATTTCTGCTGTCAATAATAATAACAAGAAACGTCTATATTTCTGCTGTCAATAATAATAACAAGAAACGTCTACATATTCTGCTGTCAATAATAATAACAAGAAACGTCTACATTTCTGCTGTCATAATAATAACAAGAAACGTCTATATTTCTGCTGTCAATAATAATAACAAGAAACGTCTATATTTCTGCTGTCAATAATAATAACAAGAAACGTCTATATTTCTGCTGTCAATAATAATAACAAGAAACGTCTATATTTCTGCTGTCAATAATAATAACAAGAAACGTCTACATTTCTGCTGTCAATAATAATAACAAGAAAACGTCTATATTTCTGCTGTCAATATATATAACAAGAAACGTCTATATTTCTGCTGTTCAATATAATAACAGAAACGTCTATATTTCTGCTGTCAATAATAATAACAAGAAACGTCTATATTTCTGCATGTCAATAATAATAACAAGAAACGTCTATATTTCTCCTTCAATAATAATAACAAGAAACGTCTACATTTCTGCTGTCAATAACAAGAAACGTCTACATTTCTGCTGTCAATAATAATAACAAGAAACGTCTACATTTCTGCTGTCAATAATAATAACAAGAAACGTCTACATTTCTGCTGTCAATAATAATAACAAGAAACGTCTACATTTCTGCTGTCAATAACAATAACAAGAAACGTCTACATTTCTGCTGTCAATAATAATAACAAGAAACGTCTATATTTCTGCTGTCAATAATAATAACAAGAAACGTCTACATTTCTGCTGTCAATAATAATAACAAGAAACGTCTATATTTCTGCTGTCAATAATAATAACAAGAAACGTCTACATTTCTGCTGTCAATAACAATAACAAGAAACGTCTATATTTCTGCTGTCAATAATATAACAAGAAACGTCTACATTTCTGCTGTCAATAACAATAACAAGAAACGTCTATATTTCTGCTGTCAATAATAATAACAAGAAACGTCTATATTTCTGCTGTCAATAATAATAACAAGAAACGTCTACATTCTGCTGTCAATAATAATAACAAGAAACGTCTATATTTCTGCTGTAAATAATATAACAAGAAACGTCTACATTTCTGCTGTCAATAATAATAACAAGAAACGTCTACATTCTGCTGTCAATAATAATAACAAGAAACGTCTATATTTCTGCTGTCAATAATAATAACAAGAAACGTCTATATTTCTGCTGTCAATAATAATAACAAGAAACGTCTACATTTCTGCTGTCAATAATAATAACAAGAAACGTCTACATTTCTGCTGTCAATAATAATAACAAGAAACGTCTACATTTCTGCTGTCAATAATAATAACAAGAAACGTCTACATTTCTGCTGTCAATAATAATAACAAGAAACGTCTATATTTCTGCTGTCAATAATAATAACAAGAAACGTCTACATTTCTGCTGTAAATAATAATAACAAGAAACGTCTACATTTCTGCTGTCAATAATAATAACAAGAAACGTCTATATTTCTGCTGTCAATAATAATAACAAGAAACGTCTATATTTCTGCTGTCAATAATAATAACAAGAAACGTCTATATTTCTGCTGTCAATAATAATAACAAGAAACGTCTATATTTCTGCTGTCAATAATAATAACAAGAAACGTCTATATTTCTGCTGTCAATAACAATAACAAGAAACGTCTACATTTCTGCTGTCAATAATAATAACAAGAAACGTCTATATTTCTGCTGTCAATAATAATAACAAGAAACGTCTATATTTCTGCTGTCAATAATAATAACAAGAAACGTCTATATTTCTGCTGTCAATAATAATAACAAGAAACGTCTGCCTTTCTGCTGTCAATAATAATAACAAGAAACGTCTACATTTCTGCTGTCAATAATAATAACAAGAAACGTCTATATTTCTGCTGTCAATAATAATAACAAGAAACGTCTGCCTTTCTGCTGTCAATAATAATAACAAGAAACGTCTGCCTTTCTGCTGTCAATAATAATAACAAGAAACGTCTATATTCTGCTGTCAATAACAATAACAAGAAACGTCTACATTTCTGCTGTCAATAATAATACAAGAAACGTCTATATTTCTGCTGTCAATAATAATAACAGAAACGTCTATATTTCTGCTGTCAATAATAATAACAAGAAACGTCTATATTTCTGCTGTCAATAATAATAACAAGAAACGTCTATATTTCTGCTGTCAATAATAATAACAAGAAACGTCTACATTTCTGCTGTCAATAATAATAACAAGAAACGTCTATATTTCTGCTGTCAATAATAATAACAAGAAACGTCTATATTTCTGCTGTCAATAATAATAACAAGAAACGTCTATATTTCTGCTGTCAATAATAATAACAAGAAACGTCTACATTTCTGCTGTCAATAATAATAACAAGAAACGTCTATATTTCTGCTGTCAATAATAATAACAAGAAACGTCTACATTTCTGCTGTCAATAACAATAACAAGAAACGTCTATATTTCTGCTGTCAATAATAATAACAAGAAACGTCTATATTTCTGCTGTCAATAACAATAACAAGAAACGTCTACATTTCTGCTGTCAATAATAATAACAAGAAACGTCTACATTTCTGCTGTCAATAATAATAACAAGAAACGTCTACATTTCTGCTGTCAATAATAATAACAATAATAGTAATAGTAATAAATGTCCGTGTTTCCATACCGACGGGGTCTGCAGCCTTGGTGAGCGGCGTGCTGCGGGACGGCTCGCTGACCCCCGCGGCGTTCTCCGCCCGGATCCTGAACTGGTACTCCGCCCCCTCCGTCAGACCGGTGACTGTGTGGCTGAGGCCGGGCACCAGGGTGGGCGTGACGCGGTCGAATCGATCTCCGTCCTTCTCCATCTTCTCCACGATGTATCCGGTGATCGGGCAGCCGCCATCAGAGTCCGGAGCCTTCCAGGTCACTGTGATGGACTTACAGGTGGGGTCCCGGGCCTCCACCGCGATGGGGGGGTCCGGTTTCTCTGCAGAGGCAACCACAGGTGGTTAGTATTCTTCATTTCTATAATATATACATGTAATTATTAATAAACACTATCTTTTAATTACTCTAATGTACAATGCTTTGTATTTTTATGCTGCTTGCAACGCAAACATTTCACAAATGATTATCAATAAAGTACTTCTTATCTTATTCTTATCTTATCTGTGTTTGACTAAAGTTATCCATCCGGCACAATAACATGCTAACGTGCTAACGTGCTAACAATGACCCTATAGAACTCTTTTTTCCTCATGTTTCAAACCTCTGATCTCATCAGTGGTTCAGGTTATGACTCACGTTTGACTTCCTCCGTGATGACGGCGTTGCGCAGCTCCAGGTTGGCCCCGGCCCCCACCTTGTTGACGGCCCGGACCCTGAAGAAGTACTCGCAGTTAACGTAGAGGTCTTTGACGACGGCGGTCAGCACGTCCTCGCCCGACATCACGGGCATGTAGGTCTTCTTGGAGGCCTCACGGCGCTCCAGGGTGTAGCTGAGCACGGGGGAGCAGCCGTCGTCCTCGGGGGCCTCCCAGCTGATCCGGCATGAGTTCTTGGTGACCTCGCTGGACGAGATGTCCTTACAGCGTCCCGGGAGGCCTGGGGGGGCAGAGAGGGTGGTGAGGAGGGTACACAGTAGAACATGGCTATAGTTATTCAGTAGTACTCTGATATCTTCCTTCCTTTAGATTGTGTGTTTTGTAGACCTGAACCCCGAGCCGAGTCCCGCCAGGCTGAGGCTAACACGCATGTGATCGGTGTCGTGTCAAATGATCATAGAGTCATTTAAACATACAGTCTTATACTCTGATTGCCTTCTACTCTGTTACCGTGTGTTGTTAGTCTTGTGTGTGTTGAACAGAGACACATGTTAGGGTTTACCTTTCAGGAGGCAAAGGAAGTAGAAGGTGGATTCACAAAGGGTTAAAGACTGGAGGGTTTAATGGTTTGATGGTGGGATGGAGGAGCAGCTGTTTCCTCTCATGAATATACAGAGACTGAGAGCAGAGCTTCTCTCTCCTCTGAGGAGGAAGCTGCTCTGCTCCTGTGTGTGTGTGTGTGTGTGTGTGTGTGTGTGTGTGTGTGTGTGTGTGTGTGTGTGTGTGTGTGTGTGTGTGTGTGTGTGTGTATGCTCCTGCACTTCAGATCCATCTCACTTTATATTGACTTTCTTTATTAATTTATTAAATATAACAAAAGACAGACTTTGTCCATGAGTCATTGACCAGTGCCTCTGAAGAGTTTCCTCCACAGTCGGCATGGTGGGTCCACCCTTTGCCCCCGGTCCTAAACAGTGTATTAGTATGAAGTTCTCGTACCGATGACCTTGACGGTGACGGTGCCGGTGGCGCTGCCCAGGCTGTTCTCCAGCGTGATGGCGTATGCGCCGGCATCGGCCCGGCTGCTCTTCAGCAGGTCCAGGTGGGCGCTGTTCATCTCCACCGTCATGGACAGCCGCTCGCCAGCCTTGCACTCCACCTCGTCCTTCTTCCACCCCATCTTGGGGGTGGGGATGGCTCTGTAGGGGACCTTCAGCTGCAGCTTCTCCCCCTCCACCACCACCACCTCCTGAGACGCCAGGTCCAGGGTGGGGGCGCCTGGGGGGGTAGGGGACATTTATTATTCTGAGGTTATCATCATACTTTCACTTCCTATATATTATTAAATCCACAGAAGAGGCGTTTTCTTAAGTTTTAAAGTCTTACCTGTTTCCTGCATATTTATGATTATTATTTCTATCCTATTTTCTTAAGGAGTATTGATGAGGAACATTACAGCTCGTTAAGTTCTTTCAGGAGGGAATAAAAGGCAGAGCTGCTTACAGTCGGGGTCTTTGGTGAAGACCTTGTCGGAGACGTCGGAGGGGTCGCTCACTCCCACGGCGTTGACGGCGCGGACCCGGATCACGTATTTCTTCTCGGGCTTGATGCCGTCGTCGATCCTGAAGCTGAGCTCTTTGATTGGCCGGGTGTTGACGCGCAGCCACTTGAGCTCGGGCCGGGCCTCGGCCACCTCCACGTGGTACCCGGAGATCGGGGAGCCGCCGTCTTTGGTCGGGGGCTTCCAGGTGACGCTGATGTGCTCCCGGCTGGCCTCAGGTACTGCCAACTCCAGAGGGGGGGAGGGGGCGCCTGAGGAGGAGGGGGGGCACATTTAAAAAACATCCAGGTGGTTTACGACTTTCTACCAATCAGATCTTATTTGATCCCGGGAACTGGGATTCATGATGGTTCAAAAGATAGAAAAATATAACTGAAACATTTATATAAACAAGTTAAAGTGACGATGTGAAATAGTTATATAAATATAAAAAGTAAAATGTAAAATAAAAAAATGAAATAGAAAAGATATGCAACATAAGAAGCAAAAATATGAATTATAAAATAAAATAAATACATATATTTATATAAAAAGGGAAGTCAAAGTCAAATATCTAAATTAAACAGTAAAATAGCAGAAAATATTTTGTCTGGATTTGTTCTGGTTTTCCAAACTCTGAAGTTTAGCGTGTGTGTTGGCTGTGGATTGGGGGGGGGGGTCTTACTGGTGGCATCCTCAATGGTCAGGATCTCGGTGGGCTCGCTGGGGTCTCCCACCCCGGCCTCGTTCTCCGCCCGGACCTGGAACTGTACCTCGGTGCCCTCGTCCACGTCCGTCACCTTGAACTGGGACTGTTTGTCGGGGGTCTTGCAGCACTTCAGCCAGCGGGACCCCAGCTTCTCCTTCTTCTCGACGACGTACCTGAGGACAGGTGAGAGGAGGTTTAGAGGGAGGAACACTGTTGGAGCCATAATGTATTTAGTTTGATTTGATCTGCACACGTTTGATGCAACATGCAGCTCTGAGATGGAACACAGGATGGAGCGTTCACTGCAGACACACACACAGGTTAACACACACTCACAGCTGATCACCGGGTGGTCAGCTGTGAGTGTGTGTTAACCTGTTTGTATCAGAGCGTGACTGGCAGGCATACATTGTTCCTCTGAATGGTATCAGAAGTAGCAATGCGGATCCATTCATTAAGGTGAATATATTGGACATGGTTTTATTGTCTGGAACACGCGTCCCAACAAGTTCCATCCCTCAGTGGCTGAAGTATAGATTAGGTTTAAACTACAAACGTCTTCTGCAGGGCTGTTTCAGGACGCTTACTTGGTGATGGGTCTTCCTCCGTGGCTCTTGGGGGGTTCCCACTTGAGCTCAACATGTCTCTTGGTGACCTCGACCACGGTGAGGGCGTAGGGGGGTCCGGGGGTGGCTGCAAGGTGCATGGAGAATAAATCAGTTTGAGGGTACAGAAGATGGAGGGTCCATCATGAAGCTCTCGTAGAGATATCAACACAACTCCTTTATGAAGCACAGTTACAATACTTCTTACTTCACATTTACTTTCTCAACATTTTGACATTTCTCTTGACACGGACGACTCATCTCAAAATACAACTTGGTTCTCATTATTTACTTCATACCATACTTCAATCTGGCTTTTAATGTGTGATTATTTTTGTATTATTTGACTTTAACTTTAACTATATATTTATTTGTTGTTCCTTTATTTTATCTTCACCATATCTGTAAAAGCGCTAACAAATTAAATCTATTATTATTATTATTATACCAACATGTATGGCTTTATTCTTAAAGTGCAGAAAGGATCAGGGAGAAGACAATATATGACTTGCCCCTAAAATAAATAAATAGAAATAGATGGTCTGTGATTTGTTCTTATTCACAGCCAATCACAACAGCAATAATGTATAAAAGGGAATCTGTTGCTGTGGATGAAGCCTTCAGCTCTAACACACTTTATGATCCGGGTTGAACTCTCCTGTGTTTCATTTAACAAGCCACCCTGACCATGCTCACTAGCGATGAGAGCCCTAGAAGCAGCTACTCACTGAATGTGTCTTTGGCGAGCACGGCGTCCTCCATCTCGCAGAACTCTCCCATCCCGGCGCTGTTCTCAGCAGCGACGCGGAACACGTAGAGCGAGCCCTCGTTGAGCGGCGTCACGGTGTACTTCAGCTCCTTCACCGTGGTGTCCACCGCCTGCCAGGCTTTGCGCCGGACGTCCCTCTTCTCCACCACGTAGTTAGTAATGGGGGAGCCTCCGTCGCTGCTGGGAGCCTGCCACTTCAGACCCGCCGACACCTTGGTGATGGACGCCACCTCCAGCCACTGGGGCGCAGAGGGGGGGACTGAGGGGGTGGGACATTCTTGTTATTATACTGTAGTATGTAATGCTTAGACCCTCCCACAGGTACCCCAACATTTTACTGTATTTCTGATTCGGCAAAAACTCTGAATCGAGGAGATGATAGGTTTGAGGTAGATTGGATTTTTTTTGAGGTCGCCGTTTTAGATTCAAGTTCAACTCAAAAGAATACTTGTTTCAGTAAAAGGACATGGTCTGTCTCCCACAGATATCCCTGTTCCCAGCCTGAGAGAAGCCATATCATAATCTCACACATAGGAAAACCCCTCCCAATAACGATGGGGAAGAGCGTCAGAACCATGCTCATGTTGATCCTAAAGACACGGAGCGAGATTAAGGTGACATAGTTTGCCACCATGAATCAGCATTTGTTGACTGCTGCTCGTCCAATCGTGTCAGACCTACCATCTGCAGCTAATAATTCTCTCTCATCAGTAACGCCCCGTTGTGTATTTCCCCATCATTGTATTTAAATCAGTTTGAATTGACAGTGTTTGACGACATAGCGCCTGAATGAAGGATGTGTGGTTCCTCTGGTGTCACTCACAGAGTCTCTCCTTGCAGACCACAGGGTCGCTGGGCTCCGACGCCTCACTCTCCCCGGCCTTGTTGACGGCCTTCACCCTGAAGCAGTACTCCTGATGCTCCACCAGGCCGGTGAGCTGCTGCTCCGTCTGCGGGACGTCCTCCATCAGCCGGATCCACTCCTCGCTGCCGGCCTTCTGGAACTCGATGATGTAGCTCTCGATCTTCGCCCCGCCGTCGTGCTCCGGGCGGGTCCAGGCCAGCAGGGCAGTGGTCTTACCCACCTCCCGGATCGCAGGTTTTCCTGGAGCCCAGGGAGGATCTGCACGGACACACATTAGATATTTAAGCTGATAACATGCTGCAGGTTCTGCAGAAGAACCACACATTAGATATTAGAATCTCATCAAACGTAATGAAGTGCTACCGATGGGGTCTTTGATGAGGACCGGGTCGGTCTCCACGCTGGGTTTTCCTGGTCCAGCCAGATTCTCGGCCAGAACTCTGAAGCTGTACTTCTTCTTGGTGGGGAGTCCCTTCACCCTGTAGACAACATTCAATACATATGAATACACATGATATTAACACCTTCTCTCTATCTTAATATCATGTGAGTCCTCACCTGAAGGTGGTGTCCTTGATGGGCAGCTTGTTGCATCTGATCCACTTGTCGCTCTCTGGGTCGAACTTCTCGATCCAGTACCCGGTGATGGGACTGCCGCCGTCTTCGTCCGGCTCGAACCAGGTCAGAGACACGGCATCTTTGGTGACGTCCGAGGGAGTGACTCTGGTTGGAGCGCCAGGAGGATCTGAAACAGACAGAAGGTGTTCTGAATTATCCAGAGACTGGATGTGGTCGCAGTGCGTCAGGTTCTGTGGACTAGTGTTTATGAACACGTAGACTTCTGTCTCGTAGACTTCTATCTCGTGGACTTCTATCTCGTAGACTTCTGTCTCGTAGACTTCTATCTCGTAGACTTCTGTCTCATATAACTCTGTCTCGTAGACTTTATCTCATAGACTTCTGTCTCGTAGACTTCTGTCTCGTAGACTTCTGTCTCGTAGACTTCTATCTCGTGGACTTCTATCTCGTAGACTTCTGTCTCGTAGACTTCTATCTCGTAGACTTCTGTCTCATATAACTCTGTCTCGTAGACTTTATCTCATAGACTTCTGTCTCGTAGACTTCTGTCTCGTAGACTTCTATCTCGTGGACTTCTATCTCGTAGACTTCTGTCTCGTAGACTTCTATCTCGTAGACTTCTGTCTCGTAGACTTCTATCTCGTGGACTTCTATCTCGTAGACTTCTGTCTCGTAGACTTCTGTCTCGTAGACTTCTGTCTCGTAGACTTCTAGATAAAAGAAGACAGCAGTAAGAACAGTTCCTCATAGACTTCTATAGAACGTACCGAAGGAATACTTGGCGATGATGGGCTCGTGCTCGGCCGGCTTTCCGATGCCGTACTGGTTCTCAGCGCTGACCCTGAACACGTACTCCTTCAGCGCCGTCAGCTTGCAGGCCTTGAAGGTGGTGTGCTTCACCGTGGCCGACAGCTTCACCCACTCCTCTTTGTCCGTCTGTCGGCTCTCCACGATGTAGTTGGTGATGAGCGAGCCGCCGTCGTCCCGGGGCGGGTTCCACGCCATGCAGCACGACTCGTTGGTGATGTCAGAGAGGTCGAAGGCGGCGGGGGGGCCGGGTTTATCTGAGAGGATGGGGCAAAACGTGACCATTACTCAAACTGTCCGTCTAGGACCACACCACACTGAGACATGAGTCAGCTGTACTGGATGCACTGAATGCCCGGACACTTCTAAAATCGTTACTCCTTTAAAATGTAATTCAAACCATTATTTAACTTTGTCATATATCTGTGTTTAATAAACATGACATATTTTAAACCAATATTCCGAATGATTAATAAATGTTTTGTTGTTGTCCTGATTAGATTATTTCTAGGGTCGGTGTATTGAAGTGTTTGTAAGTTGCAGTGGATATAAGCCTCAGCTAAATGATTGTCAAACAGGCGTGCAGTTTTGGATATTGTGGTGCATGCTGGGTAACATACCCAGGATGTTGACGTCGATGGTGGCGGTGGCGCGCCCGCAGGCGTTGACGGCCTCGATGATGTACGTGGAGGTGTCGCCCCGGGTGCTGTTGGCGATGGACAGCTTGGAGTGTCCGGGCTGAGTGTCCATGGTGATGCGGTCGTCGGCCCGCAGGACCTGGTCCGCTTTGGTCCACTTCACCCTTGGGTCGGGCTTGCCCTTCACGTCGGCCGGCAGCTCGATCTTAGTGCCGGCCCGGGCCGTCAGACCCGCCAGCAGCTTCACGTCCAGCTGGATCTCCGGAGGCTCTGCAGAGACATCACAGAGTCAGAGACATTTAACAAAAACTAACTTCCTGCGCAGAAATAAAACATGTTTCCATAACTGCCCATGCTTCCTGCTCTGATTCAAAACCCCTCCCACCTCTGGCGTCCACGGCCTGGATCTCGTCGGTGGCCCTGCAGGGTCTGCTGGCCCCCAGCTTGTTGAAGGCTCGGATCCTGTAGGCGTACCACTGGCCCTCGATCAGCCCGGTCACCTGCATCCTGAGAGAGAAACACACAGTTATTAGAAGGCTTTGACCTGGCTGCAGACAGGAGGCTCAACAGCAGGAAACAGTTCTTACTTCAGCTCGGGGAGGGGCTCTCCACAGGGCTCCCACTTATCCGTCCCGCGCTGACACTTGTCCACAACGTAGCCTTTGATGGGAGCGCCTCCGTCGTACTTCGATGGCTCCCAGAACAGGAAGATGGACTTTCCGCTCTTATCGCGCCACTTCAGGTTCTCCGGAGGATCGGGAATAGCTGTGTGGGGAGGGGCGAAATAACGCAGGTCAGGCAGTGACTCAGGGTTCAAACACGGTTCTATGTTGGAAAGGCCTTCATATGGTGAATCTGAAGAGGACTGATGTCTGAGGCTATATCAGAGAAAGCTTGTGTTGGGTCTGTGTGATGCTCAGCGACTCACTGGCGGGCGAGGACACATTGACGGGCTCGTCGATGTACGCCGGCTCTCCCGGTCCACACTTGTTGCAGGCGGTGACGCTGAACAGATACTCCTTCCCCTCCACCACGTCTGTGATGGTGTGCTCCAGGTCCAGCACGCCCGCTGCCACCTGGAGGAAAATCAGGAGGCGTCAGTGAGGAAATAACACTTAGGAAAAAGTCTGAACTTTGAGAAAAGTCAAGAAATTGAGATATTGTTTGGGGAATTTTGTGAAATGCAGAGAGAAAGTCTGAACTTTGAAAAAATTGTAAACATTATCCTTCTTGAAGCATCTGGACCTGCCACAGTCTTTATTTGTCCTGGGTGTTTTGCAGGCTGTGCACGTTTCTTTACATCTGTACTTTAAAATGAATGAACATGCAACCCGTTGTCAGGGTCTCAGGGGTACCTTGGCCCAGGTCTTGCGGGACACCTCTCTCTTCTCGATCTGGAAGTGAGTGACAGGACTCCCTCCATCGTGCTCGGGCACCTCCCACATCAGGTGCACGTGGTGACGCGTCACCTCCGCCACCTTGAAGTCCTTGGGGGCACTAGGGCATGCTGGGGGGAAAAAGGAAGGGAACAATACATTAATAATTGTATATATATATAATGTTTGTATTATTATTTATCATTTTAAAATCTTGAGTTTATTCTGAAATGCACAATTTAAATGTTATTGAGTATTTTATTCTGCAGTTGACACCCATCTCCCGGGGATTTACCCTGCATGCATTGGAGAATCTACCCTTTGGAAGGTCTACCCAGCATGCATTGGAGCATGCATTGTGTGAATGAGTATCTCATTGTGAAGTTACCGATGACGTTGACCTCCACCTCTCCGCTGACGGAGCATACGTCGTTCTCCAGCGTCAGGCTGTAGGTTCCTTTGTCCGGGCGGACGCTCGGGGACACCATCAGCTCGGTGAAGGTTGGTTTGGTCGTCATGGAGACGCGCTCGTCGGCGGTGCTCAGCTGTTTGTCTCCGAACGTCCACTTGGCGACGGGCGTGGGGTACCCGGTGATCGGCACCCTGATGGTGAGGGGCTGCGGCACGATGACCTCCAGACCGTTCCTGAAGCCACTCAGGTCGAAGTGGGGACCCACTGAGGACACAGGGCAGATTTAGATTTATACTTTTACTGAATATCAGAAATATCTGAATATATTAACTTTTTTTTTACAATTCTTTATTTAGAAGACAGTTGAGAACATTTCACCAGTTACAATGATAGACTTGCAATTACAGGGAGTAGAAACATTTGCAATAAGGGAACAGTAAACATTGAAACCCTCCACTTCTCATTGTTCTCTTTTTTTAAAGTGCATCTTATACAATGTTCATGAACTTTATACAATTTATTTGACTATCGTATTGTTCAATTTTTATATCTTCAGGTACCGTGTGGGTCGTCGGCCAGCAGGGGGCCGAGCTGCTCCGCGGGGTCGGAGAGTCCGGCGGCGTTCTCAGCAGAAACTCTGTAGAGGTACTTCTGACCCGGCTTCAGACCCGACACCTGAGAGGAACCAGAACCAGGAGAGTAAACAACAGAAAGAGACAACCAAAAAGCTGGAGGAGAACCTCCTTTCACTTCTGCTCTAAAGACAAAGTCATGTACAGAAGGTCGTGAGGGACACGTGGAAATGATTTGAGATCTGAGATTTAAGTCAGATGTCAAACATTCTGAGAAAAAACACAATTTAGAGAAAGTCAGATCTTTGCGAAAAGTTAAATTATTCCTGAAATCTTGTGAAAATAGTCAACATTTCGAGAAAAGTGAAAATATTTAAAAGAAAGTGAAAATGTTGAAAAAAATTCAGAATTCTAAGAAACATTCTTAAAATGTAAGAAACATTTCACGATTTTATGAAACATTTCACAATTTTAAGAAAAAAGTTTCCTTAGAAAAGTATTGACTTGAATCTCATAACTAAATAAAAGCACTTCATATATGTCCTAATCCTTCTCTAGATGAATCAGAGTAACATAGTGCTAGTGGTCGTACGCGGTAGTGCAGGTCCTGGCACAGCCGGGCGTTGCAGCGCATCCACTTGTCGGAGCCGTCGTCACTCTTCTGGATGATGTAGCCGGTGATCATGCTGCCTCCGGTGCTGCTGGGCGTCTCCCAGGTGAGGGTGACAGCCGTCTGCACCTGGTCGCTGTAGTTCAGGTTCAGGGGGGGGGATGGACGGTCTGCACAGAGGGGCGGGGGTTAGTACACAGAAACACAGCAGCAGAAGTTAAACGAGCGGGGGGCAGCTCACCGATGGGGTCCATGATCTTCACGGGCTTGGTGGCGGCGCTGGGCCTGCCGATGCCCGCCTTGTTCTCGGCGCGGACCCTGAAGATGTACTCTTTGTTCTCCACGACGTCGTTCAGCGTGGCCGAGCGGTCCACTGCGGCGCACACCATGGCCGCCTCCCACTTCACAGAGGTGCGGTCACGCAGCTCGATCACGTAGTTGGTGATCTCCGAGCCACCGTCCTTCAGCGGGGGCTCCCAGGACAGAGTGGCACCGTAACGGTTCACCACGCCCACCGCCACGTTCTGCGGGGCCTCGGGAACGTCTGGGAGAAGGAAGGAACAAACAGGAAGTCCTTATGGTGCACACACAGGTGTTATTAATTACTTCTGAATGTGAGAGAGACTTGAGAAAAGTCCAAATGTCAAGAAAAAAGTCAGCTTTTTTAAGAAGAGATACATCTAAATATAAGAGAGGCAGAAGAAGGGGGGCTGTTTCTTACCGAACTTGTTCTTGGCCTGCACGGCCTCCTCGGTGGAAGAGAGCGGTCCGCTGCCGACACGGTTCTTGGCGCAGACCCTGAACAGATACTTGCTCTCTCGCTGCAGGCCGCTCACGCAGTACTCGGGCGCGTCGGCACGGTCCGTCGACAGCGTCCACGTCTTACGCTTTATGTCGCGCCTCTCCACAACGTACGACAAGATCTTGCTGCCGCCGTCGCTCTCTGGCTCCTCCCACGCTAAACTTACCTCTCCGTCAGCCGTGTCCACGACTCGAAGGTTCTTCACCTGCCCGGGGACGTCTGGGGGGGAAACACATCTCATCAGGCTCTCAACACTTGTTATAATACGATAATACGATACGATAATGAGGATGCTTCAGGCTGACTGGAGCACAGAGGATGCTTCAGGCTGACTGGAGCACAGAGGATGCTTCAGGCTGACTGGAGCACAGAGGATGCTTCAGGCTGACTTTATTGAGTCTCCATTAGATGGTAGCAGTTCATCTTCTCTGTTAGAGCATTCTTTGGGTGCGACAGATACTTTGTGCTCAGGAGTGGAGTGCACCAGCTGGGCGTAGAAAAGTAGGGCTTAACTCTAACGTCGGGCTTAGCTACGTCCGACGTAGTGATTCGAATTTACACCGAGTGCACCAAGCCTGACTAGTCTCGGGCGTAGCTGCGCCTGGTCTTAAGATGCGCGTCCACGTGAATACACGCGAAACAGTAATTGTTGCCAAGCAATGCCATTTTACCATTTTACAGACTCACAGGACTGCAGATAAGAGGGAATTCCCACACCCACAGCGTCAGCGATGACTCAAGGGGAATCCCAAATGGCCACACCCCGAAAGAGAAAGAGGGATTTGTCAGAGCTACAGCGGGAACTGACGGAGAAAGAAATCGGTGCTGGAGGGCCAATGCAACTTGTCTTATAGCCCGACATGCAGTTGTGCGATGAACATTAATCATGACTCCCACAGTATTTTGAAAGGCCCCGTTTGCGTAGAATCTGAGCTCAATCAGCACCTGCGAGGTTGGGGAGAGCGCAGCGTTTCGATCTGATCCGTGCTGGAGTTGAGGGGAGATCTCCTCGATTAAATCAAAAAGGGCTTGTCTGCCGAAACGAAACCTCTCTATCAGTTCACTGTCTGAATAGATGTCCAGTGGGTTTGTTCGATCACGGACGACTCTTTCTCTTCTTAATGCCCTTTCATTGTTAAACATGTAAACAAGACGCCCTGCCATCGTTAATATCCTTCTTGCCTGTTTTACGTTACTATGGATACTTAAGTCTAAGTGGTGCACTAGTCATAACTTTAGTTTGGTCTTAACCTTCGGTTCTACGTCGGACGTAGAGTTACGCCCAGTTTACGCCCAGCTGGTGCACTCCACTCCAGGTGACAGGAAGAGGAAGTGGGACTCACCGATGACGTCCAGGTTGATGAAGGCCTCTCCCTCTCCATGCTTGTTGCGGATCAGGATCCGGTATCGGCCGCGGTCCTCCTTGCGGGGGCTCTTCATGCGGTACTCCGTCTTGTCGGCCGAGGTGTCGATGTTCTGCACCGGCAGGCTGGTTCCCTCGTGGAACCACTCGGTGTCGGCGCGAGGATACGCGTCGTACGGCACCGTCATCATGAAGGGCTTCCTTGCGTCCGTCACCAGGTTCTGGTCCGTGGTTTTGATCTTAGGGATCGCTGTGAGACGGATCAGAGAGAGGATGGGTTAGTGAGGAACCCTGGAACATCTCTCTGGTTCCTGATACAGCTGAAGAGTCATTTTAAGTCTGTTGCTTTCATTATGTTTTTATGAATTTACTGTAAAGTGTCTGAGTTTCAAGAAAAGTGCTCAATAAATAAAATGCATTGTTATTATTATTATTAATAAAGAAAACTGACATTGGGAGAGCCCCGGATATAAGTCGGAAGAAATAAGAAATACAAAAAATATTATACATATTTCACTAATAATTCTAATACTAATAATAATGAATACAAACATGTATTGAAATAGTAATACAAAACAAATAAAAATAAAAATAATAATAATAAAAATAATATAAATAACAATAATAAGTCAGGACGTTGCGTTCACTGACCTGCCAGCTCCAGCTTGGCGCGGGCGTCCTTGTCTTTGGCCACCAGGCGGTACTCGCCCTGGTCTCTGGGCCGGATCTCGCAGACCTGCAGCCGGTGGATCTTGCCCTCGCTGATCATCTGGTACTTGTCTCCCTGCACGATGATCATATTATTCCTCATCCACTTCACCTCCACGCAGTCCTTGTTCAGCTCCACCTCGAACACCACGTCGGAGCCGGGGGGCTGGAACGTGTCCTGGGGGGGTCTGATGATCTCCACCGGGGTCTCTGTCGGGGAGAAACAGGGTGAGGACTGGGGGAAAAGAGACTCTCAGAGACAAACAGATCCAGGTTTACTCAGGTCTTACCCTCCACAAAGAGCCGGGCCCGGGTCCTCCTCTCGTCTACACCACAGGCGTACTCACACTCATCGTCCGGCCGGCACACCTTGATGACCAGCCGGCACGTCTTCCCCTCACGCTCCATGTGGTACCTGAACACACAGGAACATAAATCATAAATGTTATTTATTTATTCCCCCTCTACTATTCATGTATAGTGTAAATAAAAGAGGGCCCAGGATGGAACCCTGTGGTACCCCTTAAGAACTTGATGAAAGCCGTACCTGGGTCCTTCTCTGATCTCCCGTCCGTTCCTGTACCACTTGACGGCGGCCTTCTCCTTGCTCATCTTGCAGGTTAACTCTGCGTCCTCGAACTCGGTGATGGTGGTGTCTCGGAGCTGTGCGGTGAAATCGGTGGGCGCCTCGCTGATGATCAGCTCGGCCGCGCACTTGTCGTCTCCGACCACCGCGGTGTACTCGCCCTCGTCGTCCATTACGCAGTCCTTGACGGTGAGCGTGTGCTTCAGGCCGTCGGCGCGGTACACGATGCGTTTGCTGAGTGTCACTTCCTGTCCCGCCTTCAGCCAGCGCACCGTGACCTCGGGCCGGTTCACCTTACAGGTGAAGCTGATCGTCTTCTTCTCCTGAGTCTCAACGTCCTCGATGGGGTCCAGGAACCGCAGCTTCTCCTCTGCAGGGAGGGGGGTCTCATGTTAATAAACTGCTGCATAATATCACTACTTCATAATATCATCACAAATCTATTGTAAGTATTTTAAGAGGTAATTTATTACATATTTTTATTTTGTATTTGTTGTTTATTTATGGCTCATGTACCCATTTTTTAATCTTTTTATTTTAAATATATTTCCTCAAAGCAGATTACTTGTCAGGTGTAGTTCAGGGTTAGTTCAGGTGTAGTTCAGGTTTAGTTCAGGTGTAGTTCAGGGTTAGTTCAGGTGTAGTTCAGGGTTAGTTCAGGTGTAGTTCAGGGTTAGTTCAGGTGTAGTTCAGGTGTAGTTCAGGGTTAGTTCAGGTGTAGTTCAGGTGTAGTTCAGGGTTAGTTCAGGTGTAGTTCAGGGTTAGTTCAGGTGTAGTTCAGGGTTAGTTCAGGTGTAGTTCAGGGTTAGTTCAGTTGTAGTTCAGGTGTAGTTCAGGTGTAGTTCAGTTGTAGTTCAGTTGTAGTTCAGGTGTAGTTCAGGTGTAGTTCAGGTGTAGTTCAGGTGTAGTTCAGGTTTAGTTCAGGTGTAGTCCAGGTGTAGTCCAGGTGTAGTTCAGGTGTAGTTCAGGTGTAGTTCAGGTGTAGTTCAGGTGTAGTTCAGGGTTAGTTCAGGTGTAGTTCAGGGTTAGTTCAGGTGTAGTCCAGGTGTAGTTCAGGTGTAGTTCAGGTGTAGTCCAGGTGTAGTTCAGGTGTAGTTCAGGTGTAGTTCAGGGTTAGTTCAGGTGTAGTTCAGGTTAGTTCAGGTGTAGTTCAGGTGTAGTTCAGGTGTAGTTCAGGTGTAGTTCAGGGTTAGTTCAGGTGTAGTTCAGGTTTAGTTCAGGTGTAGTCCAGGTGTAGTTCAGGTGTAGTTCAGGGTTAGTTCAGGTGTAGTTCAGGTGTAGTTCAGTTGTAGTTCAGGTGTAGTTCAGGTTTAGTTCAGGTGTAGTTCAGGTGTAGTTCAGGGTTAGTTCAGGTGTAGTTCAGGTTTAGTTCAGGTGTAGTTCAGGGTTAGTTCAGGTGTAGTTCAGGGTTAGTTCAGGTGTAGTTCAGGGTTAGTTCAGGTGTAGTTCAGGTGTAGTTCAGGGTTAGTTCAGGTGTAGTTCAGGTGTAGTTCAGGTGTAGTTCAGGTGCAGTTCAGGGTTAGTTCAGGTGTAGTTCAGGGTTAGTTCAGGTGTAGTTCAGGGTTAGTTCAGTTGTAGTTCAGGTGTAGTTCAGGTGTAGTTCAGGTGTAGTTCAGGTGTAGTTCAGGTTTAGTTCAGGTGTAGTCCAGGTGTAGTCCAGGTGTAGTCCAGGTGTAGTTCAGGTGTAGTTCAGTTGTAGTTCAGGTGTAGTTCAGGTGTAGTTCAGGTGTAGTTCAGGGTTAGTTCAGGTGTAGTTCAGTGTTAGTTCAGGTGTAGTTCAGGTGTAGTTCAGGTGTAGTTCAGGTGTAGTCCAGGTGTAGTTCAGGTTTAGTTCAGGTGTAGTTCAGGGTTAGTTCAGGTGTAGTTCAGGTTTAGTTCAAGTGTAGTTCAGGTGTAGTTCAGGTGTAGTTCAGGTGTAGTTCAGGTGTAGTTCAGGTGTAGTTCAGGTTTAGTTCAGGTGTAGTTCAGGGTTAGTTCAGTTGTAGTTCAGGGTTAGTTCAGGGTTAGTTCAGGTGTAGTTCAGGGTTAGTTCAGTTGTAGTTCAGGGTTAGTTCAGGTTTAGTTCAGGGTTAGTTCAGTTGTAGTTCAGGTGTAGTTCAGTTGTAATTCAGGTGTAGTTCAGGTGTAGTTCAGGGTTAGTTCAGGTGTAGTTCAGGTGTAGTTCAGTTGTAGTTCAGGTGTAGTTCAGGTGTAGTTCAGTTGTAGTTCAGGTGTAGTTCAGGTTTAGTTCAGGGTTAGTTCAGTTGTAGTTCAGGGTTAGTTCAGGTTTAGTTCAGGTGTAGTTCAGGGTTAGTTCAGGTGTAGTTCAGGTGTAGTTCAGGGTTAGTTCAGGTTTAGTTCAGGTGTAGTTCAGGGTTAGTTCAGGTGTAGTTCAGGGTTAGTTCAGGTGTAGTTCAGGTGTAGTTCAGGTGTAGTTCAGGTGTAGTTCAGGTGTAGTTCAGAGTTAGTTCAGGTTTAGTTCAGGTGTAGTTCAGGGTTAGTTCAGGTGTAGTTCAGGTGTAGTTCAGGTGTAGTTCAGGTGTTGTTCAGGTGTAGTTCAGAGTTAGTTCAGGTTTAGTTCAGGTGTAGTTCAGAGTTAGTTCAGGTTTAGTTCAGGTTTAGTTCAGAGTTAGTTCAGGTGTAGTTCAGGTGTAATTCAGGGTTAGGTCAGGTTTAGTTCAGGTGTAGTTCAGGTGTAGTTCAGGTTTAGTTCAGGTGTAGTTCAGGTTTAGTTCAGGTGTAGTTCAGAGTTAGTTCAGGTTTAGTTCAGGTTTAGTTCAGGGTTAGTTCAGGTGTAGTTCAGGTGTAGTCCAGGTGTAGTTCAGGTGTAGTTCAGAGTTAGTTCAGGGTTAGTTCAGGTGTAGTTCAGGTGTAGTTCAGGTTTAGTTCAGGTGTAGTTCAGGTGTAGTTCAGGTTTAGTTCAGGTGTAGTTCAGGTGTAGTTCAGGTTTAGTTCAGGTGTAGTTCAGAGTTAGTTCAGGGTTAGTTCAGGTGTAGTTCAGGTGTAGTTCAGGTTTAGTTCAGGTTTAGTTCAGGTGTAGTTCAGAGTTAGTTCAGGTGTAGTTCAGGTGTAGTTCAGGTGTAGTTCAGTTGTAGTTCAGGTGTAGTTCAGGTTTAGTTCAGGTTGTAGTTCAGGGTTAGTTCAGGTGTAGTTCAGGTGTAGTTCAGGGTTAGTTCAGGTTTAGTTCAGGTGTAGTTCAGGGTTAGTTCAGGTGTAGTTCAGGTTAGTTCAGGTGTAGTTCAGGTGTAGTTCAGGTGTAGTTCAGGTGTAGTTCAGGTGTAGTTCAGGTTTAGTTCAGGTGTAGTTCAGGGTTAGTTCAGGTGTAGTTCAGGTGTTGTTCAGGTGTAGTTCAGAGTTAGTTCAGGTTTAGTTCAGGTGTAGTTCAGAGTTAGTTCAGGTTTAGTTCAGGTTTAGTTCAGAGTTAGTTCAGGTGTAGTTCAGGTGTAGTTCAGGGTTAGTTCAGGTTTAGTTCAGGGTTAGTTCAGGTGTAGTTCAGGTGTAGTCCAGGTGTAGTTCAGGTGTAGTTCAGAGTTAGTTCAGGGTTAGTTCAGGTGTAGTTCAGGTGTAGTTCAGGTTTAGTTCAGGTGTAGTTCAGGTGTAGTTCAGAGTTAGTTCAGGTTTAGTTCAGGTGTAGTTCAGGTTTAGTTCAGGTGTAGTTCAGGTGTAGTTCAGAGTTAGTTCAGGTTATTTCAGGTGTAGTTCAGGTTTAGTTCAGGTGTAGTTCAGAGTTAGTTCAGGGTTAGTTCAGGTGTAGTTCAGGTGTAGTTCAGGTGTAGTTCAGGTTTAGTTCAGGTGTAGTTCAGAGTTAGTTCAGGTGTAGTTCAGGTGTAGTTCAGGTTTAGTTCAGGTTTAGTTCAGGTGTAGTTCAGGGTTAGTTCAGGTGTAGTTCAGAGTTAGTTCAGAGTTAGTTCAGGGTTAGTTCAGGTTTAGTTCAGGTGTAGTTCAGGTGTAGTTCAGGTGTAGTTCAGGTTTAGTTCAGGTGTAGTTCAGGTTTAGTTCAGGTGTAGTTCAGATTTAGTTCAGGTGTAGTTCAGGTGTAGTTCAGGGTTAGTTCAGGTTTAGTTCAGGTGTAGTTCAGGTGTAGTTCAGGTTTAGTTCAGGTTTAGTTCAGGTGTAGTTCAGGTGTAGTTCAGGTGTAGTTCAGGGTTAGTTCAGGTTAGTTCAGGTGTAGTTCAGGTGTAGTTCAGGTTTAGTTCAGGTGTAGTTCAGGTGTAGTTCAGGTGTAGTTCAGGTGTAGTTCAGGTGTAGTTCAGGGTTAGTTCAGGTGTAGTTCAGGTGTAGTTCAGGTTTAGTTCAGGTTTAGTTCAGGTGTAGTTCAGGGTTAGTTCAGGTGTAGTTCAGGTGTAGTTCAGAGTTAGTTCAGGTGTAGTTCAGGGTTAGTTCAGGGTTAGTTCAGGTGTAGTTCAGGTGTAGTTCAGGTTTAGTTCAGGTTTAGTTCAGGTTTAGTTCAGGTCTAGTTCAGGGTTAGTTCAGGTGTAGTACAGAGTTAGTTCAGGTTTAGTTCAGGTGTAGTTCAGGTTTAGTTCAGGTGTAGTTCAGGTGTAGTTCAGGTGTAGTTCAGAGTTAGTTCAGGTTTAGTTCAGGTGTAGTTCAGGTGTAGTTCAGGTTTAGTTCAGGTGTAGTTCAGGTTTAGTTCAGGTGTAGTTCAGGTTTAGTTCAGGTGTAGTTCAGGTTTAGTTCAGGGTTAGTTCAGGTGTAGTTCAGGCGTGTTTACCTGCCACGGCGGCGCGGGCGCTGCACTTGGCCTGTTCTGCTCTCTGATTGGTCAGGCTGATGGTGTACACCGCCTCGTCGTTCTTGCTGGCCTCGCGGATCCTCAGCGAGAACACGTTGTCTCTCTGAGCCATCATGTACTTGCTGCTCTCGAATATGGTCTCCTCGTTCTTCAGCCACTTGGCCTTCGCTCCCTCTGTGTTCGTCTCGCAGTTGAACACGATCTCTCCTCCCTCCTTCACCTCCGTGTCCTTGATGGGCGTGATCACCCTCAGTTTCTCTGAAAGAGAGCAAGCATTACACTCTGAACCCATGAAGGCAACACAGAGCCCTCTAATAAACAACAACACAGTAAACAATAACACGGAGCAGTTTAATAAACAACAACACAGAGCAACAGGACGTGGTGCTCCTTAACAACAACAACGTGGTGCTCTTTGATGAACTCACCGATGACGGTCAGCTCCGCGGACGCCTTCACGCCCCCGATGTGGGCCACGTACGCTCCCTCGTCCTTCACCTCGCAGCTCTTCACAATGAGAGCGCGTCTCTTTCCCTCGCTCACAATGGAGAACTTCTCTCCTTCCTGCGCCTCCTTCTCTCCTCGGAACCATTTCACCTCGTACGAGTCTTTAGAAACAGAGCAGCTGAACTCCGCCTTCTCTCCTTCAACCACCTCCTGGTTCTGAGGACGGGCGATGA